AAGAAGAGTATATGATGTCTTTTAATTAAAAATTAATTCTGAGATAATAATTTCCTATAGTTACATTTATTTTAATAGGAAGATGTGGGGATTATGAAGGAAATGAATTTGGATGCTTATAGATTTTCTATCTCATGGTCCAGAGTGCTGCCAAGTAAGTTGGTCGCATGTATCAATCTTGGCTATTACATTAATCTTGTTGGTGGTTGGGACCAATTTGATGGTGCTTTAATTAAATTAAATTTAGTAAACTGATGATATATTATATATTTATTTTAGATGGGAAACTAAGTGGGGGTGTGAACAAGGAAGGGATAGGATACTATAACAACCTCATCAATGAACTCCTTGCCAATGGTAATTTCTATAAATTAATCTTATATTATGATTATCCAGTCGTCAAAAACTGATAATGATAATTGAATTTATTTTCCTATTAATTATTGAATGCAGGTATAAAGCCTTTTGTGACACTCTTTCACTGGGATCTTCCGCAAACCTTGGAAGATGAATATGGTGGCTTCTTAAGTCCTCAAGTTGTGTAAGTGATGTAATGTTGTAGTACCTCTGATCTATTTGTAAAATGAACCAAACATAAACATTGTTACATGAATGCAGGAAGCATTTTAAGGACTATTCAGAGCTTTGTTTTAAAGAATTTGGTGATCGGGTGAAGCACTGGATCACATTCAATGAGCCATTGGCCTTAAGTGTGGCTGGTTATGCAACTGGGGATTTAGCACCGGGACGATGTTCTGAGTGGCTAAAACGCAACTGCACTGGGGGAGATTCAGGAGTTGAGCCATATTTGGTCACACACAACCAACTTCTTGCTCATGCAACTACAGTTAAGTTATATAAGGAAAAATATCAGGTAATCTACAACAACAATGACCCTATTAATTCAGTATTTTACGTATATATTAAGGAAAATGTGTGCAGTTATAATGAGATAAAACATTAATTGAAACGTTGTGGCATGTGCAGAATTCTCAAAAGGGATTGATAGGAATAACGTTGGTGTCACTGTGGGTTGTGCCATTTTCTGAGGCAAAGAAGGACAAAGATGCAGCACTTAGATCTTTAGATTTTCTGCTTGGATGGTTTATGGACCCATTGACAAATGGTGACTACCCGTACAGTATGCGATCTCTTGTTGGAAGCCGATTACCTAAGTTCAAGAAGGCGCAATCCGAATTGCTGAAGGGATCATTTGACTTTATCGGATTGAACTATTATACATCTAACTATGTATCCGATGCACCGCAACTACGCGCTGGAAATGCAAGCTACTTAAAAGACTCTCTTACTTCAATTTCACGTATAAATTCTAAACTCACAGCTATCAATTTACTCAGTAATTAGTTCCTGACCACATTTTTCTTATAAAGATTGGCGATGTAATAAATAAAATTACTCTTATATGTCTGTCTTTGTTTTGCCAGCCGTGCGTAATGGAATTCCCATTGGACCAAAGGTGTGTATCAAATTTTGTAAACCTTATAATATCCTCTTCAATATCCATAAGTAGTCCTTATGATTGATGGTCGATCTTGCAGGCTGCTTCAGAAACTGTGTATATTTATCCGAGGGGCATTAGAGATGTTTTGCTCTACACCAAGAGAAAATATCATAATCCGGTTATTTACATCACAGAGAATGGTAACCATCTCTTCAGTTAACATTATATATATTTTAGTTTTTCTGGGCAGATAGAGGGTGGTAAACTACAAGGAATGGATTTTAGATGTCAAACGGAAAACTAAACATTAACTTTTCCCCATGTACTCTAGGCGTTAATGAGCTTAATGATCCCAAGTTATCTCTTGAGGAAGCCCTAGTTGACAACCAAAGAGTTGACTATCACTTTCGCCATCTTTATTACCTTGAAGCAGCGATCAAGTGAGTTTCACCTTTGCGTGAGATTCGTTCAACAATATAATTAGTTATAGGGTTCTTAGTTATATCTCTGATATTTTATTTACCACCTCCTTTTTTGCCCTCTTTTTTTGCAGAGATGGTGTCAATGTGAAAGGGTACTTTGCGTGGTCGTTGCTAGACAACTTTGAATGGACGTTAGGATACACTGTTCGGTTTGGTATTAACTATGTTGATTATAAAGATGGGTTGAAAAGATACCCTAAACTCTCAGCATGTTGGTTCAAACAATTTCTCAAAAAATACTAAGACATATACAAATGTCTTTTTCTTTCTGGGTCGAGAGAGAGAACAATGTCAATCGAGATATTTAGCTCACACAATATATGTATAGAACTTCTCCAACTAATAAACAGATATAACCTGAATATGCCTTGTGATCAATCCTAGAGACTAATTATTTGGGAATTAAACTTTTGGAGTCCCAAAATCAAATCATGATTGCAATGGAAGAAAAACTCTTCTATAAGCTTGGTTACAGCATTATCATGGTGCTGATATGGTATGACTAATTATTCAAATGACTTTACCAAGCAGGTTTTTTTTATTTATTCTTTTTTTGGTTCAAAAAGCCGCATGTCTTTCTTTTTTGGGTCAAAACTAAGCAGGTCTTTTTTTTTATACAAAGCAATAGTGGTGGTGGAGGGATAAATCGAACGTATGACCTCAGATGTATGAGTAAATGCTCTTAATCACTTAAGCTACCAGTTACTTGCTACTAAGTAACGTCTTTTACTAGAGGATTAAACAAGCACTTCACAAAAATGACATATCAAAGAGGCGTATACGTAGGCACTATAGGTTTTGACTTTTTCAATTTGGTTTGTATGCTCATTTTCAAAAATTTGGCCAATTATTTTCTCTTACAAAGACATGTTGCATGACATCAAAAGGAGATATTTAATTTGTTTAGTAAGCAACAAAAAGCCTTTTTCTTGTCACATGGGATATTCCACTACATTGACTATTTCTCATTGTTTTTCTCTAAGCCTGATCATCACCAATTAATTATCCCGTGTCTTGTTGTATATATTTTAGACCCCGAAGTTTGTTATAGCTAGCAATTATTGGAGGTAATTAAGCTTTTTCCATGTACTGTGGCTTTCACACATACGAACGAAATATATCACAAGGATACAAATCGTGAATTATTGAAGAGACAGATGCATGTATGGGCAATGAACTGAAGGCCCTTTCGTAGATGCTCTCTTGTTTCACTATCTCCATGAGTAGTCTAACTACTAACATCGCATATATAATTTTTTTCAAAAATTTGGAAGAATTAGTTTGTTTGATCTCAGCCATTTATTGTAGTTTAATTTAATGGTTGAAAATTTGTGTTAAATTTGTGGTGTTACGGATCCGCCGCTGCTTTTATATATACACGCACACATTCATATAATATCGATATTAATTCATTTTAGTGAGAGCAAGAACTATACACCTTCCTAACTAATTAAGAGAAAAAACAATTATTATCCCATCGTAAATTTTGTATGAATGTGGGATAGAATAATGCTACTCTTACCATATTTGTATACCACATCCTTATACCATCTTATGTGGCAGCTGAGGTGGACTACCACATCAATTAAAATGATTTAATATTTTCTTTTCTTTTATGATTTATTCCAGTATTTGTTTTTCTAATTGTCTTAATTAAAATCACTTCATTGATTTAATTGATGTGGCATATAATATGGACTTGCCACATCATGTAGTATAGAAATGTTGGATAAAAATGTGATAAGTGTAGCATTACTCTCATCCTCAATCTCATCCTAAAAAATCTCCATGAGCGACTCATCATGCAACAAGATCCACACACATATTATAGAATTAGAGGTTATTTAGTATTAGTACATACACTGATTTCTTCACTAATATAATCCACTATAAACAATTATGTAGAGGGAGATTCCCAACAAATAATGTGCTTTTATAAATTCGAAAATTGCTTTAATTATTAAGGGTAAAGTTGCTTTTGTCTGAAAGTTACATCTCTGGATGAGCTAGCCTATAAAGATATTGACACAACCGGACGAGTACAAAACACATTTGCAATAAGCTAGGCCATCTGTGGCCCCAGAAGGCAGGGCCAACTTGAAAAGCATAGCTTGGATTACACGTAGGGTTTCTGATTTTGTATTATTGAGTTTGTAGTTTTTTCGGAAGATATATATATATATATATATATATATATGTACTTGTGTATATATATGTGGAATCATGATCACATGGATTTGTGGACCACATTAGACTGGTCCATTCTTAAGCATGCGGTGTGGACCATATATGCGTGATACCTTAGACTACCTAACTTTTACAGTATGCACAATATATATAGTTATTTTTTAATTTGTATATCTGCACATTATAATTAATTATGCGGATGTTATAGTAAATAAGGATAAAAGTAAAAAGGAGTAGTATAAAATACACAGCATCCGCACCGTACAGTAATAACATTCATATATATATATATATGCACACGCGTGTGTGATGTAAATATTTTGTAATATACGTGGAACCATGACATAGATTATTTCATTTTTGGTAACACTTCATACTATTTATTTCACCTTAAACCTTGAAATCAATATAGTGCGAGTATAATGCACTTCGCACCTTCTACATTGCATAATGGAGAAAGCTTGTGTCAAGTTTGCGGGGGAAAGCTTGTGTCAGGTCCCGGACCCAGGGTATGGTAAAACAAAGCACAAAAATAGTCTCACATAAACCAAGAGTGAGATAACTACAATAAGATGTGAAATATTACTTTCACTTTATCAGCAAATACACACACTCAAAGAACCCCAAGGATCAATTATATATCTGACCTAAAAGCCTGAAAACACCAGGGCTTTGGTCGAAACCAGGGCTGAAGTTCACAAAAGATAAAATATTTAAGCTTCGTTTAATTTCTAACATGTACCATGCCTAAATGTCATGACTCGTGACTATGGGTAGGACTTGCCTTACCTAATACTATATGTTGAAAGAAAAGAAAAGAAAAAGAAAAAGAACTGAGAACCAGATGACACACTAACTACTCATCAGTTTCAAATAGAGATGCTATATGGAACTCCCATTCCTGTGACCCCAGGTTGTGAAAAAGGCTTTAGAAGCTCATAAGGCACAACCCCAGCTCCATTTCTGTTTTTCAACTCACTGTTGGCATTTCTATCATCAATAATTCCTTCAATCACCAACAACCTCCCCTTAAAGCGTTCAAACGCCGCCTTTATAACGGGTTCCTCAGCCCATGCCGCCTCCATCTTCTCTCCAATGTACTCTTCATCCGGTGAATGATTTGACAAAATGTCCAGAACAGCCATGATTCTTGTTGCTTGGATTTGTGAAGGGAAGCACTGCAAAAGTGCAACTTCAGGCTTTTTCAAGAAGTTTTTCCAAAACTCTGGCGAGGGGTCTTCTGTGGGCATATTGGTCCTTGCAATTGTCGGCCTGTTAGGGAAATAACCCGCATAGACATATTGCCCAAAGTTGACAGCTGCATGGTGGCCAGATGTGACCCACACCATTGTGGTGATGATGCCAATAAGGTCTTCACGGGTGTTGAGTTCTGGCCACCATGGTTCGTCCTTTTTGTCTGCATGGCCTACTGTTTTGATTTCTGTCCACCATGCTTGGAGTTCTCCATCAGTCTGTACAACGCTGGAGTCTGGGTAGTAGTGGTGTACATAGTCAGTGACCCATTGTTTGATGGCATCCCACATGAGGAGACCATCATTGGCAAAAGGGTAGTCTTCAATTGTTAGCTTTAGACCATGCGGTGCGGTTGGGTCTTCAACAGCCATGCCCCTAGAAAATACAAATTAAACATCAAGATTTTAGTTAAACAGTGCAAAAGATATCATAAAATTAGATAATAATATAGGGAATTGTTCACTTGTCATAATGATGTTATGGTGTCAAACTGTTAATTTGAACCTACTGATCAAGTTCTCTAACTAGATATCTAACGCGACATGCGTAGTTGTTAAACTGTCAATATGAACTATAGATGTGATCAGCTGAGAGTAAATTAAATTACCTTCTAATAAGGTCAGCCGGGAGCGCCTCTTGGTCGAACCGCCACTCCTTGCCATAGGCAACTGCGCTCATCTCAAGGGAGTATTTTCCAGGAGAGAACGAGCTTTCGATGATACCGCCGGCGTTGATGAGCGATTCGCGAGCAAGAGCATTAATCTCCATCGTATATCTGAAATGGGGATGTAACAATCTATAGATTGGGTGCAAGACACTGAGTTGTCGATTCGTTGCGATTATATAAGGTTCTGTGACGCAATGTGTTCTTAGCCTGCAAAAGAAGTGGCTTCCCTAAATATTGGATGAACATTGAAACCTAAAACCAAAGAAAAGGCAGCAGTAGTAAAAAATCTTTCAATGAGATATATTTGGACTATATTTACCAGTGACTAACGAGTTGATGATAACCAGAATCGTGGGCAAGGACATGTGCCTTGGCAAGCCTCCAAAGCCAGACCCCGGTGGCGTTCCAAGATGGCTGGAAAACTTGCTTCCACTGTGGCTTTCCGTCCATTGGCGGCCTTGTGAGCTCAATAGCCAGTGGCCTCAGTGTTCCTTCCCGGGTTAGAAAAAACAAAGTCCTAGATCCATATAGCGTGGTGCCTTCGATGTTTCTTATTTTACTCACATAGGGCAAAAACAAATCATGGTAATCTAAAATAAACAATTTCTTCTCTCTTATGGCCTGCATACATTATATACCAGGATTATTATACTTGTTAATATACTTCTCTTTTAAATCTTAATTAATTAATTATCATACTACCTCCTGAACGGTTGGGAAGCCTCTAATCTCTTGCTCAATTATTTCCTTCGTGATCGCTGATTCCGGCGGGCCATAGATCTCGGGGTCCAATTCACTCTTCAATGGCCATTCCTGCAGTTTTTTTGTTTACATTTTGCCCATATGAGAGCATGTATAAAGTAATAATAATAAGATTTTCTTTAATTCATAAAAAGTAATATGTTCATACATAGTGTCACTGTATAAATAACTAAATCGTACCGTCACCAACTTGAGGCTGTATGGATTCAGACCTGCAAGAGTCTGCCTAGCAAATTCCTCATCCCTAAACCAAAAGAATTTGTCCCCTGAAATTACCCCAACCAAAAAAGACTTATCAGTTAGCTAGAGAGAGTGAGAGAACGTAGGGGCATACATGTACATTTAGACCGCACATATCCTTGACATAATTTCACTTAATCAACTGATAACATAACATGTCAGACTGTTTGGTAAGAGATAAAGAGGAAATTTTTCTTAGATGTATACATATATTTGCTTACGATTCATAGTTTCCGGGGGTACAAAACGCAAGACATCATCTCCAGAAGCCACAACATTGACTAGCCTGGGAAGGAGGGTTTTGAGAATCCCTTGTTCCTTGAAGGGAGGCAAGTTAATCCCCACGCTAAAAAGTGAGTCTATGGCGCTGAAGTATGCGAATCCACGATCATTGTCAGCCATCGCCGTCTCCAGAGATGGTACCAATGCGTGCATCACAGAGTAGACTGTCTTTGCTGAAAATGTTAGCTGCTTTACCTCTGAGAAGGCTTCATCTCTAGGAACGTACCACTTGTTGCTCCTTTTCTCGGATAAGGAATCTGTATGCATAACCATTAGTTAATCATTTTAATTTAACATCTCTTGCAAAACTTACCAAGATTTTCAATCTGAATTGGTAATTAATCGAGTAGATTCTTATTTGAATTTTTGTGCGTGATTTGGACATCTAATAATACAACATGCCAAACTGTTTGGCAAGAAAATAGTATACCCTACATGTGTAGTTTGGTACCTGCTTCGCATTGTGGTCGTCCAGTTCTACAACGTCTGGGATAAGGGAATTCTATGCCACCAAGTACTGGTCTGTCAAGTCTTAAATTCTTATCAGGCTCCCCAAGATCGTTGTAAACATCGTAATCATATATCCTCTCAAAGAACTTCCGCTCTCCTTGGCCATTGCCACGCAAAGTCACAAGTTCCTCTTCCCTTAGCCTCACCAACCCATTTGGTGTTTGAGATGGCAAGTATGACTGCTCCACACAAATGCACAAAATCATGAACCATTCAAAACGAAGATATGACGTCTATTTTTTATTTTTTATTTTTTATTTTTATAAATGTCCTAGCCTTGTTTGGTGGCTCGGTTTGGATTGGTTGGAGTCCAAGCTAGTCCTTATGAGTCTCACCCCTCTAGACGAGATTTATAAGACACAATATATATGTTGGATTGTTGTCCAATTTAATAAGTTTTTCCATGACCCTTGACCAATATTAATTGAAATAATCCAGTCCGATCAAACCCACCAAACGTGTCAATGCTTATATCTCTCATGTTGTCATCACCTAGCCTTTCACATATGACGTCTATTTTTGAAGAGAGACAAAATTTCTTTCTAAAAATTTAATTAATTCAGCATATTTAGTTACAGAAATTTAGGTCTAGATATATATTATATGTGATTAGAAATGGCTGACCTTGTTGGTGAAGAAGACCCTCTTCTCAGGATTGTCATACTTGGAGTGGACCCAAGAATTGCAGCTAAGATGTACAGAGCCATAGGGGAGGCCATCGAGGACAATATCCTTGAGAAACATCTCCTTGTGGTGTTCATTCTCTACCAAAACAGCACCCACCTCCCCAAAATGGACTGGAACTTTGAAGTCTGTCTCGTACATTATCTCACCTTCCTTTCGGCGGCTCCTGTGTGCGAACCCTGCAACCTTCACCTTCTCTAATCCAGTTTCTTCACCGCAAAAACTTAACAAATTAATAAATCATTTTCTAATTACAACATGCATATAATTAATGGATATATATAAGTTCCTAAATTATATGTGTATGGATACGGTCAGTTAAGATCTACTAATTAATTAGATGAAATCTTGTTTTCTATCAACATGACAGGGGAATTCGAACTTGAATTTCTTGCGACATTTGAAATAAAATATAACTAAATTAAGAGTTAGTGAGATAAAAATCGTATTTGAGTATACGGTCGTAACAACATATACTTAAGTGACATGGGACGTGTAGTGGGAGGGCAAGGATCCTAGGTTTGAGACGCAAGTTCTCAAGTTGATTAATTAATATCAATTGCTGAAAATCAAATAAATAATTTTTTTTAAGACGATACAAGTATGTCAATTAGCAATTATAGTTTCCTATTTCCTCCGACTCTCTGGGACCATAAATGGTCCATGCATGCCAATTTTGTGTGCTTCATTTTAGCTTGTAGGGACCATATCTAAAAAAAAAAACAAGGCTTTTCCTTTTCTATGATATCTAGTAGCTGTCAAAACCATGTCGCGTAACCATATTCTCACCAATCGAAGGATATTGAGATGGTCCTCTCTCATCACTATCTCCATTTCCCTTCACACATTAGGGTACGTTAGGATAGAAGCGAAGATATATCGTCTTTTGTTTGTTAAAAGAAAACATATAAAAAAATTATTTATGAATGACTAGTTATTGCGTAAACTAAAAACAGATTTGGAAGACAAATCTGCCTGGAAAAATTTAGCTGTGTTATCTGGTCCCAAAATCAAAAGAAATAGTTAGCTAGCTGTCTTTAAGAAATCAAGGAAAATTTAAAGATGACCAAGAAACCAAATCTTTAAACAAATCTCCAAACAAATCTTTAAATAAAAAACATTCACCTAGCTAGGGTTACTCAATGAGAAGTTAGTTAAGCTGTGGTTTGAATGCACATGCATGCTCTGCCAAACTCCATACTTACTGGGATCAAGCTCAGCGCTAACAAGCTCCAATAAGAGCGATTGACCAAGCATGTCTGTTATATCATCAAGCCCTCGTTTTAGACCAAGGTGTGAGAGAAAGCCTCCAACTGTAAGCGTCACAGTTATGGTGGCCTTAACACTAATGAACTTCTCCGTGACGACTTCAGTCGTCACAATAGTGGTGGTGGTGGTGGTAGTAGGAGTAGTAGGAGTAGTAGGCGTAGTCTGGATAGTAGTAGGAGTTGTAGTCATAGTCGTAGTATAGTAGTTTTAGTGGTAGTAGTAGGAGTACTACTACTATCACTACTGCTATTACTAATACTTACGGCTTTTGTGTTGCTAGGAATCAAGCCAACTCGTACGTTTCTGTGTTTCTTGAGGAGTGAGGGCCTTGACCAGATAGGAAGTGAAGTACTTCTGCGACTGCCATGGATGAATGGTTTGTGAAGAAAGAGAGTTTGGGTAGACTGAGATTGGTGAAGTTGGGGCTTCAACATCTTTATTTTTATTTTTTTATTTGCAGATTATTTGCACAGGGAAGGAGAGGATAACTAGGATGAGAGTGTCCTGGGTTTGCTTGGAGCCTTAGGCTAAATGGAGTTATCCTTAAATAGAGGAAAGAGATTCTAGAGAGTTGCATTGATTAACATGTGAATGGCATTTCCCAAGTTGCACATGAAAATACCCAAAAAAAAAAGTGAGATGAATGAAGACTAAAGTACAAACAAACGGTGAAAAACTAGAATGCACGTGAAGCACAAATAGGTTCTTTTCCAAACAAATTGGACTATTATTAGCTGAAACTTCAACGGCTAAAGAATAAAATATCAGATACTTAAATGCTCTATGCAAGGGCTAGCCAACGTGATTAGTGAGGATGAAGTAATGAGTTAGGATTATGATATATGGGTCACGATTTCATTCATTTTCAGATTTATTTTATTTATAAATCTGGAGTTCAAAATTTAGGATAAAGTATATACATACAAGATACACTTATGTTATCAAGTTTTTATGTTTTTATTTTTAATCAACGAGGAATAAGGATTCAAATGTAAGGTTTTTTTAATCAACGAGGAAAAAGGATTCAAACGTGAAACCACTTCTAATATTAGGTGGGAAGAGAAATACTCACTAAACTTTGTTCTCTTTTAAGTTAAAAAATCAGCACATTTCTATCTCACCAGTTGTCATGTAAAATCATGTAATTCTTACCATACACACCAAGAACTAAATCTTGATTCTGGAATAAACGTTTTCCATAAGTGCATTACATTAAATTATAAATTAATTAGTCAGGTAATTTCCGTGATAGCTACAATTTGATGAGAGATTATAGAATATTATAGTAGTATGGTTACGTGGTACATCTTGTACACGTGTTATAATATAAGTGAATATTTATATATTCTATTTCTTAAAATGGGAGAAAATAAATCATGTCGTTCATCTATATTATAACACGAGTACAAAATGTACCATATAACCATACTACCGTAATATTCTATAATTTGTCGCAATTTGACGGCCAATATATATAAGGTAGGGGTCCTCATGCTTGGATTACTTTGGACCAGATTGCCTTTTGTCGTTGATCGGGTTGATAATCTGTGGGCATATGGATGAATGGTATGGAATCGGAACTTGACAGATATTTATCCAAGAAAGACAAATGGTTTCTGGTCAGGTCTGCGACTAAAACATAACATATATGTGGACCAGATTGTCGTTGCTCGCTTTCCTTGAACCACTTGTATGGCTTTTGATAAACTGTGGTGGTTGGCATAGATGCTCCTTCTGTCCCTCCCCAAATTAAAGCCATCTTTGGATCCATGTTGTTTTCAATTATTCTTAACTATAAAATTATTAGTATGTTTATAATTAAACGAGTAAAAATTAGAATGCAAACATTGTTTAAAAAAATATAAGCAATAGTCTAATTACAAAGGAATTGAGGTTTCTCACACGTACACTGTAAAAGTACCATAGAAATTCAAACCCAAGACCACTAGTTGAGGGGCTATTTGCCAAACTAATGTAAGTTTGAATGAAGACAACATCAAGACGCATGGTTCACAATTTAGTAAATTAATTAGTGGTCCGTATAAAACTTCCCTGTCACGGTGTCACCTAGGCTAGCCCTATATAAAATGGTCCCTGCCATCCTTGTACCATAGTAATATGAATATTCAAAGCTCATCTGATCACACTCATATATACATCATGTACCAAAATAACCATGTGAAAATTAAATTTCCACACGTGAATTAAATTTGGTTATATGTATTATGTATCACATGTGAATCGGGAAAGGGAAATTCAGTTCTTAACACTTGAGCATTCTAACATCAAAAAAGAAATTATGTGAAAGAAGTACATAGTCAAATAAATGGAAATAAAATTAACAATATCATCAAATAGTGGTCCCTGACTGCAACGTGAAAAAGAAAATTGAAGCACTACGCATGCACATGGCCCTTGTTCTAGCTCGGCCTTTTCTTCGTATAATGTGTAGTTTCAGTTCTTTCAGTCACATCCTCGTACTTAACTCTTATTGCAACCAAGTCCAAAATTATAGTTTAAATTAATTTTTTAATCTTTAGTGCAAAAGGGTAATATAGTCTATAAAAAAATAACCACACACAAAAAAGACAACTCCCCTTGCTAACGAACAATTATTTTTTTAGTGTTTTAGCCATTTTTAAGTTATTCATCTCCTTTTTGAATTTTAAATAAGAGAATTCAATTTTTTTTTTTGGTTCATTTAATTGTGACTAACAAGTGTCCACATTGAGTTGATTGAAACAAAATGGTAATTTTATTTTCCAGAAAACAAAATAGTACTTTTTTTTTTTTAAAGACATCTATATATAGAGCAAAAGGCAGAGAATGGTTAAAACATTCAAAATATCATAAAATGTCTTTGGTTAATGCAAACATTAAGAAAAATCAGATAATGAATCATATTTTATAGAACACAACTACCTATTATCTTTTTTAATTCTAAAATAAATTTAATTTTTTAAAAAAGAGTCTCTCGTAAGCACGGAAGCGTGTGCAAAGAGGCTAATTTCTTATAAAAAACAAATAATAACATATAAACTCAAACCCGAAATCTTTATCGGAGTAACATTTACTCCAAATCACTACACTAGTGTATTGAAGTCCTTCACTCCTTATAAATTTGGCGGGAAACAAAAAGCTCCAAAGGCTGAAGTTTTGGTCGCCTACACACATGTGGAACAACTGTCTAACCTTGTCCCCAATCTACACCGTCCATTTTCATCACATCTCAATTCTCGTATCTCAGTGATTTTCTTTTTTCTTTTTTCTTTTTTCGGTCGGTTCCATTTTATCCCAAAAAGAAAAGAAAAACAGAGCCCGCCGTCAAACGGCTATGTTGGGTGACCGCACCATAGATCTTACTGAGGCCTCCTCAGACTGTACCGAACAAAGCCCTAGCTTTCCTCCTTCTTCTTCTTCCTCCTTCTTCTTCGTGGGTGGGTTTTTTTTTTTTTTTTTTTTTTTTTTTTTTTTTTTTTTTTTTTAAATAATTTTGGGTGCAAATTTTATTGGGTTGAGGATTGGATGAGCTGGAGGGTAGCAGTAAGTAGCCAAACAGAGCCTAAGAAACGCCAATCAAAGACACCCAGAAAGCCCAAAGATAGTGTTCTTGAGCAGAGTTCGTCTCTCTCTCTCTCTCTCTCTCTCTCTCTCTGTGTTTTATGTATGCATGTGTTGGTTCGAGTATTGATTGCATTGTTTTCAATTTTGTGCAGAATCACCAGCTGAGTTCTTTGCGGAGAATAAAAACATTGCTGGTTTTGATAATGTATGCTTTTGGTTCTCTGTTTTTATTGTTTTTCCTTTCGTTTTTGCTGAAGTTGATATCTTTATATTTTGTATTTTAAATAGTAGGATGTAATTGAGGTTGAATTTGTTCCCTAAAGTTTTGTTATGAATTCACAAAGTTTGATGAATTTGGGAAATCAATTTTGTTCTCCTATGCTTTTCTGATCATATGGGTTGGAAGTTGGCTTTTCCCCACTTTCTTATCACCACTAATTTGGTTTTCTCTCTCACACACACATGAACTGAAAATTAAAATTCTATAAAGCCAGCTGTAAACTTTAGAGCATGGAAGAGAAAGTTCGTGCGGGCCTTAGCTTATTCTGAATGTTAATTGATTAATTCACAAAAGCAAAGGGCTTAGAATTTTAAATTGTGTGTTTTTTAACCTCCTATTCTTCTTTGTGAATTTTCAGCCAGGAAAATGTCTTTACACTACTGTAAGGGAACTCGTCGAGAACTCACTTGATTCCACGGAGTCCATATCTGAGCTTCCTGTGATAGAAATAACGATGTAAATACTTGCTAGTATATGTATATGAAAATTCTCAGCCATGTTGATTCATATGATGAGGGGTGAATATAGTTGATAAAGTTTGTCCATATTGACAGCGAATTTCTATTTATTTGAACTGAATCTGAATTGGCTATTACAGTGAAGATATTGAGAAAAGCAAGTTCAATTCTATGATTGGTCTTATTGATCGAGACCGTGTTGACGAGGCACTATACGATGATTATGAAACAGCTAAGGCTCGTGAGGTGTGCATACTTATGATGTGACTTTGTTGCTATGTATGTTGTTGCCAATTGCAGTATATTGTAGAGGTACATCTAATTCTGTTGTAAAGCAAAGAAATCAAAAGCCGTGTTACAACTTCTCCACCAGAAAAAGGGAAAATTCCTTGATGTATCTTGTATTGTGCATGTTTTGGTTTGGGATGTTTTAGTTTTCATCGACATTATTCACTCTCTTTTCCAAAGTTTATGTGCTTTGTTGGTCTTGATGTGGGGATTCCGTCTTAATGAATCATACCTTGCCTCTTCCAATTACTTTACAAGTAAATGAACTTGTTGAATTTGAGAACACAATATATGAATGAAGTATCAGATTCTGTGACTATTTCTGCTATCTCTTTGTTGTTGTTGTTATTATTATTATTTGTTCATCTTGTTATTTGTTCTTTCTATTCAGAAACGATTAGCAAAGGAAGCTCGTGCTCAAGAAATACAAGCGAAAAATGCTTCTGTCGGAAAGAAAGTCAAAGAGCCTCCAGCTTCAAAGACCATGAAGAGTCGAGGTGAGGCTTCATTTTACAAGGTTACATGCAAGGTATGACGTACTCCCCATCTAGAAATCTCCAAGCATATGATGGTTTCTTATTTGCATAATCTACATCATATGCATTGTTTTGATTCTCTACCAGTGTAGCTCTCATGACTCTAATTGGTTTTAAAACAGGATAATGGAAAAGGAATGCCACATGATGACATTCCAAATATGTTTGGACGAGGTTCTGAAGTTTCTTTGCTAGAGTTTTCATTTGATTTTTTTTATTTTAAGTTATAAACTGTTTTGTACATGATTTTGAATAATTGTTTCCAGTCATATATTAGCATATCACATCTATCACACATCTTTAATCTTGCTTGTAAATATATGATTTCATGCAGTGTTATCTGGGACAAAATATGGCTTGAAGCAGACACGTGGGAAGTTTGGTCTAGGTGCAAAGATGGTATTTATTGGCATATCATGCATATGTTCATGGCATTTCTTCTGTTATAATTTTCTAGTAGTTAATACTGTGCACAGAGACTCACACTAGACGTATAATAATTCAATGCATCCTTTTTTTTCTCCACAAGATTGATTGTGTGGGTTCAGTATTAGGATTTTATGAATTGCTACTAGAAAAGAACCTCACCTCTGCATCACTGTACAATCTAGTTACTGTGCTTGCCTACTTTATCATTTGGATAACCCCAATGAATTACCAATGTTGACTTATGCAGGCATTAATTTGGTCAAAGATGAGTACAGGGCTTCCTATAGAGATCTCGTCGTCTATGAAGAGTCAAAATTATATTTCATTTTGCAGGCTGGATATAGATATTCATCGGTATGACTTGAATGTAGTATAAGATATAAGTTATCGATGAATGCTTGTTTCCTGAATATGATATTTATTATATTTATCCGTATATCCTTCTGTGTGATAGTTTTGGACCGTTAATGCATATACTTTAAAAATTTAAGGTTTAACTTCTTGTTAAGTATCACACCGATGCTTCGTTTTCATGTTCAGGAACATTCCTCATGTCCACTTACATGAAAAGCGAGATAACAAGGACCGGTGGCATGGAGCTGAGATCCAAGTTGTTATTGAAGGAAATTGGACAACTTACCGTGTATGTACTGAATCACTGGCTAATGTCATATTAATTCGTTTCAGATTCATGTGTGCTTAACCATGTGAGGTATTGTGGTTATTTTTGACTGATATTGTTCAGTGACTAAGCTTGTTTTATTTCTTTAGCTAATAAATCCGTTGGCATTTGCAGTCGAAGATATTGCATTACATGCGACAAATGGCTGTTATCACTCCTTATGCTGAGTTTCTTTTTAAATTTGTATCAGATGCATCTGAGTAAGCACCCTCTCTCTCTCTCTCTCACACACACACACACACACACACACACACACACAGGCACATTCAGAAGATTATATCTCTTGAACGAATCTATACTGGCATTTTGCTTTTCATGCAGTAAAAATGTCACCATAAGGTTGCACGGAGAACAGATGTAATGCCTCCAGTGCCTCTTGAGACAAAGCACCATCCATCGTCTGTTGACCTATTGCTTATAAAGCGGCTCATTGAAGAAACTCCAAAGCAAAACCTTTTACAGTTTCTTCAGCATGAATTTGTTAACATACGAAAAGCCTATGCTGAACGACTAATTGGTAAGTCTCTGTCACTATCTAGGAAGCACTAACACTACCCTAGGTTTTCCATAACAGTGTCAAACATCTGGGAATTGTGGGGCTACTCCTTAGATGCTTAAGTTGATGTTTCTTCCTTTTTTTCAGGGGAATTGGGTCCTGAGTTCAGTCCAAAGATGCCTATTAAATCTATAACTTCTCAGCAAATTGTTCGCATCCATCAGTTATTTCGTCAAGCTAAATTTGATGATCCTAGTGGTGATGTAAGCATTTTTTGTCTCTGTTCATTATTACATTCAGTCAGCGAATAATTCCTATATAGTCTTGGCTATGTGGTTTGGCCCATTACTTAGTCACTGTTTTCAGTGTCTGAGTCCTGCAGGGGAATACAATCTTCGTCTAGGAATTATAAAGGAGCTGCATCCAGACATGGTCGCGACTTATTCTGGAAGGTTGTTATAATTCTAACTTTTCTAGTTCATGTTTCTTTTCTAAGAGTTATTGTACAAAGCTTACTGCTATTAATTTGTAATGAGTTTATTATTTGTTATCCGCTGATTTATTGACTTTGTACCTAAATGTCGGTTCTATACTTCATATACTTCATATACTACAGTGCTCGAGTTTTTGAAGGCCACCCATTCATTGTGGAAGCTGGTGTCAGCGTGGGTGGAAAAGATGTCAAGCAAGTAGGTGATTCTTTATTAATATTGACGGTCAATATAGACTGAGGAATTAACAAATTGAAAAATGGAATTTTGTTTTTATCGCTTTTGTTTTCTCTAAGATGCAATTTTACCTGATTACTACTTGAGTACTACAAATTGTATGTTAGACTTTAAGTTTCAGTTTCTTTAGCTATTAATCCAATGACAACATTCATGAAGCTTTCCGGTTTACAATTTAGGGTTTGAATATTTTCCGATTTGCAAACCGAATTCCACTTCTTTTCGAGCAAGGTGCTGATGTTGTCACCAGGACCGCTCTTAAGAGAATCAAGTGAGTCATAGAGAAATTTGTCATTGTTCTTTGTAGTTTTTATTTTTTTGTTGAGACTGTGTGGAGAAGAAGAGGGGGCTTTTTGGTGATAAAAAATACCTCAGTTGCTAGCTTGAAACTTCACTAAGACAATGTGACTATATTCTTTCAGTTGGAGTGGTTACAAGATCAACCAAACTCAGGATAAAATTGGTGTCTTTGTGAGCATTGTAAGCACCAAAATACCCTTTAAAGGAACCGGGAAGGAGTATATTGGAGATGATATAACTGAAATAGCTTCAGCTGTCAAGGTAGATGGCTTTATTATAATGTTAATCTTCATTCCGGTATATATATAAACCCAAATTATTTAACAACAATACCTCTACAGTCTGCCATTCAACAGTGTTGCATCCAACTAAAAACCAAGATAGTGAAGAAAATCCAAGCTCGTGAACAGCAGGAGAGAAAGCGAAGTTTGAGCATGTAAAACAAATAAATCATTTGGCCTCTATTCTTGTTTTTTCATGAATGCTCATTTCCCCTTCTGCACGAATTGAAACAATCTAACTGTCAATTTGCAGGTATGCCGATAATGCTGCTACTGCTGCGTATAATGTGTTGGAGGCAATGGAAAAATCACGGGCATCAAAGAAGCAACGTTATGAGGATAAGGATGCAGAAATGCATAAGGAAATATTAACACATAGTACAGTTAGAAAAGAAACGCTCCGGGAATTATATGAGGAAATATCAGCTGGTGCAATTACAAAAGAAATGCTCAGGGAAAAGCTTCTACAACATGTTGAGCAGGTGAGATGGTGCCTACGTGACTTGATATGTGTCTCTCTATAACATGTTTTTTTCTGCTCTTTCCGTTTATTTATATACTTTAGGTGGGAGGTAGGCATCCACATAACAAGATTAGGCATGTGCTAACCTTGTGATCAAATTTTGTAGGTGGACTATGAAATGGCATTGGAGTATGCTACACATAGCGGAGTGAGTGAGGAACCCAGAGAAGCCATATTTATACAGTCATTAGAAGCTGCAGAAGATAACTTTATGGACTTGCATAGTCCTGCATTTGTCTTTCGGCTCTTCTGCTAGGAATTCTTGGAGGATAGTAAAGATCTTCAAATTCATGTCTCACTGCAGCTGTGCAATGAAAATCTTGATGTTGCTGTTCGATTCAATTTATTCCAAGTTTGTTTCAAAATATGTTCTTGAAATCTAACAATTCATAAGGCATCTTTTGATCTACTTCTCAAGCTTAGTTTCATTCTTCATTAATTGCAATTGCCATTGTTGCTTCTGTTTACCTTCAAGATTTTACTCATTTCATCTATCCGGACATTCAAGATTTCACAATTGCAATAAAAGTTTCGGTCGTAAGTTTTCCCATTGGTACTTCATAGAATAGAATCGCACTCTCAAAGAGACTCCATGTCATTGTTCTACCAACTAGCACCACATGTGCCATAGCACGGGTTGCAATCTCGCACATTACACAACAATACAACTTGAAAATGATACGGATTAAACTCGAATATGAATATGGCACGATCAGCTAACACGAATAATAAATGGGTAGGTTAGTGTCAACATGAATAACTAAATTGCGGCACAACAAACACATTTTAACTAGTGTCATATGAAAAATACAATTCATCTCCCTTTTTTTATTATAGTTTTTTTTAACGATCTTTGTATTATATGAATTATTGTATAATATAAGTTTGTATCTTTTTATGATTAAGTCATTTTTCATTGTACAATATTAGATAAATCAGAGGTTTGGTTATGAAATAAAGGAATGTTATACAAACACGATATGATTATGAATGGATGAATCCCAACAACCTACGATTACAAATGAGTTAATAGCCTTTCGACACGAACAGGACCGTTACAAATGAGTTAGAAGGCCAGAAACTGTTTGTAATAGCCCTCTCAACTTGCTTACCTTTTTGTTTGTTTGGGCTTCATGCCCCAAAAAGACAAAAATGGTCTTTTCTTTTTTTGGTCGGAAAGAAAAAGGGTCTAACAGACTTCCCTCCGTTGCTGCATTGATAAAAAATAATAATAATAAAAAGCCATCAAAATAAAAAAGTATGCCCCACTGCTCTCTCTGTCACCATCTTTCACTGTATCGCAGAATTTCCAATTTATAAGCATATAACTAACAGAGATTAAGCGAAGATCCATTGCAAATTTGGAAGACTCAAAATTCCAGTTGCTAGATTTGCAACAAGTAAAGCAAGAAGTGCGGTTGGGTTATTCAAAATGGGAGAGGTACCCCAGATTGCCATTCTTGGAGCTGGTACCTTTATGAGGACCCAATACATTCCTAGGCTCGCTGAGATCTCTAAGCTCCTCCTTCTTAAATCCATTTGGAGCCGTACAGAGGTACTTCAATTTTTTCGTCTTCCTTTTTATCGTTGAATTAAAAGATTTCATCTTTTTTCTTTCTTTTTTTGGGTTTGATTCTAGGAATCTGCTAGAGGTGCCGTTGAGATTGCTCAAAAACATTTTCCAGGAGTAGAATGCAAATGGGGTGATAAGGGTCTTCAAGAAATTATTGAAGATAGTTCAATTCTTGGTGTTGCAGTGGTTTTAGCTGGCCAAGCTCAGGTATAAAGAAAGAATAAAGCTTGCTTCTTTTTGTTAATAAAAGAAAGAAAAAAAAAACTAAAGTTTGTTAGACCAAATTTTATCTTTTTGGTAATGTGCTTTGATGAGGAATGAGGATCTTTGTTAGATGACTAGAATTACAGGAATGCTTTATATAGTTGGATTGACTAAAAGTGTGTTAGTTTTAATAATAACTCGTGCAGGTTGATTTCTCATTGAGGCTGCTCAAGGCAGGGAAGCATGTCCTTCAAGGTTAGTTATAGTTTCTACTAATTGTTAGTTATGTGAGGATTTGAAACTCCATCTCCCTCCACCCCCCATCAACTGCCAGGGTGGTGCATTGTTTTCTATTGGACTGAATGTCTAAATATTATGATGCAATGATAGTTCAATCTATACAGTACAATGGACTAAAACTTTCCCTTTGTTTGTGTCTACTGTCTCTATTCACTATTGTTTGGCTGGCTTGGTGGGCTCAAAGAGAAACCTGCGGCAGCTTGTAAGTATGATGCAATTTCGGTTTAACTTAATGTGTTTTATGTTGCCTTTTTAATTTATTATATGACATCTTGAGTTGAAGATTCTGCTTATTTCGGTTGTTATTACTTCTGCTTATTAGTCTGTTTATTGGCTACCAAATCTTCACTTATGATACAACTGCACCAAAGTTGAAGTTAATTTGTACAACTCTTTAGATGGTATATAACTTATGGTTTCTACCACATCCAAATTTTCTTATAATGTGTTGTAGCCTGTAGGGAAGAAAATAAGAAACAAAACCACTGTCAGATTGTGAGTTCAAAAAAAATTTATAAATTATGTTTCTCCCCAGCCTTTGTGCCTCCTATTCACTATTCTTCCAATTCCTTTCTTCTTTGACCATCACCTCTAACATACACCACAACAATGCTTCTATGTCAGTATTAGAAACAATGGTAGACAAAATAAGGATATATGCATAAAAACAAAACAGAAAACACCATGGAGATGCAAAAAATATGAAAAGATTATAGGGTCCTCTTTCTCCACTAAAGCCTAGCATTGAATGGGACTGGATTAGCAGGTAACCTCTAAGCAGGAGGAATTACGTAACATGGATCTCAATATCTGCCCAGTTAACTCATCTTCGAAATCTTACTGAAGGACTGGATTTGTTATCTCCTGTTTGCTTTTCGTGAAAAAATACCAGTTGAAGCAAAGGGTTTCTTCAAACAAGTTCTATTTTATGATATCCTCTGCTTCCATCTTACACAGTCATGACCGCTTTTGCACTGATTATTATGATGTCCTTCTTTTTTATTACTTATAAATATATTTTTTCACCACAAATCTTTCAATTATTTTTCTCCTGTCATTATTTGGATTACTATTTTATATATATATATAAGTTGCCTCAAATGTGAGATAGTATATGATTGTTTGAGTTCAAAAGTTCAAAATTCTAAATTGCTGATTTGATAATGCAGCTACAAGCGAATTGGAAACTGCACTGTCAAGTTATAGGTCAATTTTTGCCAATATCCCTGATAAACCAATTTGGGCCGTAGCAGAAAATTATAGATTCGAACCTGCTTTCGTTGAGGTACCAGTATATTGATATTGTTAAATTATTTTTACTTTTTTGACTTAAAAGACCCTCATTGTCACTTTTACAGGGCAAAAAACTAGTGAATGATATTGGAGATGTGATGAGCATCCAAGTTATTGTTGAAGGATCAATGAACAGTTCGAACCCTTACTTCTCAAGCTCCTGGAGGCGCAATTTTACTGTACGTGCTTCCCAATTTCTCCCCCGTTCATTAGTAATTACCATCAAATAAATAAATAAATATATAATCATCTTAGTGAAAGCTACTTCTCAATGTAATGATCCTGCCTAGGGGTGGAAATTTATGAAACAATATGATAACACAACTGTGAAAATGGCGATGTTAGGCACGGCCCTGTTCATGTCAAAACCTTGGTAATCTGACTAATACAAGTATAAACAAGTCGTATTTATTAGCATGCTTAATAGTTGTGTCTTTTTGACTCTATACAATCCACTACCTATTTAGGTGTTTGAAGTAAAAATCTCTACTTCTAATGTTATATTTGATTTTTATAAGATTAATTGTAATAAAGATAAATAAATGTCGTCCCACACTACTTTGGTTTCCTTTATCAACAAGATTGTCACCTTTATGGCAGGGAGGTTTCATTCTGGACATGGGAGTACATTTCGTCGCTGGACTGAGGATGGTAATGTCACATTCTCATCAAAAAGTGACTGTAAACTATGACTTTGGTTTCTTTGAAAGAATTCTCTGCTGCTTACCCAATCATAGAATTTGAAGTTTATCTGCTGAATTTATCATTCTAGTTGTACTTATGATGAAGTCTTTTTTAATACCACTCTCTGTAGATTTTCTCTTAACCTCCTTTTATTGTATGACTGAACTCTATATTGCAGTAATCTCATAAATATTTGTATTTAGTGGCGTTCCTGTATGTGCATGTTTCCATTATTGCATATCTTTCAAGACCGTGACCTTTTTATGTTTTTTTGAAGAGAATCTTGAGTTCTCAAACTTTTGTTGACAAACTGAAGAAGGTTGTAAAACTGTGAACCCTTTCTGGCTTTAAATGCAAAGACATAATGAATCTAGAGTAACTACATTCTGGGACTCTCATGGAATTGGGAAGTTCTCAGTAGATGCATATATGTTACGAGACAGATAGGTGGTTCTGGGCCTATAGGTAAAGTGGTTATGGGGTTGGCCTGTAAATGCATAAAGCATGCTCAAGTAAGTTCACCTCTCTGTGTTATGATATTTTAATCAAGGCATGAATCTCAATATGTCCTGTTCATTGCAACAGCTTGCTGGATGTGAGCTAGTATCTGTGTCAGCTATAACCTCTCATGTTGACAAGACCTTACCTGCACCAGATAACATATCCTCTCTCTTGTAAGTTACTATTGGTTATAGTTAAATTTGCAGAATCTGTTTGTTTTTTTCTTTTTGCACAACAAAGATTCTAAATGTGACTGATTGGATTTCCTTTCCTTAGTCAACTGGAGAATGGATGTTCGGGGGTTTTTGTGATGGTAGTCTCCTCAAGATCACCAAAGGCATGTGGTAAAAATTAATTTCACATTATAATTCTGCATATACATAAACTTTTATTTTTCTCATTTTGTCTTATACCATCAGATAGTTTGGCGATTTGTTGGCTTGAAGGGAACGCTGCAAATTGAGCGTGGAAACCAAGATGGACGGCATGGCTACCTGGTATGTTGAAAATCATCCTACAGTGTATTTAATTCTATGACGCTGGACATCAGAGTGTAATGAGATTTGGGGTTCTCTTTCTTTTTTCCATCTCGAATTGTATTTAAATCACCTTGTAATAAATTGACAAGCTCTTAATCGCTTATGATACTGTGACAGGTTTTATTTTATGGTTCTGATGGACAAAGCAAAAGCTCCTTCTACCAATTTAGCGGAGTGGACGAAGAATTCAAAGCTTTTATTAATGACATATCACATGCCAATCTAAGGGTAATTTCAGATGTCAATTGTCATGCAATTTACGTGATTGGTTTTTAACGCTTATGGTCTTTACTGTGTCGGATTTTAGTTTTGACTCCCACATCCCCACCCCCATACCCCAACCCCATGTTCATCCCTCTGATGGTCTTTGCAGAAGGGAACTGGCTATGAAGCCGAGCCTCGCATGTCTTTCTTGGAAGGGGCTAGAGACGTTGCTGTTCTAGAGGCAATGCTTGAATCTGGAGGAAAGCAAGGTGCACCAGTTCATGTGAAAAAATATCACTGAAGGATGAGATCTCTGCCCCTCTCTCCCCCCCACCCCCACCTGCACCCGCGGTTGTAGCAGCTGGCAGTATGATTGAGATGTTTTATCAGTTCAATTTTTTACAGAGAAATTGTTTAAGTTGAAATAAAAGGAGGAATGTAGTTTATGTAATAATATTCATCAACAGTATGATTTTTTTTAAGTTGGTCGTTGCCTCTCTTCGGAATGTAAATGAGGAGCGTGTTGCTTCTGCAACTACAGATTCATCAATAGAATTTTACTTATTTGTTTTTTTTTTGTGTCCATCTTCACTGTACCTATTCTTTTTCGGCGGTAATTAAGGGAAATCAGACATTTTCACCTTCACTAATCTTTATGGAATCCTTTGAAAAGTGCCACTCTGGCTAATCTATACAATTCTTAAGGAGTTTTAATCCTCTAAGCTCTTCTGAACCATTGTCCTGCCACTTGCCAGGCTGCTCAACAAGGCTTGTTTCTTGAATGCAGAAATCTTTCTTCTTTCTTCTGCTACAAAATTGTTAAATAATGGCAATGCTTTCAGTTCAAATAAAATACGTTCTTGCCCCATTGGCTAAGAGGCTTAATAAGGCTTGTTTGGCTTTTGCATAACCTAAAGCGCATGATGTTGGCCATACTCTCCTCCCGTCGAGGTTTTTGGGAGTCTGGCTTGCCTTTATGTAAACACGAACACCTTTTTATTTTGACCTCTTCGGGCCTCCTTGCCCGACTGGGTCTTCACCATGTTACCTATCGTATTAAAAGAAATAAATTAAATTTTAAAAAACGAAAAAAGAAAAACATAAAGTGATTGATGTCCTGCATGTCTGGTAAATTTGCCTGCATGGGTCACGATGAGTCATGACAACTGTTCGTGTCACATCAATTTTTGAATCATCTGTTACGATTTTGGTAAATTGATGGTTCTACCTAACGCACCTATAAAAGATAAGACTCAAACTTCAATTTCAAAGAAAAAATTTCTTCTTCCTTTTCTTCCCAAAACCTTTTTATATATATAATAATTCATCAATTATGAACTCAAATATCTTCATGCTCACATTTTTCCGTCCTCTTTAAGCATTCCAAATTATAGTCATTTCTCATTATTTTCTGAACTGCTACAGCATGTAGTGTGGGCCTAAGTTTTGCAATTTTTTCTCTCAAACCATGAATACCATTGATGATATATGAATGTAGGAGGTTGTCTTTTGCTTTCCAAATTGGCCCCATGAAACACACCCACTGTCGTAAGAATTGAATTTTTGGGGTATGAGCATGGCCAAATAAAATAGTTTGTATCTAGTGATGCATATATCATTTAAGAGTTCAAGATTTCAGCGTTTGGAGACCATGCATTTCCATGGTCACCTATATTCATGTAATTATACATACTTTTCATCTACTTAATCTATTTTCTCTCCCGTTTTTCTACTCTATAGTTCTGTTTCCTATTAAAAAAGATTATAACGTACTAAATTCACACACATTACACAAATGCTAGAACTCGAAACCACTACAATAGTGAGTCATTTGCCTATAATTCTCTCTTTTAATTGAAAAGGAACGAAACTAAAAACAAAAATGCTGTCATATCAACCTTATATTTAGTTTACCCTTTAGTTCAAGTCACCTTCTTCCACCACCATACCAACCTCAGTATAATAGTACCAATCCAACTCACCTTTAATTTAAGAAAATTAATGCGACCACCTATATATTCATACATTATACAATGGTGATATAGGAAGTATGGATGCAATGATTTTGGAACAATCTCACTCTAATCTAACATGGCTTATACCACTATCAACAAAATAAATTTGACTAAATCATACAATACAAGTTTTTATTTATTAATTAATTTATGTTGATATCTACAGGTTCATCTGCCATTATATACGATTTAAATTCAAGTTATTCCGGGTTAAATGAATTTTAACATATTACTTAACAAGGTGTGAATTGAGATTTTTATTTTAAGGTCACATCAACCTTTGAAATAAGCATTAACCTTTTTGTCTTCTGAGAGTATGTACCCACATCAATCAATTCATACAATACATTTCCCTATGAAAGTAATAAAGTTTGCCCATAAAAAATAATAAAATATAAAAAAAAGAATGCCACATTTGATCCCCTCTTGACTATTAACGTGTATAAATTCTCCAATGTATTGACGATGAGATAAATTTACACGTCCATCAAAGAGTACCACAACCTCCAAGTATGTGAAGCAAGCCCAACAATCTTTCTGTCGCAAAGAATTTCGAAACCTACTAAAAAATTAATTTCTCCAAGTAACCTATTGTGATCTTAAGAATTACGGATGTTACGTGCAGTTTCATAAGGAAAAAAAACAAAGGGAATTCACCACCACTAAAATGTTCATAACTATACCAAACACATGATGAGGAAACCAAGAGACACTATTCCAAGACCAACAATCCCCGAATGAGCCAAAACCGACCGCAATCCTCACACGAGTGCAGCGGGCTCTCGCATAACAAACACATAAAAAAGTGTGAAAAAGTTGGCACTGAGTAGGCTCTCTCTCTCTCTCTGTATATGCTCTTTATACACAGATTCAGTCTTTCACAGATCTTAACTTAGCCCCACACTTCACACTTTAGTTGCCTCTTTCTCTTACAAACTGAAACTGGGTTTCCCATTTTTTGTATTTTCCTAAATTTTTAGATTTTCCATGGCAGCTCCCTGAACTTGAAGAAAGCACTGTAGTTTACCTGAGGTCAGTGTCAACTCTCTTTCCCATATTCTTTGTCAACTCAAAGGAGTTGGCATTACTTGTAAAGTTTTATTTTTTTATTTTTTCTTTGTCAAAGTTGGCCATTTACTTGTGAAGTTGAACATCGCTTGCTTTTTTAAAGATTTTCTTGAAGTTGGTTTTGAGTAGTTGTTGAAAACCCATGTGTCTTTCATTGTGAGTAGTAGTAGTTGAAGTTATAATGCACTAGTTTTCTTGAACTTTGAGCTTACTTCTTGTCTTGGACTTCGTGGGTTTTCTGGACTGGATCTGTGAGTTGTGAATGTATTGCTCATTTTCGTACGGTAAACTACAACAAATGCATGATTTCTTCCTTTTGTTCTCTCTGATTAGTACTCTGAAGTTAATGTGGTTGGTTGCTCAGAAAATGTGTATGAACCTTAATGTTGGTTATGTGTTGTAAAAGGGAAAAACTTTATATATTTATCTAAGTTGAAATTATTATTTTTCACTTTCTTTGTGATCCCAAAAATGGAAAGAGAAGTAACATTTGAATTTTTTCTCTCTCTCCGTTCTTCTCATAGAAACCAAAAGAGGGTACTTTCCGGAAGAGTAACATATTGATTTTTTGATCTCTTTGAATTCTGCAGGTTGTGAACAAGCTCTTACAGACGCATTTTCCCACTCTGTTATCGTGTATAAGTGTACTATGCTTGATTAGGTTCCTTAATTTGTCCTTTTCTTTTGAAGTTCTTGGTAAAGTTATCTCCTTTCTATCTTTGGGATATAATTTCTCTTCAATCTTCACAAAGAGCTTCTACATCTTTAGGAAGGAATTGAGCCTTGGTTTTGGAAATGTTGAGGTTGCACTTGCAGTGATAACAGCTCTCTAGAACCATATCTTGTTTCAAAGCTTCTGCTTTTCATATCCTAGCTTCTGTTGCCATTCCATAAACTAGAAAAATGCAGAAGCCTCCTCAGCCTCAAGATTTTGCTTTGAAAGAGACCTCGCCAAACATTGGCGCGGGCTCGGTCACCGGTGACAAGCTCTCATGCACCTATGACCTTGTTGAACAGATGCAATACCTTTATGTTCGTGTGGTCAAAGCAAAGGATTTACCTGCAAAAGATGTTACTGGTAGCTGTGATCCCTATGTTGAAGTGAAACTTGGAAACTATAAGGGAGTTACTAGGCATTTTGAGAAGAAGTCCAACCCTGAGTGGAATCAGGTGTTTGCTTTCTCCAAAGATCGACTTCAAGCTTCGTTTTTGGAAGCTGTGGTGAAAGATAAGGATGTTGTGCTAGATGATTTCATGGGCAGGGTTATATTTGATGTCATTGACATCCCAAAACGCATTCCACCAGATAGCCCATTGGCACCACAATGGTATAGGCTGGAGGATAGGAAGGGGGTTAAGGTCAAGGGAGAGCTGATGTTGGCTGTTTGGATGGGAACTCAAGCAGATGAGGCATTTCCAGATGCGTGGCATTCAGATGCTGCAACAGTTGGGCCGGAGGGTGTCAATAACATTCGATCAAAGGTATACCTCTCCCCCAAGCTTTGGTATGTGAGGGTCAATGTTATTGAAGCTCAGGACTTGCTACCTAATGACAAGAGTAGGTACCCGGAAGTTTTTGTGAAGGTTATGCATGGAAATCAGGTATTTAGGACTAGAATATCACAGAGTAAAAGTATTAATCCAATGTGGAATGAAGATTTGATGTTTGTTGCTGCTGAACCGTTTGAGGAACCTTTGTTTCTGACTGTGGAAGATAGAGTGGGATCAGGCAAAGATGAAATATTGGGGAAGTGTGTGATTGCTTTACAGAATGTGCAGAGGAGGTTAGACCATAAGCCTGTGAACACTAGGTGGTTTAATCTTGAGAAGCATATGATCATAGATGGGGAACAGAAGAAGGATATCAAATTTTCCAGCAGGATTCATTTAAGGATTTGTTTGGACGGTGGATATCATGTTTTGGATGAATCAACACACTACAGTAGTGATCTTAGGCCAACAGCAAAGCAGTTGTGGAAGTCAAGCATTGGGATTTTGGAGGTAGGCGTTTTAAGTGCCATGGGACTGATGCCAATGAAAACAAAAGATGGCCGAGGAACCACAGATGCTTATTGTGTAGCTAAATATGGGCAGAAATGGGTTCGAACGAGGACGATTGTGGACAGCTTTAATCCTAAGTGGAATGAGCAGTACATCTGGGAGGTTTTCGACCCATGTACTGTCATCACAATGGGGGTTTTTGACAATGGTCATATACATGGGGGTGATAAAGGGGGAAAGGATTCAAAAATTGGCAAAGTGAGAATTCGGCTATCTACACTTGAAGCTGACAGGGTTTACACGCATTCCTATCCTCTCCTGGTTCTACATCCATCTGGGGTGAAGAAAACAGGTGAAATTCAGCTGGCAGTGAGGTTTACATGCTTATCTTTGATTAATATGTTGCATATGTATTCACATCCGTTGTTGCCAAAAATGCACTACATTCATCCATTGTCTGTAATTCAGCTTGATAGCTTGAGGCACCAGGCTATGCAGATTGTCTCAATGAGGCTGAGCCGGGCTGAGCCACCCCTGAGGAAAGAGGTTGTAGAGTATATGCTGGATGTTGATTCACATATGTGGAGCATGAGAAGAAGCAAGGCCAATTTTTTCAGAATAATGGGAGTTTTAAGTGGGTTGATTGCAGTAGGAAAATGGCTTGATCAGATCTGCAATTGGAAGAATCCTCTTACAACCATTTTGATTCATGTCCTTTATATTATCTTGGTTCTTTACCCAGAACTAATTCTTCCCACTATTTTTCTCTACCTATTCTTGATTGGAATTTGGAACTTCCGGTGGAGGCCAAGACATCCACCTCACATGGACACCCGGCTATCTCATGCTGATGCTGCTCATCCTGATGAACGAGACGAAGAGTTTGACACATTCCCAACTTCCCGGCCATCAGATATTGTTAGGATGAGATATGATCGACTAAGAAGTATAGCAGGGAGGGTTCAGACTGTTGTTGGTGATCTGGCAACTCAAGGCGAAAGGTTTCAGTCACTTCTGAGTTGGAGAGACCCAAGAGCAACCACTCTGTTTGTAACTTTCTGTTTGATTGTTGCCATAGTTCTCTATGTAACCCCATTCCAAGTTGTGGCCCTTCTAGCAGGCATATATGTGTTACGGCATCCCAGGTTCCGCCACAAACTTCCTTCAGCTCCACTCAACTTCTTTAGGAGGTTGCCTGCAAGATCAGACAGCATGCTTTGAGCACAACTGGCCTTCACTTGTCTCCTTTTCATCATTGTATCTGTGTTTCAAAGTCGTGCAGATGCTGAAGCAGGGTGAAATAGTAACCAATCGGCAAATTTCATTTTATGAACTTGTTTATGTTTTCATATTTAAATTCTGTTTATTGTAATCAATGCATGTCAATTTGTAGGATCCAATTTGAACAAAGCCAGTGCAGAACCAGAATTTGATCTAACTTTGCAACTCTATATACAAAATTTGGACTTGGTGCTCTTGAAACTATATAAGAATGAGACATCCAGTATCTGCTTTCAAGGGCATCTCAAACACGCTAGTTAAAATACACTCAGAAACTGTGGAGATAGCAGGATGGAATTTTGAGTAACTCAGATTCTGAATGTTGAGCAAATCTTTTAAATTACTTCTCAAATGAGCATGAAGAGGTGCATATTTATGGCCCTTACAAGTTATAATTGAACCATTTGGGAAGTCCATAGGGGAAAAAACACACTTCCCTAGTTTTCTTTCTGTGTTTCTCCAAATCATTGATTAATTGTGTATGACCAACCATCTAATGACACTACATACATTTCCAGCTCAAATTCTGAAGCCATCCCTTAGACATGATGCAAAACGAATTCATATACCATGCTAACAACAACAATATACAATTGACGCCTTTGAAGGAGCTAGAAGTCTCTCTCAAGAAGCAACCCAATTGCATTGCTCTCTGAGGAGTAAAAATGACCTTCATATGGGTTTAGAATGTTTGGCCCACTTAATTCTTCTCTCCCTATCTACAAATCAGACCAACAAGTAAGAAAAATAATTTATTTTTTTGTTAGAATAAATTAATCAATTTAGATAAAACTGTGTTAATTATTAGTTAATTTTAAAAAAAATTATTATATACATATTTTAAAAAAAATACTTAAAGCAAATACAAATCTTCACTCTGAATAAATAAGGCATATCTGAGTGATGTGCAACATTATTTCATTGCACACAATTCATCTGCATTTTCTTGAAGCGTTCTTTGTGATTGTGACAGTCTAACCTTGAAAAAAAAAAGATATCAAAAGTTAGAGTAGCATAGTGGCATCCCCAAATTCGAACTCTTTCAATATATATATTTGCCAGCATTGCATCACCTCGTCTATAAAAGCTGCTGTTAGCCTGTCACAAGCAAAAGATCAACGATTATGAGAGCTCTCATGCCCCTTGGAAGTGATGAATGTGATGTATTTTATAAAAGTTAAAACAATTATTTATTTAATTGCCAATATGATATAATTTAGTGAAAAAGAACCTTAATTTGCAGATTGCTGGTCTCAAGTTCGAATCCCAAATCTGAACACCCCCTCCCCCCTCCTCTAGTTTAAACTCTCGCTTGTATTGAAATATATATATATATATATATATATTTAACATAATCCAATAATGTGATTTGGGTTCATTACCATTAGGGCAAGTCCTATAAACATTAGAGAATGATGAGAAATATAGAACAAGACAACCAATGGGACACAAAGAATTGCGTGATTAGGCTCTTGGCCTATGTCCACCATCAAGGACAATGAGGTTCACCAGAGAATTACAAAAGCTTAGATTACACCAAAGCACTCTGTAATTTTAGATTCCCAAACTCGCTTTATGTTTCCCCACACAAAGTCAACTCTATTCTAAATATGAAGCATGGAATTTGAAACATATTTCTACTTTTAGTTTATATATATAAAACACAACTTTCATCCGTTGGCGTGAGATTTAAATATAAGACCTCCTCCAAAAGTGTGGAGACTAAACGCCACCGGATGAAATGATAATTATAATCTTTTTATTATTTCTTATTTCCTTCTACTCCAATAGTCTTGTGTGGCAAGATCCCATGCATATATACTGTGCAAATATATATACTGAAATGTTTTTTTTTCTTGTAGTAATGGCATGAGATTAGCTGTGTATTAGTACACACAAGTATATACGGTTCTCAATTGTTTTTCCATTAAAGAATAATATATAGAAATAGTCAATTAATTATTTGAAGACTTTGGATATCTTTGTGAAGTAAACTTCAGGCTTCTTCAGCAGTATCTATAACTATAAGGAGAAGAATTTTCAAATGAACACCAGTACACCAGTATGTAATCTTAGCATGCAGTATATGGTAGCCACAATTTAATTACTGTACTGTACAAACCGTACGTAAGTACGTATGTATACCTGTGAAATGCAATCGTGCATGCCACAAAACTATATACTAGCAAAATCTGAAATAAAAACAAAGCAAAAAGTCTAAGGGGGTTAATTATAATGTTCATAACAATGACATAAGCCAAAATATCATTCATTGAATTTAGAAAAGATGGACTCTAAGATATAAAAGTAAGTTCAAGTTATGGTACATCATGTATATTTTGTAATATAAAAATGCTGATGTATGTGCTTGGTAACTGGTATATGTGGTGGAGTATCGATACATTGTCACATGACTAATTCACATGTTATAATATAAATGGACAAAAGGATTTAAATGACATGGATCTACAATATAGTACTAATTAATAATCCTACATATCACAATATGAGTAAATTGATAATACCGCATAACGGTGTGACTCTCACGACAACAAAACTACTCATGGACATGGTGGTGCCTGAAATGAAATGACACGCTGCATTGAGATCCTTCATTGTGCAAATTTTTGTGTCAATAATGTAATTGGCGATAAAGACATGGGATGATGCCATCATATCATGCAAATTAATTTTATTTCTTTTTTATCACTCTGCCGTCCTAGCTATTAGAAAATTATTTCACCACTTTCATAATTAGAAAGCAACAATTTTGTTTTTTCTTAATTTTTTTTATTTAAAAAATCGCTTTTGGATAACCAAAATCACTTCTAATAGCATTTGGCTGAAAGTTTAGAAGTACTTATGGATTATAGAAACGCTTTCTGGAGAAACACCTGTGCTTCTTCAGATGCTTCTCCAGGAAGTACTCCTAAGTGTTTTTCTAGGAAGCTCTTCGATTTCTTTTTTAGAAAATTTCAATATCTTTATAACGAAAGTGTTTTTACTAGAAGACCGCTTATAATCAAAAGTGGTTATTAGAGAAATAGTCCCAAATGAAGAAATAGACCAGAATCATATCAATTCTAATTTTCTTTTGACATAATACATCAGCAAGTACAAAATTGGCGGATCCAATAATTCGGTGTGACATAATACTTGTTTTTTCATTTCCAAGATTTGATTATTACATTGTTCCTCAAAAAAAGATTTGATGATTACATTTTGACCCCAAAAAAAAAGGATTTGATTATTACAAATTTTCATGTATATTATTTTAGGACGTCATTTTCATAAAAAGGTTTCTTTCGTTTTAGTTTCTTGGAGAATTAGTCAACTATGCACTCAAACTTTTAATAACTTATTGAATTTATGATGACAAAATCACAAAGCTCACCCAAAATAACATGCTTTGATTACTAGTGATTAAATAAAGTGCATGATCGGCGGACCCAATTACCAGAAATAACTTCCTCTCTATTATACATGTACTTTTTGATTACATGAGACCTGTTAAATGGCTTTCATCATAACTTTTAAAAGTCAAATCTTCTTTTGGCCGGACTTTTTAAGGTCAATAATTTAATCAACCAAAATGTGTGATTTATAAAATATTTTGTCCTAGAGAGAGAGAGAGAAATCCATGACAATTACAAGCACACAAAAGGGGTCTCAAGTTCGAATCTTCATGACACATTGGTGGTGTGTGTGAGAAATTTCCTCATCCTTTTAGTTTAGACTATCACTTATATTAAAAATAAACACATAAAAAATCACAACCTTAAAAAAATGAAAACTAGAAAATATGAAGCATAAGTTCTAAACTTGTAATTAAATCAACATCACTTCTATATGGATTATCCTCATGCCATGAAACGATGTCGATGTTATGATATAATCTCTGTATTTTAGTCTAAGTATACAAGGAGTTGACTCCCTTCGACATAGTTCGGAGCTCTAAAGAGGGGAAGATGTCTAATTGCATTGAGTTTGGGTTTAGCTAGTACGACACTATGGGTTTAGCCAGTATGTCACTATGATTTTCTTCAAATTGCCCGAAAGATGTGGAGCAGTGGTCATGTTTTTCTTAGTTTGTTTTAATCTAATTTTCAGAAACTCCTTTGGAGTTTGCTGTGATTTGTTTTCTATTTAAGATTTTTATTTCTTTTTAGCTTATGGCTTTCAATACAATTTATCGTTGCACAACAATTATGTATTGTAGGTATAAGTACATGTGCTTCTAGTTGCTGAATTGGGATTTAGTAATTGTTTGGGTTGTGCGTGATTCTCTCTAGATCAATTCAATATGTTGTTGTATTTGGTCATTAGAGAAGATTTACCCATATTCAGCATATAGTTGCTTTGTACTTTTATTTATTCATAAATAATATACTATCGTTTTTTTTTCCAAAAGTAAAAATAAAAATCTTCTATCCCCTTGTTCAATACATATTGACAAGAACCATACCTTTGGAAATATCCATCATTGTACTTGCGTTACGTTTTAAGTTGTTCATATGGTTAATTCATTTATTTATAAGAAAAATTAGGTATTAGACATAACAATCCTTACTTTTTTTAAAAATTTATTATTATTATTATTATATTTTTACAATCCTTACTAATTAGAATTTGAGACACAGAGTATTTCTATTGGGGTTTTAATAAAATGAAAGCTCCTTTATTTATATCATTTTATATCACTAAGAAGCTCATTTTTACTTTAAAAATAAGATATCCATTTTTCTTCCTTTGGCAGCATGCACTATTTGTAAAATGCTATTGTTCCATTGGAGTGAAGAGTGTCGGCCTTTCCTTTAGGCCAGTATCTGACTACAAGTTACAACTACTCCATTAAAATAGTTGTGTGCAAAATGATAATTAAAACCAAATATAAAATATGTGAATTTAAATTAACCACCTAAATTACAGAAATAAATAATACCATAAGAAATTATATATGTTGATATCATCTCCTCTTCTTAAAAGAAAATACCATCATCTTATTTGAAAAGAAAAAAAAATATTGACATCATGTTATATTTGACTATGTAATATTCCACCATTATATGTTGTAAAGTCACTTTCATTAAAAACGTCTTATATTTTTAATAAATCCATGTCAAATTAGATATACACATATATATTGATCTATTCCCCTGAAAAGAAAAGGAAGAGACTAATTAATTCATTAAAAATATGTGAGGAGTTTGTAGCTCAACGTCATTAAGAGCAGTTACCATGCCTTGTATTAGAAAAAAAAATATAAATATAAAAGGCTTAATTCATAGCCATTGTAATGAGAGACTCTCATGCAACGGGAAGAACAAAAGTGTTATTCCCGACTAATAACGCAATGACACATATAATAACTTTTTCATATGTCATTGTGTTATTGATTGAGGAAAGCAAAATAATGTTACCCCCTTAAGTTTCTTTGCACTAAAAACGGTATCCAACTGTCAGAATCCTAACCCTCCCGCGCAACTTAGAAAACAGGATGAAGAAAGCCATATAAACACAAGGAAACGAAAAACAAAAAAATGGGTTTGCATTATCCGCCATCATTCATTCGACAGATTGCTTCTCCAAATTCCAAGTTCCATTTTTAACGTAGTCACCGTAGATCCCTGTATTCTATGGGCATATCCGCTGTTATTTCTTTTTTTAATTTTTAATCAATATCTCCTTCACTCTGAGAATATTGTTGTGTACTGTATGCACTGTTTATTGGACACATGGACGACGTTTTCAATATGAAGTGAGAAAGGTAGGAATATCTGAATATTTGGATTGAAAATTCTCGGAGTGCCCAAGGAAGTTGGTGTTTTGGGAAGCAAAGAAACAGTTGGGATTTTTGTCTGCTTGTTGTTGGAGGGAAGAGGCATCTGGGTTGTTTTAAATATCAGAGAAATTGTGAGAAATGAGATCAGCAACTTTTTTTGTGTATGGAAGAACGGCTCATTTGACCCACAGTTACCATTGTTATATGCCATTTGGCATTCAATTGGAGCAAACCCTCTTGCCCATTTCAGCTCTAAGGTAAGTCATTTTCATGGTGAGAATTAACTAGCTCTGTTTTACACGTTTGGTGGTTTGGGAAGAGAGGTTTCATGGTATATATAAAAGTGTAGTGGGTGGAGGAGCAGAGGAAATTTATGGCCATCAAATATTTGATCTTTGGTCTAAAAGAGAGTAACCCAGATAAAAGAAGTAGAATGTAAAACATGTGGTGGCTATATATTCTGAATGAGAGTGTACAACAAGTTTATGATGTTAAATTGGTGGGTAAAAATCTCGGCTTTCTTTCAATTTCATTCCATGATTGTTTTCTGAGCTTAAGGTGATAATGGCATTGCAGGGACTATTTTATAGAGCGCACTGAGTTGATCAAGCTGCTGCCTTTGGAAGGCGTAGAATATATATTCTACAATCTTTGCATTTCCACCAAGGTATATTCATGTTCATCTGTCTAGTATTTTTTCAACATAGTTGGATCCTGAGGACCTTCTTGAGTATATGGAGGCCTTTATTCCTACATTGTTGCTATATGCAGAAGAGAAGTAAATCAGTCTTATGAGATGTAATAGTAATTACGCTCTCTTTTGGACTTTCAATTGTCTGCACATGAAACCTTTTATGAATTATAGAAAGTAAGAATATCTACCTGGCTCCAATGCAGCCTTCAAAGGTTTGGAACTTCATTTGAAATGTCAAGGTTTTTCCAAAATTGATTACCGACCTTTGTTCTTCTCATTGTCCTCACTGGATATTTGTGTAAATGTCCTTGTTTCTTGTAATAACAGACAAGAAGACACATAAGATTTTGGTTTTATCACCAACTGAATACTGATCTTTGTCTTCTTATTGTCCTCACTGGATATTTGTGTAAATATCCTTTTTCTTGTAATAACAGACAAGAAGACACATAAGATTTTGGTTTTATCATCGACTGTGGTTATAAAACTCGTACTATTTATGGATACCCTTGTGTAGGGTTTCTGATAACTAGGAGTTATAACTGGAATGAAGTTGAACTCCGTCTGTTATTTGATGTCAATAGGCACTGCCAGAAGGCCTGAACGGTGAGGGAGATGGACCCTGGAAAGTCAATAGAGGACCAGTTCTCCAGGCTGCATCCATGCCTGCCTATGAACACAAGAATTGGGATAGTAGGCGCTGGTCCAAGTGGTTTATCAGCTGCTTATGCACTGGTGAAGCTTGGTTACAGCAATGTGACTGTGTTAGAGAAGTACCATACCGTTGGTGGCATGTGTGAATCAGTCGAGATTGAAGGTAAGAAATATAAGATGTATTTTATGCCTAATTTGTTATGTAATTGATTTTGACTACATATATACTACATTTACAGGAAATATTTATGATCTGGGTGGTCAAGTTCTTGCTGCAAACAGTGCCCCTGTCATCTTTCACTTGGCAAAGGAGACTGGATCTGAACTAGAAGAAATGGACTCCCACAAGCTTGCACTTATTGACAATACTACAGGGGAGTATCAAGATATTAAAGTTGCAGATGATTATGTATCTGTGATCTCACTTACCTTAGAACTCCAGGTTAGTTCCTACTCTTATACACTCTTTTTCTGTTTTTTTCCTCAGCTTTGGTAATACTGATATCTCCACTTTACGTTTGATAGGATAAGGCAGCAAGTTCAGGTCGAATTGGAGTCCATGCTGTGAGTGAATATGCTTCAGACTTAACACCAGTATATCTTGAACGTCATGGATTTAAGTCTGTTCCCAAATCCGTGGCTTATGGATACACTGCTTCTGGTTATGGGTATATTCAAGACATGCCTTATGCCTACATTCATGAGTTCACACGAACTTCCATGGCTGGGAAAATTCGCCGTTTCAAAGGTGGATATACAAGTCTTTGGAAGAAGATCAGTGAATCACTCCCAATAGTTCACTGCAACACTGAAGTGTTAGAGATCAGACGCCATTCTGATTGTGTCAGTGTTGATGTAAAAAGTTGTAATGGAGAAGTTAAAGTTATGGAGTTTGATAAAATCATCATTTCTGGTTCCTTTCCTTTAAAAAATGGAAGAACTTACAGATCACTACCTTCACATCCTGCAGGTTTGTTCATTACTCCAGCTCCCTGTTTGTTTGTTTCTTTATTATCATTATTTTTCCTTTTTGTCTTGTTGAGATGCCTAACAAGGATTTGTCGTTGCAGAACATGAGAGTGAAGTAATGGAGATGGGTGATGTTGAGAAGGAGTTGTTCAGTAAAGTACAGACAATTGACTACTACACTACTGTTCTTAAGATTAAAGGGATAGAACACATGCCGATGGGTTTCTACTACTTTGATGAATATATAAACAATCCTGCAACAATTGGACATCCAGTTGCCATGCAGAGATTCTTTGCTGACACTGATATTTTCTTATTCTGGTCTTATGGAAATTCTGTCAATATTACGGGACCAACTGTGACAAAGCTTGCAATTGATGCTGCAAAACTTATAGGGGGAGAAGTTAGGGAGGTGGTCCTCCAACGACGATTTAAGTATTTTCCTCACGTTGGCAGCCAAGGTACGCCAATGATTTGCTTTTACATCATTTACCCCTGCCAATTAGGGATGCTAATTTTAAATATTTGAATACAGAGATGGTGGATGGTTTCTATGAGAAATTGGAATCTCAACTTCAAGGCTTCAAGAACACTTACTACGTAGGTGGGCTTATGGCTTTTGAATTAACGGAGAGAAATTCATCATATGCTATGGGTTTAGTCTGCAAACACTTTTCAAATGACAATTCCATGCCAAACTTTCCTTATGCTAAGGTAACCCAACATCAAAGTATTGAATTTTATGAATACTCAATTGAAATTGAATGATAGAAAATGCAAAGTTAGTGAAAAGGTCTTTACATAGTATAAACATGTCTCTTTGCAGAGTTTGTTTGCCTTGCAACAACAGTGGGGAGGAAGCCCTAAAAGCATGGCCGAATTACCAGGAGTGGAGTTCCCTAATCTGCCTTCCCTTGATGGCTATCTGAAGCACTGGGGAGCTCACAGAGTCATTCAAAACAAGTTACTTTATACTTGGATTAGTGAAGAAGGGGAAGTGGTGAGCCAGAGAACTTATGCAGAACTTCATGCCAATGCTTCTTGCATTGCCCAAAAGCTCTTGACATGCCGGAAACCAGTAATCAAGCCTGGCGACAGGGTTCTCCTGGTCCATGTCCCAGGCCTGGACTTTGTGGATGCCTTCTTTGGATGCTTAAGAGCTAAAGTCTTACCAGTCCCAGTTCTACCTCCAGATCCTTTACAAAGAGGTGGTCAAGCACTTTTGAAGATTGAAAACATTGCTAAATCATGTGGTGCAGTGGCAATTCTTTCTACCATTAGTTATCACTGGGCAGTCCAGGCAGGTTCAGTTAAAAATATGATCTCATTGACTGGTAAAAATCAGAAATCCAAAGCTCGGTGGCCCAATCTTCCTTGGTTACATACAGATTCTTGGATTAAGAACTCCAAAAACGTGGTTGTGGATGGTATAGCAGATGAATTTGAACCACAGGGAGATGATGTATGTTTTCTGCAATTCACATCAGGTTCGACTGGCGATGCTAAAGGAGTCATGATAACTCACGGTGGGCTCATTCATAATGTTAAGTTAATGCGAAAGAGATACAAGAGCACGTCAAAGACAGTTCTAGTAAGCTGGCTCCCTCAATACCATGACATGGGGCTGATCGGAGGGCTTTTCACAGCTCTTGTTAGTGGTGGAACTGCAATTTTGTTTTCCCCATTGACATTCATCAGGAATCCATTGTTGTGGCTCCAAATCATGAGCAAATATCAGGCTACTCACAGTGCTGGCCCCAATTTTGCCTTCGAGCTAGTAGTTCGAAGGCTGGAGTCTGACAAGAAAAGAAAATTTGACCTTTCTTCCATGACTTTCCTCATGGTTGCTGCTGAACCAGTTAGGCAGAAAACTGTGAAAAGATTTGTCGAGCTCACTCATCCTTTTGGTTTATCTCAAGAGGTGTTGGCACCTGGTTATGGATTGGCAGAAAATTGTGTGTTTGTCAGTTGTGCGTATGGTGAAGGGAAGCCTATCATGGTAGATTGGCAAGGAAGAGTTTGTTGTGGGTATGTGAATCCAGATGATGAAGATGTTAACATTAGAATAGTTGATCCAGAGAGTGGTGAGGAGCTCAAAGAAGCAGGAAAGGAAGGAGAGATCTGGATCAGCAGTCCCAGCGCTGGAATTGGTTACTGGGGAAGGGAAGAACTGAGCCAGAAAACTTACAGAAACAAGCTTCCTGACCATCCTGGACGTAACTACACTAGAACTGGGGACTTGGGACGAGTAATTGACAGAAAACTGTTCATCACTGGAAGAATCAAGGATCTTATCATTGTAGCAGGAAGGAACATTTACTCAGCAGATGTAGAGAAGACAGTGGAGAGTGCATCAGAACTTGTACGCCCTGGATGTTGTGCTGTCATTCCTGTTCCGGTGGAAATCCTATCAACGAAAGGTATTACAGTTTCAGACAGCTCTGACCAGGTTGGTTTGGTTGTAATTGCGGAGGTTAGGGACGGTAAACCTGTTGGCAAGGATGTAGTTGAACAAATTCAAGCTCGTGTTGCACAAGAGCATGGGGTTAGTGTTGCTTCTGTCAAGATGATCAGGCCAAAAACCATTAGTAAAACAACGTCAGGAAAAATCAAAAGATTTGAATGCCTCCAACAGTTTACTGATGGAACATTGAATGTCGTACCAGAACCAATTATAACCCAGAGAAGACTGCTTCGGTCCTTCACTACAGGAACATGCAAGGAAGGAATAACCCCTCGTCCTCAACTTGTGAGAAGTTCTCCTCCACCAAGCCCCAAGTTAAGTAATAAAGAAATTGTAGACTTCTTGAAACGCCTAGTTTCCGAGCAGACCGGTATTTCGATCAACAAGATCTCTAACACTGAAAGTCTAGTATCTTATGGAATTGACTCAATTGGTGTGGTCAGAGCAGCTCAAAAACTTTCTGACTTTCTTGGCGTACCGGTAGGAGCTGTGGATATTTTCACTGCAACCTGCATTGCTGACTTAGCAAGCTTCTCAGAGAATCTGGTAATGAATTCTCAACCTCAACTGTTAACAACACCATCCAATGTTCCACAGCCTGATACTGGGATTGATTCTGCTGAGCTTGTGATGGAAATTCCTGAGACTCATCACTTGGTTATCTCGTTATTCCAACTTCTGGCTCTTATTTATGTTGCTCTTATGCTGTCCATTCCTGCATATTTATCAGTTTCTGCTTTTATGAGTTGTGTCTCAGCTACCCATACGTTGGTAGAAGGAATTCCCTATTTAGATTATTTGACCCTTCTCACTTTTGCTCCCCTTGCTTGGATCTTTTGCATACTTTCTACCTGTGTTTCAATAGCTTTCTTGGGGAATTCTTTCTTAAAGCCAAACTATGCCCTGAACCCTGAAGTTTCCATCTGGTCAATGGATTTTGTTAAGTGGTGGGCTCTTTACAAGGCCCACGAAGTTGCTTCCAAAGTTATGGCGGAGCATCTGCGAGGAACTGTGTTCCTCAAGTATTGGTTTGAGATGCTTGGAGCTAGGATTGGATCCTCAGTTTTGCTTGATACAGTTGACATAACAGACCCATCTCTGGTTTCAATTGGAGATGGAGCTGTGATCGCAGAAGGGGCTTTGATTCAAAGTCATGAAGTGAAGAATGGAGTCTTAAGCTTCCTCCCAATAAGAATTGGACAAAACTCATCAGTTGGCCCCTACTCAGTTGTCCAAAAGGGAACTATTTTGGGAGAAGAGGATGAGGTAATGGCCTTACAAAAATGTGGAAGCAAATCTGCTGTCAAGGCTAAAAATCTTCAGAATGTAAGTGCCATTTCGTTTGCATTTTAATCCAACCATAATGAATGCTAAGTTATTTTTTTTTCTAAAATCATGATTGTTTTGAAATTGCAAAGACTCATGGAACCTTGTCAACAATCTTCAGTTTTAGTTTTAGTTTTAGTTTTTGTTACAAGGAGAAATCAAACCCAGGTTCTACCCTTTACCCTATCCCAACCATGCAAACTGGGTTAAGGCTCGTGGGCTATTTCCTTCTTTTATTTACATTTAGCTGCGTGTATTATACACTACAATATCTTCAGAGACTTTTTCTTTCATAATGAGAAACTTCTTCTTTAAATAAATGTCTAAACACGCGATCCGCTACTAGGCATTATCGTTTATATATCCAACATAACGTAGGTACTCTTTGAAATTTGAAATGGACCAATAGAAGATTAAATTTTTTAATTTTTCTTTTTTTTTTTTTTTTCTGGTTGTTGTCTTGTCACCTATGGAGTTGCTTATGTTGGTATGGTACATATTTGACGTACAAAAGTTCCGTTCCAGTTTATTTTTTATCAATTTCCGAATGCGTTTTCATGCAATCAAACTTAGAACTGATGTCAACTCAATTGTTTTCTTTACATGATTTCAGGGTAAAATGCTGCCAAATGTTACAATGGAAACTCAAGATGAGGCCATTTACCAGTTCATAGGCATCTACATAGTTGGGTTGCTCGGTACTCTCTCAGCTTCTGTTGTGTACTTAGTCTACATTTGGATGTCTCAAAAGCCTCTTTCCCCTCAAGAATTTGCATTTTCTTGCATATTTGGGGCCTTTCACTGGATGCCTTACACCATCATAGCATATGCCATCATGTTTTCTGATGTGCCATCAAACATAATTTACTTATCCATCTCGATGGCTGTTGCTTATTTATCTTATGGCCTAGTACTCAGCTTCCTCACAAGTGCTTTGACCCATTTTATTTCTAGTAAACAAGAGAAAAAGACATCCCATTTCAGAACTTGGCTATGCCACCGAATCACCATTGCCTGCCACCTTAGATTTGCTAAGCTCCTGTCTGGAACAGAAGCCTTCTGCATGTACTTGCGGCTTCTGGGTGCAAAGGTTGGGAAACATTGTTCTATCAGGGCCATCAATCCAATTTCAGACCCGAAATTGATTTCACTCGGTTCTGGTGTCCATCTTGGTGATTTCAGTCGGATTATTGCTGGTTTTTATTCCTTTAATGGGTTTATTAGTGGGAAAATTGAGGTGCAGGATAATTCAGTAGTTGGGAGTGAAAGCATAGTCCTTCCTGGTTCAGTTATTCAGCAAGATGTTATTCTTGGTGCACTTTCAGTTGCACCAGTGAATTCAGTGCTCCAAGCAGGTGGTGTTTACATTGGATCTCAAACTCCAATCATGATCAAGAACACCATGCATTCGTTGGATGACAGAATAGAAGAGATGGACATAAAATATAAGAAAATAGTTGGTAATCTTGCTGCAAATTTGGCTGCCACAACTCTGAAGGTTAAGTCAAGATATTTCCATCGAATTGGTGTTAGTGGGAAGGGATACTTGAAGATTTATGACAACATCAAAGGCTTGCCAGACCACAAGATCTTCTGCCCTGGAAAGAGCTACCCTGTCATAATCCGGCACAGCAATAGCTTGAGCGCTGATGATGATGCAAGGATTGATGCACGTGGTGCAGCTATACGAATACTTTCAGACGAAACTAATGACTCTGCACTGTTTGACCTGACACTGAAGACAGGAAAGGCATTCTATGCCCGCACAATTGCAGATTTTGCAACATGGCTAGTCTGTGGGCTTGCTGCAAGGGAGGAGTATGTTAAGCGAGCCCCGCATGTGCGTGATGCAGTATGGACATCCCTGCGCCATGCAAACTCATATGCTGAGCTGCATTACTACTCAAATATATGCAGGCTGTTCCGGTTCACAGATGGACAAGAAATGTATGTAAAATTCAAGTTGAAGCCTTCTGATGAGAATATTAGTGAGGAAGCTGGTAAGGTAGAGCCCATTGGGATTCTTCCACCTGATACAGGTGCAATTCCGAGGGATGATAAGGATACTCGCCCGCTACTTTTCCTTGCAAAAGATTTCAAAAGCCGCGTAAATGACCAAGGTGGTGTTCGTTATGTTTTCCAGTTACAAGTCCGGCCAGTTCCACATGATGAAAGTGCCCGTGACATTGCACTTGACTGCACAAAACCATGGAATGATGCTGAGTTCCCATATATTGATGTTGGAGAGATTAACATCAACCAGATGCTATCTGCAGAAGAATCAGAACAGCTGGACTTTAATCCTTTTCTTCAATGCCATGAAGTGGGTGTCATCCGGGCTTCGTCATGCTCCCAGAGTGCTTCAATTGATCATGGACGTTCATTGATCTATGAGATATGCCAGCACCTGAGGAATGGTGAACCCCTTCCGGAGGCTTGGAAGATCTTCCTACAGCAGTCTGATGTTAAAGTAGACCTTTCTGGTTGTCCAATGGCAGCAGCATTGAAGAAAAACGACACACATAAAGTGACCCTGGAAAGAGCATTGTTTCAGACTCTGTGGGCCACTTTTGCTCAACCTTTACTGCAGACCGTGCTACCTCATTTCCTGCTGGGGCTAGTAATCTATGCTCCTCTGAACTGGACTCTTTACTTGAAGGATGCTCAAAAACTCCCTCTGCATTGGTTGTTTCCATTGTTTTGGGTTTCTTCAGGTTGTTTGGCTGGTTTAGCTTGTGTGGTGGCTAAATGGTTATTGGTAGGAAAGAAGAAAGAAGGTGAAGCTGTGCACATTTGGAGCATAGGGGTGTTTTTGGACACTACATGGCAGGCCTTCAGAACTCTAGTTGGAAGCTACTTCATGGAAATGACAAGTGGGTCCATTTTCTTTGTCCTGTGGATGAAGCTAATGGGTTCAGAGATTGAGCTGGACCAAGGAGCTTATGTAGACAGCATGGGAGCACTTTTGAACCCAGAAATGGTGGAGATTGAGAGAGGTGGATGTGTGGGAAGAGATGCTCTTTTGTTTGGGCACATATATGAAGGTGATGAAGGAAAAGTTAAGTTTGGAAAGATAAGTATAGGGGAAGGTGGTTTTGTAGGGAGCAGAGCAATAGCCATGCCAGGGGTGAGAGTGGAGAGTGGGGGCTATCTTAGTGCTCTCTCCCTGGCCATGAAAGAAGAAATTGTCAGGTCAGAGTAAAGGGTTGTTGCTTCCATATTTATGTTTTTATGTACTGATAAATAAAAAGCTGTAATGCTTTGCTGCCTACATATGATGCAAAGCTGGCTGGAAATTTTGATTAAGTTACATATTTATCTCTATATATGTTGGGCAAAAACAGATTAATTGATGAGTTTGATCTCGAATTATTATGAATCTATTCACAAATCAACCATGCCAATATAAAAGCCTTGTCATTAGTGTAGTCTAATTCTTTATATACCAATTGATTGGGTTTAGAGTTTACGATTTAAATGTGTTACAACTTACATGTGTCCCATCTAGCAAATTCGATGTCCGAAAGCAATCCTTGAATCAAATTCCTATTAGAATATCTTATATGAACTGATAAACAATGATCGATACAACTGATAACATACCTATTTACAAGAATCGAATCAACTCATCAAGTGCATTCCTACTCCACAAATGCATGAAACAAATTATCATAAATAGAAAATTAAAAACAAGAAAAACCTACTGCGTTAGCTTTGTCAATTTTTCGTCCAAATTTGTACAGTACGAACAACGAACCTGCATTGTCAAATATTCCTTAGTCCCTTCCTACTACCACTTCCATCCAATAAACTTTACTAAAGTTATATAATATTCTTTTATATATAAACATAGAATAATGTACATGATATGTTGTTTTCAGCATATCTATCGAGAAGCTAATATGGTAGCAAATTCCTTGATTACGAAGGGACATTCTACTGATAATACTTCTATTTGGTTTTATCATCTTCCTGTGGATATTAGCTATAGAATTAACTTTGATTTGTATGGTCATATCTGCTCTAGTGCGGATCTTCTTTGTAAAACTTTTTCCTTCCAAATATTAATTATAGAATTAATTTTGATTTGTATGGTCATTAGATCTGCTGTGTATTTTCTTTAAAAAAAACCATGATATTGTTGTTATGTATCTCTAATCTCACCTCTCTATATCTTTAGCTAACTAACACTTCTACTTCCTTTTCCAAATAACCAATTACTTATAGTGTGCTTTATGTTTAAACGATGTCATTTTGGGATTACAAGTGTTTTGAATTAAGGATTTAGTATTTAGAGGTTTTGTTTTTTTAGACATAAGGACCAAAAAGTAGATGGATCTAATTTCAATTTCTTATTTATAGATTTATTAGACGAGATAATAGCTAGAGGTTTTAATATAGTTTGAATAATTTAAAATTTAGTATGTATGTTTGTGTCTGTTTCATGATGATGTTATTCACAATGCCTTCTTAAATGATGTTTGTGTCGACATATACGAGTTAGGCTAGTTGGCCAAAATATTATGCTCACCCCCAATTACACCCGAATTTGATCGCCCTTCACATACGTTATAGTAGTTTATAATATCGTTACCCCCTCCTCTCTTTTTTATTTTTCTTACTTGCAATCACATAATGGACAAGGTCCAGTTGCTGAAATTATCAGCCATTGATAAATTAGAGCATCTTGGCGGCTTTTCTTGGTGAAGAAGGGATGCATGGCAATTATCCAATAGGATGCTCTTTACTTTTTTTGAACAACTCATCATATATTTTGGTCTGCCTATACAAGCTTAGGAAAATGCGAACTATTAGATTTTACACGTCACACAGTGTAGCATCTTATCTGGCCATAATCATGCTTGGAATCCATTGTCATTTTATTATTTTTATTCCTCCGATAGATATGAAAGCAGAATAACAAGAGAGAGACACGTGTGGTTGGTGACGTGTAAAATCTTGTATTATTTAATTATCATTCTTTTAATTGGATAAAATGATTTTTTAATTAAAATTAATTACGTTCTTAGTGTTAGTGATCTCCATCAACTTCATACCCAAAAGCCAAAGCATTATCGAAAATGCATGTCTAAATACTTCGGATCATCCCAAAGAGATTCTAGTATCCACATTGCTTCCATACTTCGGATCATAGCAATTTGGATACATTTGTGCAAATAATATATAAAATATTTGTAGCTTCTATAAAGCTATGATCCCTTTTGTTATGCTTATCGGATTGGGCTATTTTATGCAACTATTTTTCTCAGTTTCAGTTTTTTTCTTCCCAAAATGTGCATTATATCTTAAATCATGCAAATTATAGTGAAATTTATGGGTCATTTGCATAAAAGAACAAAACATAATGCTCATTGACAAAAAAATAAATAGTTATGATATTTAGTCATTTTTGGGTTGTGCGTGATTCTCTTTATATTAATTTAACGTGTTGCTGCGTTTGGTCACTATAGAAAATTTTACCCATATTCGGCACGTAGTTGCTTTATACTTTTGTTTGTTTATCAATAAAAACTATAGCTTATTCTATATTAAAATAATAATAATAATAATTCCCTTCAGTTGTAACTGCTACTAAGTTACTTGCGAAAAACTAATGTTTTGATACGAGAAGTTAACCTACGTCTCTTTGTTTTTTCTTTTTTTCTTTTGGAGCCAAACGATGAGAGAATATTGTTAAAGACAAATAATAAGGTTTACATCACTAGCAAGTATATCAAAAATCCACTCAAGCCATAATTCATTCCAAGTACGAATACCGCCAATTCTGGACACAAAGGCCGCAATTTTATGCGATGCTTTGTTACAATGACGAGGAGTAAAAAACACAATGCTCAAATTGCTCCACCAGTTGCTTTATATGTAAAAAATAATGGTTTCCACAGCAATATCAATCTTCCACTCCCCATAAAGCATACGACTAATTTGTAAAGAATCAGATTCAACCTCTAGCTTAGACAAACCACAGTGAACGCAGGCTATCATTGCTACTCGAATGGCCTCAGCCTCCATCGCCAACGCCGATCCACCCCGCAAGTCGCCCTTGTACGTCTCTGTTGACCAAAACACACGGATATTGTTCAAAGACGTTATTTGCATTTGTTTTATTATTAATATTTTTTAATTGCTGAAGTGGAATAGATTGGAGCTGAAATTAGGCAAGAGTTCAAGCATTAGGAGGACTTTTAGAAGATTAGTCAAATTATTATCAACATAGTGACAGTGATTAAGAAAGAAAAAAATGGATTAAGTCAACTAAAAGGACTAATAATTGGAAGAAAAAAAAGAAAAAAAAACTAAAAGGACACTGTTTGTAAGTAATATGAGATTCACAGTTCACTCCAACCATGGCTTTGAGATTGTCATATCTGATGCAAAGTCCTCCTCTCTTCTTCTTCTCTGTTGGCAAATAATAACCAAGGCATGTGATTCCACAAGAACACAAGTGAAGTCTGCATCCAATAACATTTTCAATATGTTTTTACGTGTGTTAAATTGATGCAAAACTATACCTTAAAATTCATTGTACTTAGCATGTCTTTCCGGATGCAAAATACAGATTTAGATAATTTTCATGGTGCAATCAATGGATAAATACATCAAGCTATTCTCGGCAAGTATCCTTTTCTTTTTAAAGTTTTTTTTTTTGGGGATTTTTTTTATATAAAAATTAAATAAGTATTTTTAGAATTTGCAACAATTATACCGAACCCAAAAGTTATTTTTGTACTTTCTGTTTGGGTGATGGCAATTTATTTATTTTTAAATAAATAAAAACATGTGTTGATTTTCCCACTTTTCTTTTGTCCACTTACACTCCCTTTTAAAAATAAAAATAAAAACTTTTACTAGAACATACAATTTCCAATACAGGAGTGCAAGTGGACAAAAAATAAGTGTGAATGTACAATTTTCAACGAAGAGAGTGTAAGTGGATAGTGGGAAAATGAGCTCCCATAAAAAAATAACTTAGTTAATGGTTGATATATCTTTATTTTATAGAGTCGCTCCTATTATTTGATGGATCCGTTACGAGGTCTATTAGACTTTAGACATTGAACTTCAACAATCCGAATCGTCTATTTATAAGTCTTTATTCAAATATCATCATTGCAAAAAATCACACAAATTGAAAATATTAAGACTTTTAACGAGAAAATAGACAAACACGAGTTTCCAAAATATTATAATTGCATAAATGATCTTTAAGGAAAGACCTAGAAGATTGACCATTGGGAGCATAAAATTACAATAGAAAGTGAGCTATACCGGCGTGTCCCTCTAGTGAGCTTATATAGGTCTTAATATTCTATAAACTCTTTGAAAAATCAAAGCATGTTATTGTCGTGTTGGACCCTTCCATCTGAGGGAAAAAATGCTACGTTACCCCCAAAAAAATACAAAAGGGAGAAAGTTATCTTAGCAAACCAAAAGAGGCAGAAAAGCTACGACTTATTCTCACGTATTAAACATTTGACCAAAAAAAAATATTTCTCACGTATTAAACCCAAACTTTTAATTTATTAATAGAAAATAAAGGGGAGGCCAGTAAAATTAGCAAATTAATCATTCCGTAAACGCGACGCAGGAGATCATGCCTCGGTGTTGGCAACTCAGAGATGTTCTCATCCATTTGTGACACCCTTTGATATGGCCGCCTAGCAATTCGCAATTCGCAACTCGCAACTCGCAAACTCGCATAGAATCACTTTCTCTCTCTTCCTTCAAATTTGCATTGAATTTCCATCCCTTTTGATTCCAAGCAAACCATATTGGGTCTCATTTCCCTTATTTGGATTCACCGTACCATCGCTTATATTGTCAGCTTCTTCACCAAAAGAAGGAGAGAGAGAGAGAGAGAGAGAGAGAGAGGAGAGAGAGAGAGAGAGAGGATTCAATAACCGAAAATAAGAAAAAAGCCCAGATTTTTAGGGTTTGCAGTCTTTGGATGCAAATTAAGATTAGATGGGTGACGTTGAAGAGATTGGACCTGATATTAGGTAAGAGTTTCGATTTATTTTTTGTGTGTGTAGGTAACAGAGTTTCAAGGTTTTTTTTTGGGTGTACCCAGTACTTCAATTTTGTTGGGTCTTCTACGAATGATATTTTTTGAGTTTATGGGTCTCTTTGAATTGTTTGTATTTTGGGACAAATTCCGTGTAAACTAAAAGAGTCTGCTTTTTTATTTTTGTTTTTGATCTTCCTTCTTATGAACCTGTTGATCAGAATCTGTTGTATCGTTGCAACTATGGGGAATTGGGTATGTGGTTTTTGTTTATATGCTCTGCATATGAGCTTGTTGATTGTTTATTTTAGTTTCACTTATTGTAATCCAAGTCTTTTAGGAATTGTTAGAGGTCATTATAGAAAGAGATGGTTTCGTTTGAAGGGTTGTTTGGCAGAATATTTGAGAAATATTGGATTTTATTGTTATCTTTTCCCAAGTTTTGTTTGGTTGCTGAGAAAGGGTGGGAGAGAAAAAGAAAAGGAAAAAACTTTTAGTATTTTGTTGTTGGTTGTTTGAGCCAGCATAACAAAAGTGTCCACTTTTACTGAGCCTAATACAATTGATTGGCTTTGACTGCTAAAAATCAATCTTCATTTCGATTTCTTCCCATCAATTCTCAGTGGGTTTTTGCAACTTTACTGAATGGAGCATCCTTTGATTGTTAATGACTGTTGTATGACAGTTCGGATATAGAAGAAGACTTGAGGTGTGAAAATATTGCGGATAAAGATGTCAGTGACGAAGAGATTGAAGCTGAAGAGTTGGAGAAACGAATGTGGAAGGATCGAATCAAACTCAAAAGGCTCAAAGAAAAAGAAAAACAGAAACTTGAAGCTCAACAAGCTGCAGAAAAGCAGAAGCCCAAGCAAACATCTGATCAGGCTCGAAGAAAGAAAATGTCAAGAGCACAAGATGGGATTCTCAAGTATATGTTGAAGCTGATGGAAGTGTGTAAAGCTCGTGGTTTTGTGTATGGTATCATTCCTGAGAAGGGAAAGCCAGTGAGCGGTGCTTCTGATAACATCAGAGCTTGGTGGAAAGAAAAGGTGAAGTTTGATAAGAATGGCCCTGCTGCCATAGCCAAGTATGAGGCGGAGTGTATCGCCATGAGTGATGCAGATAATAGTCGAAATGGGAATTCTCAGAGCATCCTCCAAGATCTACAAGATGCAACTCTTGGTTCTCTATTGTCTTCTTTGATGCAACACTGTGACCCCCCTCAAAGGAAGTATCCATTAGAAAAGGGAAATCCACCACCTTGGTGGCCGACAGGAAATGAAGATTGGTGGCTCAAATTGGGGCTACCCCATGGTCAGAGTCCTCCTTATAAGAAGCCGCACGACTTAAAGAAGATGTGGAAAGTCGGAGTGTTAACAGCTGTGATAAAGCATATGTCACCTGATATCGCAAAGATAAGGAGGCATGTCCGCCAGTCAAAATGCTTACAGGATAAAATGACAGCGAAGGAGAGTGCAATTTGGTTAGGGGTTCTAAGCCGAGAGGAATCCCTCATTCGACAGCCTAGTAGTGATAATGGGACATCTGGCATAACTGAGACGCCACAAAGTAGCCGTGGTGGAAAGCAAGCTGCTGTTAGTAGTAACAGTGACTATGATGTTGATGGTACTGATGATGGGGTTGGGTCTGTTTCATCCAAAGATGATAGGAGGAACCAGCCGATGGATCTAGAGCCATCAAGCAATCTTTGCAATAATACTCCTAATCATGTCCAAGATAAAGAGCAAAGTGAAAAGCAACCAAGGCCAAAAAGGCCCCGCATCAGAGCAAGCCCTGTTGAACAACTTCCTGCACCATCTCATAATGAGAATATACATCTTGGACCAAGAAAGGCTTTGCCTGATATAAACCATACTGATGTACAGATGACTGGATTTCAGGTTCATGACAATCAACAGGAAAATGGTACAATCACAACTTTACGGCCGCTGGAGAAGGATCTTGATATCCAAGCACAATTACCAGCATCTGAGTTTAACTACTACTCTGCTGTACCTTCAGACAACGTAATTTCAACACAGGGCATGCATGTGGGTGGAACACCCATGCTTTATCATGGGGTGCAAGATGCTGAGGTGCATCGTGGAGATACATTTAACGTTTATAATCCATCAGCAGAATATCCGCCCAGTCATGACCAGCCGCCGTCTCAGATTGTGATGAATGAACCGCAGATTAGACCAGCAGATGGAGTCCATATACCAACAGTACATAGAAATGGAAGTGAAATTGCTGGAGGAGATTTGCCATATTATGTAAAGGACACATTTCAGAGTGAGCAAGACAGAACTGTTAATGCTAACTTTGGGTCTCCAATTGATAGCCTGTCATTAGATTATGGATTATTCAACAGTCCATTCCACTTTGGAATTGATGGAAGTGGTTCATTAGATGACCTTGAGCTTGAAGAAATGATGGAATACTTTGCAGCATAACTTATTAGATCCTATGTCACGTAGCTTAGAATGTAAGTCATGTTTCTGTCTTATATATTACCTTATTTATAACTTGTGTCCAGATGTTTCTCATCTTGTTAATAACTCGTGTTCACAATTTGATCAAGATTCTTATTTCTCAGTGTTTCTCATGCTTCCTTGTTTATAACTTTGTTCAGAATTTGATCAAGATTCTTATTGTTATAAATGTTATTTTCATTTAGGGACTGAAAAAATGTTGCATTCTTTGCCCACCTGGGATAAAGTCTGGTGCTGTGTGTTGGACATATTCTCATCTGGGTTTTATCATTTGTGTATTCCCGAGACAAAGTTATGATTTTAATTATTTTGAACTCATAATCTTGCAATCGAAGGGAACAGAGTGATGTAATTCTGTGTTATAGTTTCTTTTCACTTATCTTCAATAAGAATGAAAGCAAAGCGTGGGTTTCATGATGAGTCAATCTGTTAGTCTAGGTATATGACTAAGTTATGATAATTTTCTCATTTCTATGCACAGGATATCTTCTACTAGATATGCTCATAGTTTTTATGTCCACTTATCTTGATGCTCGTATTGTATCTGTAACCGGGAATGCTTACTGCATCTGGTTTATTCTTTTTCCTGCAAATGTGTTCTTTTTTCAGTTCCATTTGGCAATATGGTCTATCCACAAAATCATTGCTTTTTATATTAGTTCTCATTCACTATAAGGTAGAAATGGTTTGAACTTGGAGAAATAGAAGATAAGCAGTCATTCGCATGCTAAAACACTCGTCCTTATAGAAAGACATGGTTTCTGAGTTCAGTGGTTTTCCTATAATTAGATATACTATTCTACACTTCAAATTATGAGACTAGAAAAGTGTGCTGGCTAAGAGCTGGCCCAGCCAAAGCAACTTTGAATCAATGAATATATATATCTTGGACGATTGTACCATTGCTTGATGATTTGAGTTTGGGGTCAGTATGAGTCCAAAACTAAATCCAGGCTGTTGTTATCTGTTGTCATCTCTTACATGAGAATATTTTGGCTCTGCTCATTGATTTAGTCTTTGTATTGTTGTGTGACCAAGAAACCTCAGAGAGGATCAAGATTATTATTGACCACCCTTAGTAGAATTTTGTGGTATAGTTTTACATTACCTTAATTTTGTGCAGATCTGCCCATTAAAGCTCCGTATTTTACCTTATATGTACCTATAAAAATGATTTTATAGGAGCCATCAAAGTTGGTTGTTTTGGGCCAGTTGTGTAATTGGTGTTGATCCCCTATCTTGGTCCTGAGTGCCAAGTGATTGCAGTTTTTTTTATTATATTTTTTTGGGTAAATAAATTTGCAGGTTCTTCAATGCTGCTTTATGCAAATCCAATTATTGCTTCCTTGTGAACCCAATTCAGGCTTAAATGAAGATCTTGGATTTTGATACTGTTTTGTAGGGAAGGCAGACACAGGAACTAGGGTTTCTTTTAACTTCTGTATGCCTTGCCCTTATTGTTATTGACGATGAAAGATAATCCCTAAATATGCCCAAATAACTTGTACAGGCAATGTTATTGTTTTGTTTTGAATTGATGGGAAAAGAGAGATCTTTCTTAAAGTTGTGATTTTGACTTTTTCCTATCTATGCCCCTCCATCAGAGTTAATGATTTCATCATTACAAGGGTACAATTGTAATTCAAGGTAGCAGCAGAAAGGCAAATGATGATCGCGTTGGCCCCGCGGGAAATCATTGGACAAATGGCAGTCCTGAGTCCTGACGCTCTCTCACTCTCCCTTTTTTCTGGCCATGCTGGCAGACAGCCTCTCCGCTCTCCGGACACAGGAGACCCAGTCCTTTCCTTAATCGTGCCGTTCCCTCCGATCCGGTCGCGCCACGTGTCCCGTACTCTCTCTCTCTGTGTGGACGCCGCCACCTTCCTTACGAGGATGTCTATGCCTACCTATACGCGTGTCCAACCCTATTGTACGCAGCAGGTTTCATTTCATCACCTTTTTGGGTCCAGCCCTAAAGAGCCTGTACAGTTAAAAGACGATTATACCCCTGTTTATTTTTATCTGGTTCTTGCTCATTTGTGATTTTAGCAAGTCTAGGAGGGTAGAGGTGGGAAGTTTCAAATTGCTCTCCGTTCCATCAACCTCTACGTACGTAAGGAAGAACATAAGTATATTTTGCTTAAGGGGTAATTTCGATATTTCACCTACATTTTTTTTTAACCAAAATTACATGTCAGTCTTCAGCCTCTTCATCTCTTGTATATCAGACAATTTTCGATACCATATATATATATATATATATATATTATATATGTAATCAATATTCAAAATGGGGTCTTGTACTCATTGACGAGTCGACGTACACTCTTCCATCATCATCACCTCTCTCTCTCTCTCTCTCTCTCTGAGTCTGTGTCCTATTTGTGAGCTGGCTGGTTTCTGGGATCAACAAATCAAAATGGGGCATAAGAAAGCTCTCACAGGGTTTTCAACCTTCATAGTCATTCTAATGGTGGCCTCAATACCATTTGTGCAACCTTCTCGTAAGTCTTCTTCTCCCCTCTCCTCTCTCTTGTCTCTCACATTTTTTGAGCTTCTGATTTAAAGCGATTTTTCCACGCCATTTTCATTTTTCCTTTTCAGGCCTCCAAGTAAGAACATTCACTTTCACAGAAAACACAAACACAAAGGTAACAACTTTTTCCAAAGTTTAAATCTTTTCATTTATTCAAGAACCCCCTATATATATATATATATATATATTTCATCTTCTTTGTAGAGGTTTAAGCTTATCCATTCTGTCTTTGTCAACTTACATATGTTTTCTTTTTCTTTTTTTACAGTCCATTATTGAGTTGGGTCTCTGTTTTTTTTTCTCTGAAAAAGAACCATTTTTCCCCTGTTTTTTTCTTTAATCTGAAAAGGGGCTTCAAATCAACCAGGCTGATAGATTTGGGAATGGAGAAGGAGCTAAGGTTTTCAATGCTGTGGAAGACTCAGCAAGGCAAGTTCCAGCTGGTCCTGACCCTCTTCACCATAACAACAACCCCATTGGTCCTTAAACCCTATCTCTCTCTCTCTCTCTCTGAGCTAAGGTTTTAAATGATGGGGTTTTCACCTTTGTATAGACACTACTTTAGGGCTGCTCTGCTTCATAGCTATAGTTATCCAAGATAGTTTTAGTTTTTCTTAATGGCATGACCAAATATTGTTATGTGGTAATGGTCGTATATGGATGTCTTTTCTTCTCTAATGTTCTAATAATTTTAGCCAATGTAAGTCTGTGGTTAACTTTTCAATTTAACAATCTATCCACCAGCTCTTAACTTTGTCAGTTTTTCTTAGTTTCATGTAGAGTCTGTGGTTCTGCCAAATTTGTGTGCGTATGCTTTGAAATTTGAGGCATGTTTTTTCGTCTGCATATAACAACATTTACCGTATACACACCGAAGTCAATTCAGGAGGTTGATGATGGTGGGGTTGCATATATAAGAGCATTCACAATCATGCTATCTATTTTTTAGTTATATTTTAGCTAAAAATATATAAAAGTTATTCTATAAAATATAAACTCCAATTTTACTCTCTAGTTTAGGGAGTCATAAATATTATAACTCTTTTTTAATTGGTCCATCTTTATTAAAAAATAATTAGCATTAATTAAAAGTTTGAAATACTCATTAAACAAAGCATCATTAAATTACAGGGAACTACTATGAGTTCTTTCTCTCTTCTCAGATTTAGGAGCTTCTTGAGGTCTTCCTATTTTAGGAGATGGATATGAAGCATGGTTATTTTTTCAATTCCTCCTTAAGGAGCCCATTGTGGATTCTCTAACAATATTTACTTCACTGTATTTATTATTTATTTATTTTTTGGGTTGAAATATACAACATTTCATTGGAGCCCAACTATAAAGAAGGGCCAAAGGTTAAGCCTGGGCTTTGGCCTACCTTGCAAGACTCAAATATCCGGTCAGAGACCAGCACCAGACCAAACTATGTCTTCCCGTATCGAGTTATTCTATAGTGGGCCTTATTAAGGCTCTTAGATGAAGTTTTATTCTCTAACCGTTGGATTAAATTAATTAATTTGATTTAACGGCTAACCAACTATATCCAATAGTTTTTTGGCCCAGCTGCCTAAAAGTCTTATTTACTTTAGAGCAAGTCCACCGCAAGGCCTTTTGCCCGAGCAGGATAGGGCCTAGGCCTGCAAACAGCTCCAACTTGCAAGGGCAAGGCGTGGGACCCACCAACCCAGGCAAGTCCAGCTCGTGTTGCTGCCTGAGCAAAGTGACGCAATATTGACGTCAGCAACCAATTTAAATAACAAAAAAATTGGTAAAAAAAAACTAAAAAATTTAGAATTTTTTTAAATTATAAATACCTAGCCATATTCTTTACTTCCCACACCAAAATTCTATACAAATTTATCTCATCATATCTCATGTGAATAGTAATTACTCATAGGGGTGGAAACAAAATTGCAAGGGCTGCCACTATTCATGTGAATAGTGACATCCCTTGCCTTGCCCTTGCCCATAAGAGTGGAAGTGCTCTTAATGAAAGAGAGTTTATCCATTGTCATCATCTTGAGGAGTCACATGCCACTCATATATGTATGCTAATTTTCTGTACATTGGTCTCAAAGGTTACTTAAGCAAAATTGATGAGATTACTATAGATAGGTAGGTAGGTCGACTTAACAAGAAATTAAAAGCAAAAAATGGTTCTCGAACAAGAAAAAGAAGAAGAAACCAAGTCATCCACGAAGTATATGCCTTCGCTATTGAGAAGCAGAAGGCACCCCCAGCTGGTTCATAATATTAAGCATTTGCTTGGGTGATTGCAAGTTGTTATTTTCTCTTACAGCTGATGGACTACACATGCTTTGTAAAATTTCATCCAAATTCTATGTTTCAAGCAAACTTCCATCAGTGTTTCCACCAATGTCTCTTTAAATTCAAACCACCAATATTTTCATCATCACCAATATTGTCTTCCTTGACTGCAACAGTCATTTCTCTAGCGACGTGCTTTGAGGTACTCTTGGACTCAACTTCATATGCATACTCTGTTGTCGTGCTACTTAGTACTAACCATCAGGCTCGTACAACTCTCGAGTTCTCATATCCTATTTTACATCATAAATCAAGAAAAGCAAAATATAAAATAAACACCCGTACAAGGTTAATCTTATTCATATTTTTAGAGATAACTAAAACGAAGTTTAAAAGATGTGTTGTAACTGAGGTAAGTACTCAAATATTTTATAGTGACAACAACTAATGATCATTTGGTTTAATGACACGTAGTTTTCACATCGATAAAAGAGATTATGAAATTAAATTTTAAACCGCAATCACGGATAAAAGATAAAGAAATGGATCCACCAAAGATGGTATGCTCCATGAGACACAGGATCATTGAGTTAGTTTAAGCCCAAAAAAGAAAAAAAGAATGCATATCCCAATACCATGTGTAGGACCAGTTTTCTCATTCACAAAACAAACACTCGCTAGCCCAACAACTTCCATTCGGTGTTGTCCAACCAACCTCAGCATCTCCATTTTTCTCAAAAATTGCCATTTTCTTGATCCCAGTTGCTTTCTTGCTCGTTGCCTTTATCTCTGATGTCAAACTGTACGGTCGAGACCTGCACAGTTGAGACCAGTGATGGAGTCAAACTCAGCACAAGGCTCTTCAAACCAAGAGAAGAGATCAACAAGGGCAACCCTGTAGTGGTTCTGGTGCACCCATACTCAGTCTTGGGTGGTTGCCAAGGCCTATTGAAAGGTATAGCAGCTGGGTTGGCAGATAGAGGCTACAAAGCTGTGACCTTTGACATGAGAGGGGTTGGGAGGTCAACAGGGAGGGCTTCTCTTACTGGGTTTGCAGAAATCAAGGATGTGATTGCTGTGTGCAAATGGGTCTGTGAGAATCTCTCTGCTGACAGGATTTTGTTGGTGGGTTCTTCTGCAGGTATAATATTTTTGCATGTGTGGAATATTTTTCTGCAATTTTTCTTGGATTAAGCATGATAGTGTAGAAACAAAGGACGTATTTTTATGTGGGTAGTCACTAGAGTACTTGTTTATTGGTTTAGGTGGATTGTTTTCTGGATCTGTGAATTATGTATTAGTTTGTGGTAGTTAGTAGATTGCTTCTTTGATTGGTTTGGTGAATGAATTTGTGGATCTATAATTTGCGTAGTAGTTTGTAGAAGTGATCAGTTTAGATAACAATTTGTTACTTTTATTCTTTGTCTGCATCAGACTGCTAACTAAAGCATCTGCGAAAATTTATAGTATGCTTTGGATTTCAAGGAAAATTGATTATTTTGAGGTTAAATTTAATTTGGTAATGCTAATTATCTCATACTTTGTGGAATATCCTGACTTTGGAGTATTCCCGACTTTTGTGTTGTTGATCGTATTGGCCTTTAATCATTCAAAAGTTGTGATTTTGATCATATTCAAAGTGAAAATAAGTGTGAGGAAGAGGGTTTTGTGCGGTGCAACTATGATGGGTCTTCTCTCTAGGTCGCAGATCAACACTAGAATTACAAGTGGCATTTGTTGAGCTAGGGGGAAAATGGAATTCAAGTTGTGCATAACTTTACAAAAGAAAAGCTATGTAGTCTGCCCGTAAGTCTTTACCCAAGTAGCATGGGGTGGGATGAAGGATATGTCTTAGGTTTGGCTGGCTACCACATAATTGGCTGAGAAATGGACATTACAAGTATTGCTGCATACGAATGCCTGCTACTATGATAAGCTTGTATGGATGCAGAACCTATAATATTTTTACAAGCAATGGCTGGGTGAAAATGATGAAGTATAGATAATTTTTGAATAATATCATCTTTTTACTACAGCCTCTGAATCCTGCACCTTCTGTTACATTAGCTTTCTGTTGCTTGTTCTGAATTGCAATGATTTTGTCTTTGATGTGTTGCTTATACCCTCCAGTATCGGCAATATGAAAGCTCATTGATAGGATGACACAAGTAAAATCACAAGATAAAACAGTTGTAATGAGAAATGGATAGATTTTCTGCAAAGTTTATGGTGCTCAAACTTTATCACTCTTTTGCATGATTTAGGATCTTTCTGGTGTGGACTGCATGTGGGGTGTTGTAGACATGGCTGGGCAAATATAAGATGTTATTTGTACTTCAGCTCAAAATGGGTGATATATAGCGTGGTCTATCTGTTAGCTTTGTGATCAGCAGCATTTTCTGTTACAGCAATGCTTTTTCATTAAAAGCAAAGCATTAAACAGTGCAGGGTAGACTAATTTCCTCCGATTTTTAAAATTTCCCCTATGTTATTTTGTAGGTGCCCCAATTGCAGGCTCTGCAATAGATCAGATTGAACAAGTTGTGGGTTATGTTAGTCTGGGGTATCCTTTCGGCATGATTGCCTCAATACTTTTTGGGAGACACCACAAAGCCGTACTACAATCTCCAAAACCAAAATTTTTCATAATGGGGACTAAGGATGGGTTCACAAGTGTTCAGCAGCTCAAGAACAAGCTAAGTTCAGCAGCTGGGCGCGTCGAAACACACCTGATTGAAGGAGTAAGCCACTTCCAAATGGAAGGCCCTGCTTATGACGCACAGATGGTGAATCTTATCCTTGAATTTATTGCATCATTGTAGATAGTCAACCATTTGTAATGGGGTTGTGTTCTCAGTCAGAACTGATCAGATTGTTAGCTCTCTCCTCTGCTGTTGTATGTATAATAGGCTAACTTGTTATCGTGTGTAATTTGCAGGAGCTTAGTTGGTTTGCATACTCTGTGCCATCACAGTGTAAAATTAAGCTGCTGTCTCAGTTAATTTGGCATTTAGCCACACAATGAGACACACAGAGAAAGCATCGTTAAATCAATCTTTACATGGTCAAGTGTTATTCAGTACAACCCCCGAAAAAAGTTACAGCAAACATAATCTCAACTTAAAGTTAAACTAAAAATGAAACGAAACCTAAAGCATACTAAGCATCCACTTAGCTGGTGATCAAATCAGAATATGGCACAACACTACAAACAGAGATATATCTCGATGTTAAAAGTCTCCAAATATCATATGTCATCGCCCTCAAAACGTTGATCGTCCGATGCAATTCTACCCTCTCTTGTCATTTTATTACCATTTGCACCATCGACTGCCCGACCTTCGGCCATTTCATCATACTGCCGTTTTCTCCATCCTCGATCTTGGTCTATTGGTTGTCTTTGAGAGAATGTATGTTCATCTGTTTTGAAGCCAAAAAAAGGAAGAAAAATGGTACACCGGTCATCAACAAAACTTAATAAGACCTTGCGCAGCTGTGCTGCCTCATAGATACATTCACTGCAATAATAGCTAATACATCCATTGTAATTTGGGGGATGAAGGTAACATGGCAGCATTCATGGATCCCTCCTCACTAATGTTAACACAAGATGGGCTTTAAAATTAACCTTCCTGATGTTAACATGGATAAAGATTAGTAACAGATTGGTAACTCGATGGGACAAATTTTAGGCACCCATTTTGGGGAGGCCTTAATTAAAAAGATTACAAATGAATTTAATTGAAAAGTTGTACAGAGCAAGTACCAGTCAAATCTGACTAACCAAGACTAAAGATACAACATAAGATAGTGGAGCTTTATTATGTATTATAGAACATGGGTTATATGTAATTAGTTATTACCACTTTCACCGTCAGATGCATCTTCAAGTCTTGCAATTGCATCAACCAGTGCCTGTTCATGCTCCTGCATTTTAAAGAACACATTACAATACCAGAAATAAAAGCACCATGCAAATAGAGCGCAAAACATGCTTGGTTCTTACTTTGAGAACTTTCTTGGCTTTCTCGATCTCCATGGGATCAGGATGGCTTGCTCCAAAAACCTTTTCAACCTGTAGTTTCAAGCAAATATGGAAAACAAGTGACCACTAGCTGATTGGAGGAAATGGGGAAAAGAAAAAAACTAAATAATTTTCCTTATACCTCTTTAATCAAAGAGTCTGTATGAAGTATTTCAATATCGCTCATTGCCTTCCTGCCAATGCCATTTTGTTGTGGAGGCAAATCCTTCTTGGACTGACCCTTTGCGGCCCCTCTGCCTCTTCCTGCACCTGAAACTGCACCACCACGTGCTGTGGACTTTTTTATCCCTCGGCCAGGTCCAGGTCCAGGTCGACCACCTCTACGAGAAATCCCAGGATCATCACCTTCCCACCGAATATCTTCAGGAGATATCTACCATTAGAAGGTAAAAAACAATTAGCAACAAGAGTTTGGGAAATGAGCTCAGAACACAAAACACAAACAGAAGCTGATGGACCACAACCCCCATTGCACTATCAGTCGATTGTTAATCAAAGTATTAGAAGCTTTTAGAACACAGATATTGATCCTGTAACAATTATCTGTCAGTTGCTTTCCCCTTTGGATCTAGGAAGAGATCAAACTAAACAAGTCCTTCTGCCATAGTGACAACAGCAAAAAGAAATTCCAGGCATGGAAGTAAGCCAGCCATATAATTTACTTTTCAATAACTTAATCATGTCTCTTTGTACACTTCAACCCATTCCCCCACAAATTTCAATATCTTGTTCAATGATGGCCTTTTGTGTCCAGCCATCTTAAAAAGAAATAATAGCTACAGACAGATGCAAAATAATATGCTCAAACACATTATTGTGACAGTGATGCAAAATTGATTATTCAAATCTGTCATCCAATTGTGTATTCACCAGTGTACCCAAGTTGATACGATGTGCACCATTTGTATTAATGGTTCCTGTTATCATATGTAGATATGTGCGTGTGCGTGTGCGAGTGTGTCTTGTACATTTTCAAGTCATGGGAGGGGGGAGGGCAAGGTCAAACCCTTTCCATGAGCATTGGGAAGTGCTCTATCACTGTCAGTAGAAGCCCCCACAGTTACATTATCATATTTTAAAAAATAATCATAACAATAATAATAAACATAAAATTAATAATAAAATAACACTGCTCAGTATCAATAAGCAAGAGTTTATTATATGAATTGTTTTATGCAGATAATGAGGTAACTTAAAATCAATCTGCATTATGAGCTCTATTATCAATAAAATGATTCAGTAAACGAAAAACATAACATAGAATGCATAGAATGCCAATTTAAGTTCCATTCATCTTAATAACACAGACAAGTCATAGCATAATGTCACCAGTTCTGCTGACCAAGCCTAGCAGATGTCCACTTTTATTTATATACTAGATGCATTTTTTTTGTTACTTAGAAACCTATTACATTAAAAGTAATTGCAAAAACAAACACAAAAGCGAGGCGACCCCAAATTCTAATAACAGTGTAAATCATTTGGTTTTCTTTTTCTTCAGCCAATTTGAGTGGGGGTTTGGGGGGGGGGGGCTCGGGCGCGGACCTCAGGTTGTAGGGGATAAGTGCTTTTAACCACTACAAATACAAAGCTTACAAGTGCCCCTGCAAAAATAAAATAAAATAAAACTTTGACTTTTTAAATTTTCATATCTAGTTATTTATGAGATGTAGACTATATCTTTGGTAAACGAAGAGGGTTAAAAGCCTACAGAAAAAAAAAATAGAATAAGTAGCACTTACCTCTTTTAGATTGACCCATTCCCATGTCTCATCCACTGTATTAATATCATAAACCAGAGCGTGTCGGCCCTGTCAACATTTGCCAATTATAAGGATTAGTATTGGAGTTATGTGTGGTCAAAAATGCTAATTACTAAGGCTTACTCATGTTTAGATGAACTCAGTCAACACAAGAGCATACCTCAACGTGGTTGTAATCAGTTATAACAGCCTCATAGAAGTGGTTGTCTTCAGGCCACCTTGTCCAAACTTTTCTTCCTATTAATGGATCATAAGTTGCTCCCTCAGCAGGCTCACTTGCCACAAAGGCACCAGAAGAACCTCGATTAGCGGCTTGGGGCCTTCCAGTAATACTTGTGGAAGGGTACTGAGAGGACTTCATAAGCAGGCAACATATTCCATTAAAAAAAGAACAGAAAATAATAAGTCCAAGAATAATAATATCATACCAAAATTTTCTTAACCCGTTATTATTTCAACTTACTGATTTTGGCTTCTTGGTCCGACCTCCTGGAGGAGGACCTCGTCTCAAGGCTGATGAGGACGGTTGCATGGATGGAGGCAGTGCGGGGGATGGAGCACCAAGCGATAAGGAAGCTACAGACTGCGATGTTTTCTGTTTCTTGCGTGATGCTGAAACAGTTGGACTAGGTAGGGGGTCATGAACAGGCTGAGCAGCAGTAAGTGTGCCAGGTTGAAGCCCACTTGTTTTTCTCCATTCCCTAACAGCATATAACATTACATTTCTCATTAAAAAATGCAGAACCAACCAAATGTAACACATATTTGCAGCTCAGAGCAGCATGCCATAATATATTCAGACCTTATCCTCCGGATCATGTCATCAGCATTGACCCTGGACAAAAGTTCTCTGTGTTCTTCATCAGATACTCTCAGCTCCTTTCTAAGTTCCGTAATTAAACTTTCCTTATCCTGAAAATTATGTAAGATGACAGGCTTTCAGACCTAACCTAACACAATTCATACTTTGATTTAAAGGAAGAGGGGAAGGAAAAACAGCGAATAACAAAATCAAACAGCTACCCAGGTGATGGCATCAGATTGAGCTTTAAAAGCCCGCAGGACCGAGCAGTATGCTTCTTGCTCAATGTGGTGGATTTGGGTTTCCATGTCACCATGCATCCTAGGTAATGAAGCAGAACCCACAGCTGCAGATCTTCCATTCCCAGAAGATCGGCCTCCCCTTTGAAATCTATTTTGATGAGAGGGCGGAAGGTCATCATCTGTACCTGCAAATGTTTCAGATAATAAGGAACTGTTATTCCAGCTTCAGTGACCGGTCCCTTAAACATAGCAAGAACATTCCCACGGAAAAGCAATAAATCCTTTTCATTTTTCAAGGACTTTTCCCCACCAATGGCCACCTTTTTCAATTACATACATGCCAATAATAAATACATGCAAAATATAATAGCAGTCTACTTCTTGCATCTGTGCCTAACAAAGCAGGCATAAATCATCTCTATAGAGAAATAAGGAATCTTATATTCCAGACGAACAATGCTAAGAATGAGGTCCTTCCTCAAATGTATAGGGACACTAGCATATAAAATGCAGATGAAATCAACCTTTTCAGACAATACAGAAGATGAATTCTAAAAGCATACACAGTCCACTCAAACGTTGGTTTAGCATCTACAAGCAGTATTAACATTAAATAAACAAGAAAAAAGAAAAAGAAAGACATTCAGTAGAATAAGTTTCATGCCCAAAATGCATCTCCGACTATTCCTACACTAAACTAAAGCATCCTTTGGTTAAACTACTATAAGCCATAACTTTTATCCTTAATTGCCAACATTTCTGAATCACTAAAGCTAAACCAACAAGAAGCACACATAATATGACCAATATAACAAAACTCTTAATGCTGTTCTGTTTCTTGTTTTCACACACCATCAACCCAATCCTACATAGTGAGCATGGCCAGAATAGGAATAGAAGGACCTGAATGCCATTGACCACATTCCACATAGGAGTGACTTTAACAGACTGAAACTGATACAATGCTAAGCACTAACCATTAAAGTATTTATCTTTGGGGTCCTCACCCACTGCCAATGCGATATTGAAAGTTAAACACTAATGCAAGACCAATTCATAGACGGGAAGAATGGAAGAATGGGGATTTCCAAAATGGGAGTCATTCTCCACAACATACACAATTACTTCTTGTGGGGGAGAACCTGAATCTATTAGATAGTGGTTCCAGACCAACTTATAAGAATGCACATAAAAACAAAGCAGAAAGAAAAAAAATTCATATTAACTCGGAGCACAAGCTGGGTACACTACATTACAATTGACTACCAATAAAGCCATCAACTTCTCATTGAATTCAACCTCAAAATTCAAGGCAATCCCATAAAAATCAGTAATTGAACAGCAAAAAAGGAACGGCCAGAGCAGTAATTAAACCCAAATTCTATCACATCCAACATAAATTCAAGAATTTGAGCTCAAAAATGACTCTGACAACCAATAAAATACACAATGGAATAACAAAAGAGCATAAAAATTGACACAAAATAAAAATAAAAAAGGAAATTCAGCTTAGCTCACCACTGCTATCCGAGAGCTCGTAGTCCATGACTGCCCCTTAAAACCAAGACTTTCGCTAAACCCTAGCAAACCCACGTAGAATTTCACTCAGACCCGTCAAAATTCAATCAATTTCGTCGAGAACTTGAAATGGTAGCCCACTGGTACCGTCAGAAACAGGTCAATTCGCCAAATATGGATCCAATTCAGGCACAGTACCGCCCCATAAGCTCAAAGAAGTTGAATTTGAGGTTCAAATAGTGATGGAGAAGGCGATAGATTGGTGTCAATGGTAGCGGATTGGGGATTGGAATACTTCTTCTAATTGTGGGCGTAATTAGAATTTCGAAAAGTTTTGGGCTGAAAAGAGTGGGGATTGGAGTGTGAATTTGAAGAAATTGGATTTGAGCAGAGGGATTGGACATTGAACATTGGAGAGAGGTCGGGAGGGAAGTCGCGGACTTCAAACTAGTTTTTGTGGCGCCCTAATGTTTTCAGTTAATGATTCAGTTTGAGTTCCGTGTTTCCTATTGGCTGACGGTTTCGGAAATTTCATGTTTTTTTTAATGAAAAGGAAATGTTTTGTGTATTCTTCTTTTTCCTTTTTTTTTCCCTTCAAAATATTGTGTTTTTAAAAAAAAATTACATTTAATATATATATATATATATGCGATAGTCTAAACTAAAAGGGATTGGGAGTTTGTCATGCACACTATATCAAGGTGTCATGTGGGTCTAAGACCACTACCGTTGTTCTCCAGTTGCAAGTGTACACAATTGCCAAAAGTAAACTTAAATTAAGGGGGGGGTGTATTTAATTAAGATTATAAAGCGTTTAAAAAGATTTTAAAAATCCGGGTGTATTCAATTTGGATTTATACAAACTTTAAAAGATGTTTTATAAGTCTGGGTGTATTTAATTCGGACTTATATGAACTTTTAAAAAGTCCATTCAAATATGAGTGTATTCAATTAGGATTATAAAAAGTTGAATTAAATCTAGGTGTATTCGAAATGTTATATATTTGGAAGGATTTCATTAAGTGATAAATTTTCTTAGGTTTTAAGGAGAGAGTCATAAATAACAAAAACCAAAATAATCCAACTTCCCTCCCAAGTATTTCATCATACGTTTTTCTCTTGCTCTAACTTTTCTCTCTGCAAAGATGAACAACTTCCTTCCTCCATATGTGAAGGTATGCTTGTTACCAAGGTTTATGCTTGTTACTAGGGTTTATGTTTGTTTACTAGGGTTTATGCTTGTTGCTACTTATTTTTCTTCTGAAATATCTATATACGACTAGATAGAAAATTGAAATAATTGACAACCTTTCTATAATCGAACAAAAAAACTGAGACAAATATAGATGAACATTAAAAAAACAAAAATCCAAAAATTTCAATTTTTAAATGATGTTTTGGAAGCCTAAACGACCTCAAAAGCCCAAAATCCACCATATGTCACGGCGAACTGTGAGTTTGACTCGTGGCATCGTTCCCCAAGATTAATGAAATGCTAAGCAAGGCAATTGTAGAAACCAAAATACTCCCCAAGATTAATGAAAAACTTAGGTGTCACAAAATATGTTCTCAATACCAGAGTCAGCTGAAGTACTTTAAAAGAGAATACCAAAAATATTCACAGCTTCTCCGTCACAGCTCTGGGTTTGGATGGAATCCAACCACAAAGAAATTCACTGCTCCTGAAGAAGTTTGGAAAGACTACTTTAAGGTTAGGTTATTAAATTTTCTTTAAATAATTCCGTTTGGTAACTTGAATACATAATCTGTTAAATAATTATTTTATTATTATTGTTTTTGTTATAGTCCCACCCAAAAGACACAAGTATTCAAACAAAAACTTGTGAGGACTATGAGGATCTGCAAATTGTAATTGGGAATGCAACTGTTATTGGAAGAAAGTCATTAGGATTAGGTGATGATACTGATGCAAGAACTTTTAGGGCGGAAGATAGACATGTTGGAATAGAGGACTTTGTCTTTGATGATGAAAGTCAGGCTTTTATACCAAATCATAATGAACCACCACACCAAGATCCACCACTCGGACATTCTTCTTCATCCTTCCCTTTTCATGCCACTAATTGTGAAGGTCCCTCAGAAAGCTCAAGCCAGGGAAAATGAAATATAACAGATTTGGAAGGGAATGCTATCTCAAATGAGACCACCCAGCAAGCTATGGGAAGAATTAGCCTTAGCATTGATTCAATTGTGACTGACTTCCGGGGAGTCCATAACCTATTGGCAAAAGGGGAAAAAGAAAGAAAGCAGCAAAGTTATATGTGGGATGCTATTAAGGAGACTCCAATTTTGGATGAACGTGTTCGTTATAAAGTGCTCTTTTTGTTGAATACTAACACAAAAAAGGATGCATTTTTGAAAATGTCTCCTGAGGAGTGCTCAAATTGGATATCATACAATTTGGAATGAGTGGATTTTTTGAGAGTTTTTGAGAACGACTAGTTGTTTGGAATGATTGGTTTTTGGTATTGTTTTTTGGATGATATTTGGACTATTTGTTTTGTTTAACAAGGAGGAATGGACTTAAAGTGCCACAAGGTATTTTTAAATTTTCAAAATTTTCTTATAGTTTACATTAGCTCATACATTGGATACTAACATATGTGTAATCTATTATCAGGTAAATTTTTCTTAGTGGATTGTAGATTTCCAAATCGACCCCAATTTTTGGCTCCATTTCGAGGTGTTCGATATCATTTCCAAGAGTTTGGTGGTCAAGGTCGTACACCTACAAATGAAGTTGAGTTGTTCAATCTTCGTCATTCGTCCTTGAGGAATGCCATTGAGAGGATATTTGGTATATTTAAGTCACGATTTACAATTTTCAAGTCTGCACTTCCATTCCCATATGCAACACAAACAGAGATAGTGTTAGCTTGTGTAGGACTACACAATTTTCTTCAAAAAAAGTGTAGATATGACGAATTTCCTGTTGAATTTGAGGACAAATCTTTTTCATCTTCATCGTTACCGGTTAATGAAGGGAATCCTGAACTAGTTTTTCAAACACAAGAATAGCAACGACATAATGCTAATGAATTGAGAGTTGGTATAGCTTTGGATATGTGGAGAGATGTTGGGCACAATGACAACAGTGAGAATCAAGGATAATGAATGAACGTTAAATATTTTTCTTAAACTTTTCTTTCAAATTTGTAATACATTTGTTACTATATTTCTTATGAATTTTGCTTTTTGTTAAACATAATTTTATTTCATGTTGTTAAAGGAAAAGTTGTTATGAATTTGGTTTTTTATTTTATCTTTTTTATATACATCAATGTTACCATATACGTTGACAACATTGAAAGTACTATGCAAATAGGTACTGTGCATATTTGACACGGCATTCATGGTCAAATAGGTATTGTGCATACAAAAAGTATTGTGCATATTTGACACAACATTCTTGGATTATTCTTTTTATTTTGAAATGTGCATATGTTCTTCCATCGCAAACAAGTACTTTTTGTTTTTGCTTTGGGTAACAAAAACAAATTTGATTGAAAAAATTCAAGTTTCTTTCTTTAAATGACAAGAATGGGGATAAAATGAAATATACTGTCTACATAAGTCTGGAATAAAAGCCTATCAAGTTCTATGAAAGCTTAAGAAAGTTTATTAAAAAATTTATATAGAAGTCTTCTGAAAGTCTATCAAGTTCTATACGAATTATAAAGTTCAAGTTCTATGAAAGCTGGCACTTAAACAAAATCTTTTTAAACGCTCTAGAATCCTAATGGAATACATCCTCCTAAGGTAAATTATGTTTTTTAATAAACATGGTGCGAGGTTTGTGTGCTTTTTAGAATTGAATTACGGTAAAATGTTTGCACATTGTAATTTTATAATTCAAACTTTTTAATTTTCAAGTCATTAAAAAAGATTAAAAAAAAAAAAAAAAAAAAAAAAAAAAAAAAACAATTCAGAGAGTTTTCTCTCTCCCCCTTTTGAAGTGAGAGCTAGTTTACCTAGTGGGTGCTAGGATTTGATCTTTCCCTTGTGTTTCTTCACAAGATCCGATCTATTCTTGTGTTTTTCACAAGATCATATTCATATCCTAGTTTATTAACTAGGAACAAACCAAGGTGCAGAATCAATCATTCTTTTCCAAGGTGGAAAACTCAAAGCTTTAGGAATAGGTGCAATTTCAAATGGGGGAAGTTCAAAAAGGCTTTGACGAAATACTTACTTTGACAGCGGAAGAAGCTGATGCATTGGTGATTGAAGAAGAAGATGATGGTGTATCTCAAGATATCCTAGAGAGAAGCTTAGTGGCAAAGCTATACTCACCAAAACTGGTTCACAATAAGTCCTTTAAGAATAGGATGTTGGAGATTTGGGACCCAGTTGGTGAAGTAAATATCAAAGAACTCTCAAGTAACCACTTCTTATTTACATTTGGACATATGGAGGAAAAAACAGACGAGTAGCCTTGAAGTTAGTAACAAAGTTCAGGCTGTTTCTTCACAATTACAGTCAATGAATGCAAGAAGATTACGAGTGAAAGAATTGTCCAGAGAATGTTCCAAAGGAAAAGAAATGGTACACTTGACCTCATACTCATTGAGTTCCCAACGAATTTCCAGAGGGTCAGAACAAAGGGATAGAAATTGGGAAAACAATGCTTTGACAGAGGCAAAGAAAATTAGTGAGGGGATTGTTCAACCTCCTCTATTTCCACAAGAAGCGGAGAACCCAATTGTCAAGCAGGAGAGAAAAAGAAAGAGATTTGTGCCATATCCCACTCTGAAGTTGATAAAGCATTATTTGGCGATTTTGAGGTGGTAGTTCAGTCTGGAGTTGATCTTTATTCACAAAGAGACAATCAGGCTGGCAAAGAGCCAAAGAGTGTGCAGGCCAAAACAAGGAGAAGCTAGAAAAGGTTAGCAAGAGAGGGTGGTTCAAGTAAGTCCTCCCATGATCAGATAACTTCCAATATGCTAATTGGTGAGAAACGAAAAGGGGAACCAGTTATGGAAGGGGAAGCTTCAAAGCACAGAAGAGTTGATGATGGAAAAAACACCGAGATTGTCATGTATGAATCAGTGGTGGGCTCGGAGATGTTGGCCCACCATGAGCAATGAATATCTTAAGTTGGAATGTCAGAGGTTTGGGGAATCCTCGGACATTCAGAGCTCTCAATGATTTATTGAGAGAGAAAAATCCCCATGTAGTTTTCCTTATGGAGACTAAATGTGAAGGAAAAGGTGGTGAAATGGGGAAATTATAATTATTTTGAAGTAGAGAGAATTGGTGGGGTTTTTGCAATGTTGTGGAGGAAAGAAATACAAGTGAGTGTGTTGTCTGAAATCAACTGGCCATATAGACTGCTAGGTGAATATTCATCCCATATATAACCATTCAGAGTAACTGGATTTTATGGCAACCCTGAAACTGTTGGAAAATTTAATATTAACTAATATTGATTATATTGATTTTCCTATTTGAATGGAAATTAATAAAATCCATTGGGAAAAAGACATGACCCTTGGGTTAAAGACATCTTCACATGGGGAGTGACAACTCTTCAAACCAAGGGATGCATTGTTTGGGGTGACAACTCTTCAGACCAAGGGATGCATTGTTTGCCTTTTCAGATTGAGATACCTTTCTAAAAAGGGTATTTCATCATCTATAAATAGAGCAATCCTCCTACAGTTTTATTCATTCAGTTTAATTATCTACATATAGACTTTCATATATAGATAGCATTAGAGTTTTCATAAAGAGAGGTTCCTGCATAATTCGGTTCAAAGTTCCTTGTGAATTGCAGTGCTTCTTTCACAAGGAGAGGAGTCGTTGTATCCTGAAAGGCGAATGCTAGTGAACCATAAGCACCAGTGTGGGGCGCAATTCGTCTTAAGGTCAGAGTGTCCAACACTTGCCTCGACTCAATTAAGGTTCTTCTAATTCAATTCTCCTTTTGTAAAAATATGTTTTATGTGCAGTATTTATTTTGTTTATCTTATAGCAATTTAGCACTCATATTTCCAACAATCTTAAGACGAATTATTATGGTGTAGTTGCTATATTTGAAGTGTAACATAAACTTAGTTTTTACTTAAACTCGTGGGAACAATTGCTGGATGTTATGCTAATTGATGTATATTCAGCATACATAATAGCATAATTGATGTGATCACTATCAAATTGACTTTGAGGATGAGGGCACGTGGTCCCATCTACAAGTTAACTGTTTTGTTAATCGTTTGGGTCTGTTTGAATAATTGAGACGCGTTTCCAGATATTCAAATTGTAAGTATGGTGGGACTGTTATCCATATATTATTGTATGACATCATTCTGCCTTGAGTATTTCAGATTTTATTTTAGAAATTCTAAATGCACATGCATGTACAACACTTGATCGGCATAAGATCATTTTGAGAATTTCATATTTTCTCAAAGAATTTTATGTGCACGGCACGTGATGAGTAAAAGATCATTTTGAAAGTTTGTTTACAGATATTTGTCTGCATGTGTGTTATGTTTGAAATGAAGAAATCATGTATGCATTTATGTTTTATTACTATTGCAATTTGCAAACAAGAAGGAAACGGCATGAAAACCGTTGTTCTTGTTTAGAGAAGTATGTGAATGGGCGCATGAACCTGTGTGTATGCATGCTTGAGGGCTGCATTTTCAAAATTGGCGAACAATTCTTTGTACAGAGAGAAATCATATTACATATTTGTACACAGATCATGGATGTGGTGTTCAGAAAGCAGCGAGTTGCTTTCGATTTGAATGGGTTGTAAACTTACATTAATGGTGCAGTCTCAGTAGAAGAGATATGTTTATGTTTACATAATTGTATATATGAACCTTTGGGTTAATATGCAGATATGCAGTTGGCATATTAGATTCCATATAGAAAGATTGCATAAATTTGGTTTTGCAAATTTTTCTGAAGAAGGGAAAGCAAGTCAGTGTGTTGTCTAAATCCCCTGAGGACTTTATTAAGTTGGTCTTTAAGTGTATATCTACTGTATCATATTCATTGATAAGGCATGAAGCTGTTGAAGGTAATACTATCCCACAAAGGGGGATTAGACAAGGAGATCCCTTATCTCCCTATCTTTTCCTCACTTATGCTGAGGGTTCTTTTTCGCTTCTTAAACAGGCAGAGCTTTTTGGTGAAATTAAAGGGCTTGAAGTTGCAAGGGGGCCCCCCTCCAATTTCTCATTTGTTTTTTTTTGTAGATGACATCCTACTTTTTCTTGAAGCAACACCTCACGCATGTAGAACCCTTAAAAGGGTGTTTGAGATTCATGAGGTAGTAGCAGGGCAAAAATAAATTTGGAGAAGTCAACAATTGCTTTCAGTCCGAACACTCCTGTGCATTTAATGAATGAGATTAGCAGCATTCTAAAGATCCCAATTGTTGAGTTTCATGACAAATATTTGGGATTGCCAATAGTGATTGATAGGAAAAAGAAAGATTGTTTTAACTGAATAAGAGAAAGATTGAGAAAGAAGCTTAATGGCTAGAAAGAGAACTTGCTTTCAAAAGCAGGAAAGGCTCTCCTTATCGAAGTGGTGGCTCAGAGTATTCCAAATTATGCTATGGGAGTCTTTAAATTTCCTGTAACATTTTGTACAGAGTTGAATTCAATGATCTCTAAATTTTGGTGGAAGAATTTAGAGTATTGCAAAGGTATTAGCTGGGCAAAGTGGGAGCATCTGTGTTTTGCAAGGGATGAAGGTGGATTGGGTTTTAGAACAAGGCGCTTGTGGCTAAGCAATGTTGGAGACTTCTTACCAATGAACAGTCCATGATTCACAAGGTATTAAAAGCTCGATATTTTCCAAATTGTAATTTCTTGGCAGCTAGTAAAGGAAGAGCATCTTCTTATGTTTGGAGATCTTTGATTTGGGGTCGTGAATTGCTCTTGAATGGGATAAGGAAGAGGATTAGAGATGGACAAGATAATCTAGTTTATGGAGATGCATGGATTCCTAGACCTAATTCTTTCCGCCCCTTTTTCCCTCAAGTGCTGGATCAAGAAACTAAAGTAAGTGCTTTTATTTTTCCTATTGGGACTTGGAATGTTGAGTTACTAAATCTGTGTTTTCATGCAAAAGATGTTAAGGCCATTACCTGTATCCCTTAAGTGTTAATTATCACAAAGATAGATGGATTTGGCATTATACGACTAATGGAATTTATTTTGTGAAAAGTGGTTATAGGTTGGAGATGTAAAAATAAATAAATAAATAAAAAAAAAAAAAAAAAAAAAAAAAAAAAGAAAAGTAGTGGGGCTGCGGGCTCCTCTTCGGAACCAAGAATACGAAATGCTTTCTAGAGAAAAGTTTGGTCCCAAGAGGTACCACAAAAACTCTTATATTTTAATTGGAGAGCTATTAAAAATTATCTTCCTTGTAAATCTAATCTGCTAAAAACGAAAAAAATCTATGATAACTCTTGCCCCACTTGTAATGTGAATTCTAAGAGTGTAATACATGCACTGTGGAGTTGTCCTAGTGCCCAAAAAGTTTGGAAAAAAGTGAAGTTTAGGGAGGTATTTACAGGTGTGCACTTTTCCAACTATGAGGATTTATTTGAAGTTGCCACTATATATCTTTCGAAGTATGAAATGTGCCTATTTTTATATATCTGCTGGAGCTTATGGCAAAACAGAAATAAAGTAGTTGTTGAAGGTCGGTCTTGTGCAAAGGAGGCGATTTTCAAAAGAGCTCTTTACTTGGCTGATGAATTTTTACAGTTCAAATAAAGGGTTAAAAAAGAGAGAGAGAGAGAGAGAGAGAGAGAGAGAGAGAGAGAGACTTGTGCTTGCTCTCCCAATTCAGGAAGACGTAAATCACCGAATATGTAAATCTTGTGAAAGGTGAACCTGAAAATAGATGTTGAGAAGCTAACCAAATGGTCTCCCCCTCCTGCTGGTAAATATAAACTGAATGTAGATGCTGCTTATATTCCCGAACATGTGTGGGTGGAATTGGTGGTGTTGTTAGAAATGACAAAGGGGAAGTGATGGCGGCTATGGCCCTTCCACTTGTCATCGTCCCCTCACCTAAATATGCAGAGATCATGGCACTTCAATTCGGGATGAAGTTTGCTCGGGATGCTGGCTTTTCTTCTATTCTAATTGAGTCTGATTCACAAGGAGTGGTAAGTGACTTAAAGAAGGATGAGGAAGAGTCATGGGCATCAGTGAGAGGAGTCTGCGACAATTAGATGATGTTACTGTTTCTTTCAGTCCAAGGGGGTGCAATCAAGTAGCTTATCGTCTAGCAAGGCATGCACTTAATTGTAATACTATAGTAACTTAGATTGAAGAGGTTTCTCTTTGGCTGGAGCCAATTGTACAAGATGATATTGTTGTATCCTCTTAATTATTATCAATGATTTCCTCCTTCGAAAAAAGAAAGAAAGAAGAAGTCATTATTCAAAGATCATTTGTATTTAGGGTGAACTAATCACCTAGATGGGTGCCTTTATTGGAATCCAAACATTTTTTAACCAAAACCTTATGTCAATAGAATCTGTCATTTGCCCCTAACATAATATTTTGCAAAAATAAAATATTCCGCAAACCCACCACCGTACTCCATGGAAAGCAAACCAATCACCACCACCCTCCATTACAATTCTAAAGGTTACCCACGAAATTTTGTGGTTCTCCAAACATAAACAAACCAAAAACAGATGAATAATTGAATGAATCGAATATGAAGATTACTCATGAAATTTTTGGTTCCCCATTTCATATGTACATCTTTTCAAGGCTATAATGAACAATGAAAAAGTTCATCATGATCTCCTCCTCCCAAAAGGATGATATATTATTTCTTCTAAGTGGACTAGGAAAAACATGTCTTTTTCCAAGTGTGACTATCCTTCATTTTTTTGCATTGAAGTTTAAGTGCTTATACACAAATAATCATGAAATGCGATGAAATACCTATTTAGTACCCTCCAATATCTCATTGAAAAGATAAAATTCGCCATGATTCTGGACAACAATCAATAATTAATATTTAATGTGACTAAACATAAGTAAATATTATAGTAGATCTTAAAACTAAGTTGCTCACAGTTTATCAGTAAACATTGCCATCTTTACTACCAAATGAAAATCATAATTGTAACATGTTTTATAGCTAAACAATGACTATTGTTGTTTGGTTGGAACGAGTGATAAGTGATAGCACACAATATTTGTTTTTCAAAGTCGTAAGTAACGTATGAAGCTTTATTGCTCAAATGAAAAATAAAATAAAATAATAGAACAAGCATGTGCTTCTTCTAATGGTGTTTCTCTTTCTAATATACGAGAGATACGACGATTCCATTTTTAAAAAGGAAACAAAGAGTTATTATTGACCTCGTTAATTAACAATTAGAAGTTGCTGCTATTTCCACCTACATGTCCTATTTCCCCACCCACCTTATTTTCAAAATTTTATAGACAAATTTATCTATTTGTAAAATGACTTCTAAGGACTATCTAATTTTTAGACACATGTTCAATAACTAAAAAAAAACAAAACTAATTATTTAAAAAAACAAAAAATAAAAACCCAACAACCACCAAATCTCCCTCACCTAGACCTGGCAAACGGGTCGTTTTAACGGGTTCCGGGTCGTGTTCGTGTTAATCCGTTAAGGTAACGGGTTGAACACGACACGACCCGTTAACTTAACGGGTGGAAAATATCAAACCCAAATACGACCCGTTATAATTCGCGAATAATCCGCACGACCCGTTAAGAATAAACAAGGAAAAAAAAATTATTGCCCAACGCTAACTCTTCTTCCCCCAAACCCCAGCCCTAACTTTTCCCTCTTCGTTTCTGTCTCATCCCCCCACCCCCAAGAAAAACAAAAAAAACCTTCTATGTCTTTCTCAGGTATCTCACAAAATTGGTCCCTATCTCTCTCTCTCTCTCTCTGATAACCACTTTCACAGTCAGTCTCATTCAATCCAACCTTAAAACCCAACAACAGCAGCAAAAACAAAGGAATAAAGAGAGATGGGGAAGTACATGAAGAAATCTAAAATCTAAGGTGACGTCGCCGTGATGAAGGTCTCCGTTTCACAACAATCTTCTCTTGGCTGGGTTGAGTCTGTTGAGTGGAGAGAAGAAGAGAATTTTTTTGTAAAAAACAAAATGAGAGATAGGGAATGACAGGAAGAGGAAGAAGAAAATGAAAAAAAAATAGAGAGCTGGAGATAAGGGGAAAGAAGAAGAAAAAAAAGTGAAGAGTCACGGAGAGAGAATGGGTTGAAGGAAAAATAATATTAAAAAAGAGAGTGGGAAAGATGGAGAGATAAAAAAATGACAGAAAAAAAGAAGAAGCATTCTTTTGGTGTTAGGAATGAAGATATGTTTTTTAAAAAACATTTTTCAAAATTACAAAATTACCCTCTTTAACGGGTGGATGCGAATATTCGCGAATTGACCCAACACGACCCGTTAACTTAACGGGTGGCTAACGGGTTCACCCGTTTTCAACCCGACCCATTAAGCTCAACCCAAATACTGATAATTTCGTGTGAATTCGTGTCGTGTTAACGGGTCGTGTGTAATATTGTCAGGTCTACCCTCACCCACCCACCCGACTTGTCAGCCATCCCATCCCATCCCGCCAGCAGCAAAGCTTCATACGTTAAGACCTAACTTGGTCGAAACATTGGTATAGAATCCCCGACTGCCCCACCACCCAACCACACATCCGAACCCCACCTCCTCTCTCATTCTTTTCTCTCTTCCCCCCCCCCTCTCTCTCTCTCTCTCTCTCTCTTCACCCTACTATCTGTCTTATCTTCCCCACGCACCCATCCACCCTCCCCCTCCTCCTTTTTTCTCCTTATTTCTCTCATCCCTCCTCTCGACAGCCACCCCTATGAATGAAAAGATTCTTTATTTTTCTTTGGTTTGTTGTTTGGTATGGTTTTAGGTTGAATAACTCAAAAGGGTTATTGGGTTTTGGATTGGCAGGGGGTTGAAGGCTAGCATGCTTTCAATGAAAGCAAGGGCATGCTGTAGGGATTTTGGACTAAAGGGTGTCTTTCGAGATTTATTTAGAATTGTGATTGAAGAAGAATAAGAAGAGGTTGCTGGGTTTGTTTGGGTTTTGGTTGAATTAACAATGAAAGGGTATTTTAGGAATAAAGATGGGTGGAAAAATAGGATTGTTTTTTTTTCTTTTCAAATTTACATGGTGGGTGAGAAAATAGAACAAAGGGGTGGAAATAGCAACATCTTTTTAATTTATAATACAAATATTGGGGGAGTAGGGAACCGAACATAGGATCTCGGTTGCAAGAGTAAATGCTCTTAACCAACTGAACTACAAGCCCCTTATCAACAATTAGAGCATCCAAAATCATGCTATCTATTTTTTAGTTAAATTTTAGCTAAAACCATATGAAAGTTATTTTAGCAGCTCTCTATAAAATTTAAACTTCAATACTAGTTTAGGGAGTCATAAATACTATAACTCTTTTTTGATTGGTCCATCTCTATTAAAAAATAAAATAAAAAATAGTTAGCATTAAATAAAGGTTTGAAATACTCATTAAATAAAACAGTATTAAATTATAGGGAGCCATTAGGAGTCATTTCTCTCTTATCAGATTTATGAGCTCTTAGAGGTCTCCATATTTTAGGAGATGGATAGGGAGCATGGTTGGAGTTGTTTTTTTACAATTCCCTAAAATTTATCTAATAAGGTGGTTTAGGGAGCTCATTGTGGATGCTTAAATTCTAAGGCTCAGTTTGGGATTGCTGTCACTTTTAAAAAAAATTGCTTATGCTATGCTTTGAAAATAATTAGCTGTAAAGTAAAGCAGCTCCATGTTTGGTAAACAATATTTTTAAAGTGTTGTTAGTACAAAAAGCAGTGTAAAAACCGTTTGGTAAGTTTTAATATAAAATTGTTGTAACTGTGAATAATGACTAAAATAGACATGATGTTAAAAGTGTTATGTACTAATCATGTGGTAGTAGTGGTAGTTATGGAGTGGAGGTGGTGGTGGTGATGAAGGTGGAGTTTGTGGTTGTGGTAGTGGTGGTGGTAGGGATGGCGCTTGTGGAGGTGGTGGTAGTGACAGCATGGTGGTGGAGGTGGTAGCATGGTGGTGGAGGTGAAGGTGGAGTTGGTGGTGGTGGTTGTGGTGGTGGTTGTGGTGGAGATGAAGGTGGAGTTGGTGGTGATGGAGGAGGTGGTGGTGGCGGTGGCGATAGTGGTGGCGGTGGTTGTGGAGGTAGTGAATGTGGTGGTGTAAGTGGTGGAGTTGGATGTGGAAGTGGAGGTGGTGTTATTTTTTAAAATGAATGATGATATTTTGGGAATTAAAAAAATTCATTAAAGGTTCATCTCTATTTCTTTTGAAAGCAGCTTTGAAAAGCAACTCATAGTCTGCTTTTAAAAGCTGCTGTCAAAAGGCCACTGCTTTTAAAATAATCGGGATATTTTATTTTTACCAAATACCTTAAACTGCTTAACTTTAAAGTGAAGCAGGTTTTTGACGAAAAAAAACAATCCCAAACGGGGCCTAAGTACTATTGCCTCCTCATCTTGCTAAGTACTATTGCCATCGTCAACAAGAAATTCTTGGAAGGGGATTTAGTTCTAATTATTTTTAGTTTTTAAATATTGTTTTTTTTCTGTCAGAATATTATTAACTATTTTAAAGTTATTAATTATGATTATTTTATCAAGAGAAATATAGTTCTTCATACAAAATATACATATATGTATTTATTATAATCAGTTTTGATTTATAAAAAAGAAAAAGAAAAATTCAATGAAATTCTCTAAGAATTTTAAAAACTATGCAAATCAAACCTTAATTTTTGCTTAATTTCAACAATGCTGCAGGAAAAATGACAAAATGTAATTATTTTATTATTTTATTGTTATTTTGACAAAAACGTACTTTTAAGCAAAACCCAGAAATATTATTTAGATAGACCAAAAGTCCGACAGAAATAATGCAAATCCTTTCGCATTTCTCCTCTAAGGCCTCACTCTCTTTGCTTCCCCTTCCTCGCCTCTCTCTCTCCACCGCCCTCTACTTCCGCCGTCGCCCCTCAAAATTCCAATTTTGCTCCTCCAAGCACTTTCAATTTCCCAGGTTGCCCCTCCTCGTATGCAACCTCAGCTCCGGCACCAGCCAGCAAGTTCCCATGGACTCACCCCCACCGGAGGCTACCTTGTCGGTCGACTCCCTAACGCACGATTTGCAGAATCAGAGCTTGACCTCCGACGGCCACGATCAAATGAATAATAAAAGTGAAAATAATGGTGTAAATTACACTCACGCGGTTAGGTTGAAGCTTGAAGATCTGAATTGGGACAACTCGTTTGTAAGAGAGTTGCCTGGTGATCCCCGGACTGATACGATTCCACGAGAGGTTAGCTTGTTTTCGCCCTATTTTCATGTTTTGGCTTATGTTCTGTTTGGTTGCTGAGAAAGTGAAGGAAAGTTTACCGCATGTTTTGTGTGTATGTGTATTAGTTGAAAGGCTTACACTTGAGCTGTTGTTTCGTCCCAAAATCGGAAAATTTGTTAAATTTAAACACAACTACTTAGAAAATCGTAGTGAATTAATGGGGAAATGGCCAAGTTACTTACGGTTCGTGTGTTGTTAGTTGGGTTCGCTTAATTTAGCTACGGAACTGTGCCATTAATAGGGTTGATTGTGATATGATCTCTTGCTTTGAGCTACACTTTAATTTTTACTAGCTGAGGGGGTGTTATGTTGTAACTTTGTGCTATATTTTCTGGGTTTTGATTATCAGGTGTTGCATGCTTGTTATACGAAAGTATCCCCGTCAGCTGAAGTTGAGAATCCTCAGCTCGTTGCCTGGTCAGAATCAGTTTCCAAGTTGCTTGAATTGGATCCTGAAGAGTGAGTATTCTTGTTTCTTGTGCTCCCTGGAAAATCAAGTGTTAATGCGTTTCAACATGGATGAGAAAATAAGCATGAACTCAGAGAGTGTGTTTGATAGAATCAGAAAGAAACAAAATTGTGTTTGACAGCATCTGTTATGGATAATGGTTTTGATGGTCCTTGGAAGTCTGATTCTGGATCTCTTCTTCACCTCTACACAAGGCCTTGTGGTTTAGGAAATTAGTTGTGTGTGTAAATAACATGACACTACTATTAAAACTCCTATCTGGAAGTATGGTAGATTAGGCCCCCAGATATTTATATTTTCAGAGTTGATAAGTTGTCACATGGTTTGTCAAGATTCCTCTTATTGATTGAAATTCTTGGAGTTCTGATATCTAGCCGAGTATTAGAGGCTGTTGTTTCCTATGTAAATGTGTTTTCCATCGTGTATTGTTCGGATTAATGCTTTGGTTTCTGACTTGCTGTACCCCGAACCATTGACTGATATACCATAGTACATATGTTTTGCACATGTGGTATTTCATGTTTCATAGGACTAATTTGGCACCTTGTTTGGAGTTACAGATTTGGAAGGCCAGATTTCCCTCTTTTATTCTCTGGGGCATCTCCTCTAGTGGGATCGTAAGTGTTTCTCTGAATATTAAGTTATGAGGCTCACATTAGGCACTGTTGTCAAATTTCATGCAGCCAGGATGTATGTTTTATTTATGCAGGTTGCCCTACGCTCAATGCTATGGTGGACATCAATTCGGAATGTGGGCTGGACAGTTGGGAGATGGTCGGGCTATTACTCTTGGGGAGGTTCTTAATTCTAAATCTGAAAGGTGGGAACTGCAGCTTAAAGGTGCTGGGAAGACTCCTTACAGTCGGTTTGCAGATGGCCTTGCTGTGCTTCGTAGTAGCATTCGGGAATTCCTTTGCAGTGAAGCGATGCATAATCTTGGAATTCCAACAACTCGAGCTCTCTGTCTTGTGACAACAGGAAAACATGTCACACGCGACATGTTCTATGAGTATGTTGAGCAGAACTCTAATTAATTTTCTTAGCTAAGAGTATTGTCCAAGATATCTCTAAGATATATATCGTAACTATGAATTTCTTGTTTTTGAAGCCAGTGCATAAGTTCAAGGTTTCATATATTGATAATTCCTTTTGTTCCCTTATTAAGATAATTTCTCTTTGTTTTATTTTTCAACTTTCTTAACATTCTTGGTTGGGTCTTATGCTAAAATATCAATATCTTGTTCATCCTGAAAGGAATTGAACTTTACCAGGATGTGTGTTGCTTACTGAGACTGTAATCAAGGTGTTTCGACCTCCTAAATTTCTTATCCTTATTTATAGGAATATATATTTTTTCATATTTTCTTGTTAAAAATAAATTGTTTATTTCTTCATTTGCAGTGGCAATCCGAAAGAGGAACCTGGTGCAATTGTTTGCAGGGTTTCTCCGTCCTTTCTGCGTTTTGGATCATACCAAATACATGCCTCCAGAGAAAAAGAGGACCTCGCAATTGTTCGTACTCTTGCAGACTATGCCATTAGGCATCACTTTCCTCATATAGAGAAATGAGTAGAAGTGAGAGTTATCTTTCAACACAGGAAACGAAGAACATTCAGTTGTTGATCTGACATCTAACAAGTATGCAGGTACTCATTTATCCTTTTAGAGTAAATGTGTTGCTGATGGTGGCTTAAATAATGTTCATTAAGACTTGGGATACATTTTGTCATATTGTGGAAGCTAAATGAATCAGAAGTTCAATCAACAAGTGCAGTCTAAGTTAACTAGCCATAAATTTCTCATCTTGTACGCTTTCATATGGTCTTATCCCGTGGACATTATAGGAGTTCACTTTTTATTTTTCTTCGCTAGAAAAACCATTCGGATTGATTTAAAGTCATACATCTTCTTCATGCATGCCTGTTGTCTTATCCCATGGCAATTATATGAGTTCTCTTTCTTTCTTCTGTAGAAAAACCATTTGGATTGATTTAGGATTCAGACACCTGTTTAGTACACCCAGTAAACAGTTGCAGAGTGCTACCTGGTACTGCAGTTTTGTGTTCCTAGCTGAGTTAGTAGTGTGGTGACCTCCCATATTGGGCATGGAAAGTAGTTAAGATGGGCTTATCTCTTGTGTGTAATGTGCACTTCGGACTAATTAAGATGCTACTGGCTTCTTCAGCTTCTGTTAAAAGCTAATTTTATTAGGGATGCAATATCTCGTTCCAAAGTTGCATCTTCATATTTTCTTCATGTATGCCAGTCAAATAAGGTGTCTGGTGTTGATACTGTGGTACATGTTGCACCACATTATTCAGGAACCCTCTTATTATTTTAATAGAACCACAGAAGTCATTACGTATCACAAAATAAAGAAAAAGAAAACAAAAGAAAGGACTTGATTCAGGCATACTTTTTGTGTCCAATGTCGTTACTAATATTGAGATTGGCAATCTTCCTTTATGCCGAACTTGGTATTTTTCTCTACTCTTACTGCTACTCCAAAAGAGTCTATGATAGAAAGGTTTCATTCAGGCATACTTAATTAACTGTTTTTCTGTGCTTTTACTCCCATGATTGGGTTTTTAACAGCTTGGGCAGTAGAGGTTGCTGAGCGCACTGCTTCCTTGGTTGCCAAATGGCAGGGGGTTGGTTTTACTCATGGTGTGTTGAACACTGACAATATGAGCATTTTGGGTCTTACCATTGATTACGGTCCTTTTGGTTTTCTGGATGCATTTGATCCAAGTTACACTCCGAATACCACGGATCTTCCTGGGAGGAGGTATTGTTTTGCAAATCAGCCTGATATTGGCTTATGGAATATTGCACAATTCACTAGAACTCTGTCAGCTGCCCAGTTGATAGATGATAAGGAAGCAAATTATGCAATGGAAAGGTAGTTGTGATTCGCACACATTTCTCCTAATTAAATTGTATCTTCCAGTTGCAGTTCATTGAACCTCTTTTTGTGTGGATTTGTTACAGATATGGAACCAGATTCATGGATGACTATCAAGCCATAATGACCAAGAAACTTGGTCTTCCCAAGTACATCAAACAGCTGATCGGTAAACTTTTAAATAATATGGCTGTCGACAAAGTGGATTACACCAATTTTTTTCGGTTGCTATCCATATCAAAGCTGATCCCAGCATTCAGAAGAGGAGTTGTTGAACCCACTAAAGCCGTTCTATTAGATATTGGGCAGGAGCGGAAGGAGGCATGGATAAGCTGGGTGAAAATCTACATAGAGGAGGTACATTGAGCTCTGATTTTCATATGACTCCCACCTTCGAAAAGTTTATCATTTTGATTCCCACTTCACTGGAAGAATTAAAACTGTTTCAGTTGCTTCATGTCCTGTCAAAAGCAAAGATTCTGTTGTATTTAATTTTCTCACACGATGTCTTTTGCTTGTGCAGCTGGCCGCTAGCGGCATCTCAGATGAGGAAAGGAAGGCATCAATGAATGCAGTGAACCCTAAGTATATTCTCAGAAACTATTTATGCCAGAGTGCCATTGATGCAGCCGAACAAGGTGATTTTGGAGAGGTTCAGAGGGTGCTTAAAGTAATGGAACGGCCATATGATGAGCAACCGGGAATGGAAAAATACGCTCGCTTGCCCCCAGCGTGGGCTTATAGGCCTGGAGTTTGCATGCTTTCTTGCTCTCATGATTTGTTTATGCAACAAACTTAATGTTATATAGATGGCAAAAAGAGATTTTTGTTTCCTGACGGTTTATCTTTGGGCATAGTAAGTGTCGTATATAATAGTCAAATTCAGTTTTTTTTTTCTCTTTTCTTTTTCCTCTGACAATGAAATAAAGTGGCAATGTTGTATGATTCTTGTTTCTACTCAATGAAAACAGCTTAAAGAAATCATTATAGAAACAGCAACTTAAAGAAAGGGTTGATGCGTGCTTGTCTTGAAGTATGTCTCATGCAGGAGAAACACTTACATGAAATGGGGATATCACTATTTTGGTATTCTCGGCCAATCACGGTGTGTTATCCGTGATAATTTTTTCATCTGGCTGACCGTAATTGGCTGGGATAACAAAACAGTACTATTTCCATTTCATACAAATTTTTCTGCTCATGCAGGCAAGAAGAGGACATGTCAGGAGGATGGTTGCACATTTGTATATGTTGCACAGAGAAGGCTATGATTTGTCAGATTGGTTCAAGCTGTCTATGTCATTGATTGAATCATTGTTGTGTGCAACATGGTTATAGTGCTACTTATGTGCAAGTGACTTGTAGCTCAAGTGGTTAGAAGCAATTGTGAGTTATCCATGTATAAGTCCTAAGTTTGATTCCATTTCTTAACCCTTTCTTAATGCGTTTGTATAAAAAGATAGTGCTTCTGCTAAAAAGTGTTGGTATTTGTTGAAAGTAGTTTAGAAACATGTCAAATGTTTATTACAAGTCAAATGCTTGCGGAACACTACAAAGTGCTTTGTGCAAGATAAAAAAACTTCTCAATCCAGTCTTTTTATTTAAGAAGTAATGCTCATTTCCATAGTTTATCCCACATTTCATACCACATGATATGACATGTCCATATCATATGTCATATTAATTAATCATAAAATGTATTTTAAAAGAAAGTTTAATAACAGTTTTTTTTAAAAAAAAAAAAATGTTATCAATCATAAAAGAAAATATTAATAATTTTAATTGATTTTTTTTTTAAATTAATTTTTTTTTTTGTCGTCATCTGCCACATTTACAGAGTGTATGAGATATGGTTTGGGATACAAATTTAGTAGAGGTAGCAATATTCTTTATCTGATGCCAATTGTTGAATTCAATTTAGGGAGTTTTACTATTAGTCCAATAATAGGGTCACAATATAGGGTTCAAACTATTAAAAAACCAACATAATTAAGCAAAAATTTAGCTTAAGCAAATAGTTTCAGTTTTTGGCCCGCTTCAAACGAACCAAATGCTTGGCGATTCGTTTAGGAGAGAGAGAAACGAGGGAGAGCTGAAACGGTGGTTCAACCGTAAGATTCAGATTGGACAAAAACATCTCTCTCCAGTGGTGGTACTTCTTTCTTAAGACTCTTTTTTGTTTTCAATGTTTAGTTTATTTTGAACCTTTTTGTGGTTTGAATCCACGATTACTGCATCCATCTGGCTTGTTTGTTCATGCTTAAAACGTTGATGCCCATTAACTGTTTGGGTCAAATGCGTACATGATAGTCTTGAAGCTCAGTGGTCTATATGCCAATTTCCATTTTGATGTGTAGCCCTATCCTAACAGAGCGCCATGGCCCAAGAAACAGACTTTGTCTGTCTGTTTAGAGAGCATATGTTGATTTGTAAATGTATAACTTGTAATCTCAAGAACCAAGAGAATACAAGTTGTGGCTGCGGGGTAGAGGTTATGTGTTTGTTTCTCTGCTGCCCATATATTCAAGAATCAAGAAATTCACATTTAATTCTCCAGTATATTACAATGTGCAGATCAAATGATATACTGTGTCTGCAATATACTGTAAAGTTATTCTCTTTTCAGTTTTCTTGGGAAACTTATATCATGCTTTATCCATTCATACCTTGAAATTGAAATTATGTTCAACTTATATCATGCTTTAACTGTAAAATTTGTGACTTGGAATCAAGTGACCTCCACCCTTCTCATGGATTTTTTGTCTATGAATTTGTTACTTGCTAATCATTTCTTTATAGTTTATAAAAGTCTGGAGACATAGTATGATCTGAAGGCTGAACATGATGTGTTGTGTTAATTCTATGTGACGAAAGAAAGATACATAATTAGTTGTACTGTGGTTTACAGAGAATGAGAGTTCCAAGAAATCTCGAGGTCTTGAAAATGGGCGCTATCAGCTATCTGGATGCACTTAAGCTGCAGGAAAAGCTGGCCTCCCAATAGAAAAATTCATAAGATTCCAGATACTCTCCTGTCCCTGCAACATCCACCTACGTACACCCTTGGCAAACGGCGAACTGATCACAATCTTTTGATTCCCGAGTCTGAACTTAAAAGAATAGGAGCTGAACTGCACTACACACAAAGAGGAGGAGACATTACATTTCATGGTCCACATCAAGCCATCTTGTATCCCATTATTTCTCTTCGGGATATTGGGCTTGGTGCTCGTAAATACGTGGAGAATTAGAGTCAACCATGATTGAATTGGCGTCTCTGTATGGTGTGAAAGCTTGTCCTGGAAAAAAATGTGAAACGGGGGTTTGGGTTGGAGACAGAAAAATTGGTGCAATTGGTGTACGGATTTCATATGGAATCACTTCTCATGGATTGGCCTTTAACATTGATCCAGATTTGGACTATTTTAAGCATATCGTACCTTGTGGCATTGCAGATAAAGAAGTTACATCATTGAGAAGGGAGACAGACTTGGTGCTTCCTACAGAAGAAGTAATTCAGGACCAGTTGATTTCTTGTTTTGCTAGACAATTTGGTTATAGTAATCTTGTATGGAAGGATGCTGCTTCAATATTGTCAGACAATGGGGAAACCGAATGAGATAACAATTGTATGCCAAACGAATAAACGATGTAAGCCTTATGCTCTTTCATTCATTTTATTTGTCAAAACAATTGATGGAAATTGCTGAATTTGTATATCTTGTATGATAAGTAATGTAATGTGGAAAACTGGTGATTCCATATTGTTATCATGAAAGTTCAATCAAGTTTAGAAATCCTACCTATGTATATTGGATGAATCCAGACTAAAATTGGTTTTCCTAAATGGGACTGAAAACCTGCAAAAGTTGCCTAAAATGTAAAGAAAACACAACAAAAGCATTGTGGGCAGGTCATACAAGAAAAACACATTTCTAAAGGGTTCTTTGGAAATTAAGCTGGTATACTGCTCTCCTAACATTTTTCTGTAAAACATAGGACAGTAGCTTGCTTCTGTAAAATTGCTAACAGGAATATGATATAAATTTGTTTTTTTTCCATTTTTATTTATTTATTTTTTTAAAGAAGGAAAACTGCTTCTGGGTTCAGTCTACACACAGTAACATCATTTGGTCTCTTAATCAAAGAGGTCAGGTGTGTGAGCACTGTGTTCTATCATAGTCCTGCTGACATAGACCACATGCTTTTCTCTGCAGAAAGATTCTTTGATCCACATGTACTTATGAATCAACCAAATGGAAAATCCTCTCCTCTCAACAAAATTTCACAAAATTTATTGCAAATACAACTTTCAGGAGTTCCTTGACCAGATCTTGTGGCACAAAAACTATAATTTCCTTCTTTAATCTCCTTGACCAATTGAATTCTATCAATAGAGATGAGTTCGTATTGTGAACTGTCGACGTCAACCATGACATCCATGGAAAAAAAAGACGATAATTATAAATATATAAAAAATTGACACGTGCTCAATAATACCACACAACTCTTATAAATTGTGCGTAGATTAAAAAGCTTGCTGATCCCAAGTGGACTAAATAGAGCTCACTGTGGGATTGATCCGAATCACATAATTTAATAGAGAAAATCATGCTGTATTAGAAAATGATCAGCATGCGTGATGGCTTGATGGGGCTCGGCCAAGTTGATAATCATACTTGGTATTTAAATATCTTCTTGCTGCTCAGATCCATGTTCTCTCTTCTCAACCCATTTCTCAACCTGGAGAAAGCATGTGGGTTCATGGGAAATGAACAAAAACTCAAATATATGCAAGTCTGAAAATGAGAGCCTTCTTGAAACATGGAAGCCTGAAAATCATTGTATGCCCGGTTCGGTGTATGTAACTTTTTCTTACATGCATGCAATGAGAAGAAAAGTATACATAACTGACACGTGTATGCTAAAGTTCCCCCGTTAGAAACCTTGCTTTTCGAGATGGCACACATCAGAGCTAGTTCTTGATACAGGAGCTTGGCATATGTGACGGTTTCGTAGAAGATTAAAAGGGTATTTCACGTTTGGAAAGCAAGCTTACCCAGCCAAGTTTAGCTGTGTTTGTTTTGTACCACTTAATATAGAATAGTGATCGGTTATTAAACAAAGCAAAAGGATGGACAGAGAAATGAGGTCTGATTGGGTCTCATGTGACAAGTCACATGAGATTATTTTGTAAAATATTCAAGTTTGCAGAGAAAAGTCATAGAAGTATGACAATTAAACTCAGCATCACATGATCAGCTGCTTCCGAGTTGTAACCTGTTACACAACAAAACAAAGGAATGGGCACAAGGATTTTTCTGCTTGCTAATTATCTAACCAACCCATAACACCCACAATGTATGGCAAATTAAATTCACACTGAGCACATGGTGTTTTTTGCTTGATAAGCGAGGACCGAGAGATCCGAAACTTAGAACCTCTTTCAATAGATCATTGTACAATTGCACTGACTTCGGTAAATACAATTGAACCAAAAACATCTGAGTAAGTCTAGTTTTTTTTTGTTGGTAATTGACTTATAATTTTCATGTATTAGTGTATCATCAATGGACTTGAACAAAAAATTTAAACTTCTTGTTTTTATACACCAAAATAAGTACTTGACCAGCAAATAGGTTCCTAGGAGAGGGAGAGTGTACGCTAGTTATCTATATATTACATTACATTCACACTCGTTAACCAAATTACGCATAACAAAGCATGCACTGCCGCTTTTTGCCTTCTTTTATTAGAGATTAAAGAAGAAAATCTTCATATGTATAGGCACCATACCCTGTCCTTTCATCTTACCCACATTCGATTTACTTTTCATCAGATCAAATCAAACCAAACCACGCCATGAAAACCAGTCAGAGAATCTTGCTTGCCTTCTTTGCCTTGATTCTCATGCACGCTGTGAGTGTGACATGTTCTTCACTGTCACTGCACCAAGAGACCCAAGTTCCAGGGAGATACAGAAATCAACCCAGAAGATTGCTAGCTTCAGTGGCCTCATTTTCTGCAAATCCGAACAAGCCCAGCGAAGCAATGGAAGATCCCAAGAAATCTGTAGAGACAAGTTTAAGGAAGGCCCCGCCCAGCAAATCAAATCCTACCCAGAACCGGTAACCGAGACTGGGGATCCCAGGGAAGAAATAGAATACAAATCTCATTCTGTTTCCACATTTTTGCAGTTTCTTATTTTCACTCTGTATATAGGTAAGAAGATGAGATCTCGTACATAATTTTTCTTTTGTTTCCTTCTAGTTGTTCATTCGTTTATTATTGTTATTTTTTTGTTTGTTGCAATTGTTGGTTTAAGTATTAGATTTAGGAGATGAGAGAAAACTTTATGTACAGAACCCTGTAAGAAATTGTTAGAAAGAGTATTTATTTGTTCTAGAAGATAGCCACTTTACTTTTGGCAATTAATTTTGGCAGTTGGTGAAATGGAAGTTTATACATTTCAATTATTTTGCTACTGTTTATGTAACCCATGAATAAAATTGATCTTCCTTCAATTTAACTTCTTGCTGACTGCAAGTTCTTGAAATGTGTCTATGACCCATTTTCTGTCTGATGTTTCTGAATATTTGAACATGCGGCCTTGTGATGAGCAATTTCGTGTACTTAAAGTTCCTAATGTTTCTAGCAATTCTAATCTTTAATGATGTTTCACACAACTCTTTAAAATGAAAAGACTAAAAATGAGAATTGAATCAAGGACTCATAATTGGTCAAAATCCTTGTACATGTTTTAAGTGGAGTGACTTTTTTCTGGTCTGCTATCTGCATCTCAGGACAGGAAGCCTTTGATATGCATTATGTAGAATTTAAACCACACTGTGGTAGATTTAAGAATCATTCAGTCCAGCTGATAAACTTTCCTTTGAAGCAGTTTTTTCCCGCTTCAGTGGTCATGAAAGTCGACTTCTGTTAATATCTCAATATTGATGATATCGCTTACTTCAGAGCTTTGAATTTTAAACCTTTTGCAGATGCTATAAATTGGAATCTGAATAAAATTGTGGATGTAAATCTTATTCATAATTAGTCTTCCAATCAAGTTTGTAGAGACATTAATTCATACACTCAATTTATATTGTCTCCCTAGAAATCCTGTATATCTCCTAGAAAGAAATTCTGTATGTCCACGTTTTATTGATTGGATCAGTTACTATCCCAAGGGCCTCCAGCTGAATTTTCATGTGGAACTGTTAAGTTTCTTGTTCCGATATCAGAGCTGTATTTTAAGGAAAGATAATGCACATGGAAAACTAATTTACACCAGTTACTATAGCTATCTTATGTTTGCCACATAGACGTGTTTTATTTTAAAACCAAGGCTGTTCCTTCTTTAATTTCAAATTACAGGTATGATTGTGGACCCTTTTTACCAGTGGTGGAGTCAGACTGAATAATTGACAGTAGTTAGCATAAGAACTCAATGATAGTACTGCAATACTTATTAATTTATGCAGGGTTGAAGGCCGGATCTGGAATTTGAATTACTGTGCACTTGACCTACAAACACGGTAAGTATTTAAACTAGATTGTGTGCAAGTTTGGTTCTTGAACCTGACTTTCTTCATTTGGCCAGAAAAATGTCTCAGTATGCCATTTTATCTACACATTGACATGTAGTACTTTCAAAGATCTTTCCTGGCAGCCTGGTTCTGTAGTTCAACAATGATCATGGAGCCAGTTGTGTATGCTCTACAACTTCACCTATAAATAACAATGAACTTGGACTAAATTACCTGTTGATGTCAATTGTGTGGCTGAGGTGCTGTACTTTTGTTGTTTTGGTACTAAAGAATGCTCTTTTCTAAAGCATTGAAAAATTTTCGGAATTAGTTTTCCTGTTAGTTAATTAATAGCTCTAATTTTCAAAGGAAAAATTAATGTCTTATTGTGGTCAAAGGTGGGCACTTGGTTTTATCTTGAATGTTTTTTTATGTGAACAAAATACTTCCTTCTTACTATGAACAGGAAAATGTGATTATCTTATTGTACCTTATATTGTTTTATGTTCTTACCTTTCTCGTTAATGCTTGTTTATTCATTTGTAGTACACTTCCTTTATTGCTGAATTATTGCTCCCACTATTTTAAAACGGCTGTACTTGTCATGCTTGCAACCATGTAGTAAATTTGAAAAATTCTCTGTGTGAAGTTTGGTTTCCAGGTCCCAAACTTTCAACAGTGAAACAGGTTGCTCTGAGTATTGCAATTGACCATCCACTCTGAAATTGTGCAAAATGTTGTCCAATCTGATCACCTCTTGTGCATGGTCTCCAAATGAAGCATTCACCCTAACTGGAAATGGATATAATTATTCTACACGTGTAGTACATGCATTTCAGTAATGTACACGTAATTAATGAACAAGAAAATGCTGGCGTTACGGTCAGGTTCACCATCTCTCCCTCAGAGGACTATATTGTCTTAAGAGTTTAGTTTCCTCGTAGCACTCGCCCTGTGGAATCCCTCTGCAAACTTTCCTAATTCTAAATTCTTGCATCTTCTTCTTTCCTCAGAGGACTTTCCGACATAAAGATGAGAATTCGAAATAGTCGGTCAAATTTCTCCCAGACGACTCCACCTGAGACCACACCTAGGGCTGCTCATCTTCATTCACATCAAGGTTCACAAGGTGACCGCTTTCCAGTTGAAGAAGAGAATAGACGCATGGGATGGTCCTGCTTTGCAATAAAACAACTTCCTGCTCAAGTTGCAAGGGAGGATCTATTGCATGATGAAATGGAAACAGAAAGCAGTACAGGAATTAGGCCTTTGAACTGTGTTGATAAGGAGAAAGATGCGAAACATTGCATGCAAATCAATACAAATCCGGTAATTAGTCTTTTAGCCATTCCTTTGTTTTCACTTTAGGAATGTGCAATTTATTGAATTCATTCATCTCCATATCAATTTTGTTATTGTCTTTTTATTGTTTTAGTTAACGTATTCTTATTCAGGCTTCATAACACCTACAAAGCTTAGGTCAATTACGTTAGTTAATGTTTCAAAAGATATGATTTTAATTTTATTTTCCATGTAGGCCTCAGAAGGGCAGAGTGAAGGAGCAGCAGATAAAAGGAAAGAGTTTTCTTCATGCGCTGGCTTTCCAGGGTAACTTATTTCTTGTCCTTTCTCATCTTTTGCACCTGCTGAAATCTACAATCGCCAATTGGTTATTCTAATTTGGAAATATAGATACTTTTCTCATCTGCCATTTATTTGTCATTAAGATCTATGATGAATCCATTAATATCTATAATTTTCTTTGATTGGTTCGTACATGCACACCCCCGTTTGCATATATTCTGATAGAACACAAGTTCCTTATTTGTTTATTCGTAATTTAAATGCTAATAGATTGATGGTGAAAGTAAATTGTGTCTATGCTTGTTAATTTGTACAAAGAAGCTCTGCTTAAATTTTTCTGGATGAAATTTTTTTCAACATGAGGTCTACAAAATTCAAATAACTGTCTTTTCACTACAGGGGTAGAGAAAGCACAACTTCTGCTGCAGACATGTTCTTCCTTACACTTTTTCTCAACCAGGTAAACTACTTTTATAATTGGAAGGTATTTTCCTCTGCAAAACTGCATATCAATGAATGTCTTGTTGGTGCCTAGTTTGGCTGTTTTAGCTTTGGCTATTTGCCTTCTTGCTTTCAGGTTGGCTTTTGTGCCTTCTTGCCTTTTGGCTCTTGAATGAAGTTTAAACACCCAAAAAATAAAAATAAAATAAAAATGAATGCCTTGCTAATTTAAGAAACTTGATGGCCATAATGGTATCAATTCCTTCCTACGATTGGGTTGAAAAGAATAAAACTTTTGGTGCTAATATATGGCTCGTTATACTTTTCTTAGACAAGTATAATGAGCCATATATTAGCACAAGTTGTCTTTGATGATAATCTGTTGACACTGTTGGAAATCCAATACTAACTAGGGGAATACTGTAGGAATATTTGAGTGCATATCTTATGAAGAGTCATTTGTTGATAATCTATCAGAAAGGTCTAGGTGTATCATACTAATGCATATATATAGTGACTGTAGTGATAATTCAGATCTTGAATGTCATAAGTGCCTGAATTTTGGTCTTTTAACACAATATAGTGATGCAGGACGCGTAGGACCTAAATTTATTAGTTTCCTAATGTATTTGTTAGTTTCCTAGATTCTCTAGTTTTCCAAATTCTAGTAGGATTTCTACTTTTCCAGATTTCCAGATTTCTAGTTTTAAGTTTCCTATTTTATTGGGTTAGAATTTCTGTTTAAGCAAGGGATTTTTATCCTGTTATGTCTAGGTTTTAGTTTTTAGTTTGCTATAATTACCCCCATGTAGTTCTTTAAAATTCAGATTTGAATGTTGAGTAAACCTTTTCCTAGAACTCTCTGATTCCGTCCCTTCGATCTATATTTCTTCTCCTCGATCTCCGATATTCTTCTTTGTTCTACTGTTCTGTCCTTTATCTCGTCTTTTCGATCTCTATTTCTTCTCCTCGGTCTCTTATATTCTTCTCTGTTCTATTGTTTGAGTGCTTAATCTATACCTACGGGCTGTACTACATCACATAGTGATATCTAAAGACATCTTGCTCATGTATAGGTGAATCTGAGGTTTTCTAAATTCTTACATCAGTCAACATGTGATGTATATAAGTTTTATTATTCCAGTAACATTTATGGCGTACATAAGTATCAATCGAACTACAATATGACCCGTCAATGGGGACATGTGCAAGGCACAAAGCTACTTGGACTGAAGCTGATTCCATGCATGTTGATACATTTCTGTTTCTCCTCGCTTCAAGATTTTCCTGTTTTATTGGCAACTACGTTGGAGAATGTGTTTTCTAACTTTATTTCTCGAGTGGTGTTCTGAATCAGGAGAGAAACTGCCGTTTAAGAAAAGAAAACCTTATAACCACACACAGGCTGTAGTAGAGATGGAAATAGAGGAAGTAGAAGATGTCATGCCTGAAGTAAAAGTGGAAGATGCAATAATGGAAGCAAAAGGAAAATGTGTGTCGGTAGAAGTTGAAGCAGAAGATCATTTAACAGAAGTTAAAGAAGAGGATGCACCAGTTGAAGTTGAAGCGAAAGAGGCAACAGTAGAAATGAAAGAGGAAGATAAATTAGTTAAAGTGGAAGTGGAAGATGCAGTATTAGAAGAGGAAGATGAAAGAGCGGAAGTGGAAGAGTGTGCTACAGAAGAAGTGGAAGAAGAAGTTGCAACAATTATGGTAAAAGTGAAAGATGCAACAGTGGAAGAGGAAGATGCAAAATTAGAAGTGGAAGAGGACAGTATGATGGTAGAAGTAAAGGTGGAGACAACAAAAATGAATGAGCTAGATTATTTCAATGAAGATGATCTTCAGAAGACACAGAGTATTAACTACACTGTTACTTATGCTGTGGGACATATGTGCCTTATCTGAACTTGATGAAAACCAGCAGGGGCACCAAAAACAAGAAATTGGTTTAGAAGAGACAGAATTTGAGCCAAATGAGAGGCCAAGAAGGGGAAGGAAAAGGAACCGATCTGGTCAGTCAGCTAGCAGCAATATGCCTCTTCAGTAAGTAACCTGCTTGAATACAAAATAATCCCATTTTTACTTTCTAGTATGAAAATAGTATGATTTTCACTGCTGTCTGTTCTTTTTTCCCCGATGTTTCGTAGAGGTGAAGTTCTTGAATTTTGCTTTTTCAGTTTTGCTGGAATTATGATTGCTAACACATCGACGAGGTATAAAATCACCTCATAAAGTTTTCTTATCCTTTAGATATTGATGAAATGAAGAATTTTTCTTTTTGCCCACAGAGAGAGAATGTGAAAGAGCACATATAATATCATTTATGGTAATTGTTTCATCTACTGCAACGCATTCACTTCAAGGACATTGTTGTATTTGCAGTTATACTGACACACAGTAAATTTAGGAGTACAAAGGCAATCGTGTATTTCTATTAGATGTTCAATTTCTCCATCTCTGTCCATTTATTCAAATTGTCTTCGTGACACTCTCACTCTGTGTGTGCATATACGGAAACATGAGCAATATGTGTACGCTTTCTAGGGGGTTGGCATAAAATTACCAAATCTGACTATGAACGCACAGGGGAAAGCAAAAGCTAAAGAGAGGAAGGCCAAAGAGGATGCAAGATTATTCAGTTCATGGGAATCACGGGTAACTTCCCCACCCCTCCTCTCTCTGTCTCTCTACACACACAACACACATGAGTATAAATATGGGTCATGTATCAGATCATAAGCATGTATGTGTATGCTTTCCTAGGGATTTTGCATAAAATTAACAAATCTGACTATGAACACACAGGGGGAGGCAAGAGCTAAATAGAGGAAGGCCAAAGAGGACGCAGATCATTCAGTTGAGGGGAATCAAAGGTATCTCTCTCTCTCTCTCTCTCTCTCTCTCTCTCTCTCTCTCTATATATATATATATATATGTCGAGAGATATTTTAATGTTTGTGGCACATGATTGTGCTTGGACATGTATGCATGTGATGAACATGTGTTTTGGATACATTTATGTGTGTATGTATGCTTGCATATATCCTCTTAATAATCAACTACGATTATTTCACCATGGAGGTGCAGAGCGAAAAGGAGAAGAGGTCGCCCCAAGGGGAGCACACCAAACAATAGGTATCCACTTCTCTCTCTCTCTCTCTCTCTCTCTCTCTCTCTCTCTAGAAATCTATAGCTAAAGCCTTCATAAAACAGGGATCTCAAAATGCCAAAGCCTAAGAGGGGAAGACCAAAGAGGGTGAAAGATCAACCTGGCAACGAGTTAATGTAAAAGCATAGTGGCTGCCTCAATGTGTTTTGTATCATTGTAAGAACTTTAGTGGAGTTTCCCTTTATGTACTAATAAGTAAGTATTGTCTGTCTTTTAGGATTTATGTTTTATGATCTACAGCAGAAAAGACTAAAGTGGAAGCTGAAAAACTTGTTTCTGTAATGCCTATTTACGGATAATGTTCGAAAAATCGCTAGGCGGTAGGCAGGTGGAAAGCAGTGGCCTAGCTCCTAGAGGAGTAATTAGGGCCTAGGCATTTAAAAAAATAATATAATTATTTTGTATTATAAATTTAAAAATTAATTTAAAAAAATGTATATATATGAGTCATATGATATATGCTTTGATATAAAGCAGAGGTTTGAAATAAAAACACAATTAGGTTATGTTTTAGGTTATGCTTTGATATAACGAGTAGGGTGAAATTGCGGCAGTGTCCTCCCACTTAGCGCCTAGGCGGCCTAGGCCAGTTTTTCTTCCAAAATGATATTGTTGTCCTGGTTATGAGTTATAATGCTGCAAATCCGTGGGCTGGAGTAACATCCATAACTCATCAGTTTATAGACTTTGTCATGCACTAATTTTGTATAGGACAATGCAGGCTATTCAGATTATTGGAGCAGGAGACATCATCCCCATATTTTTGTAGGCTTTTACCTTTGACAGTGACACAGTGTCATCAGCTTTCATTGTATCCATCTGATTTAACGAAGGGGTCATTTCATCTTAACCTTTTGCATATAAGTATCAAAATATAATGCTACTAGGAAAACAAAATTAAAATATAAATAGACAAAAACGATGATATGAACATATACCAGAAATTTGTGCCGTATTGGATGGTTAAAAGACCACACAGACAAAGTCAATTAGAAATGAGCAATGCCGAGTCAAATGTGGAAGTCTAGCCTGTGGTACACGCACTTGCAAGGAAGCAAAGGCCATGGCCCCATGCTTCGTTACGAAATATAGCTAAGCTAGCTACTTTAGCATATCCACATTGGTGCAGCAAAATTGGCAATGGCTTTTACCATACGGCTGCTTTTGTTTTCCTCAATGTTTCTGCTACCAGTTTCTGTGTTTGCTCAAACTAATGGTAGCATCGCAGTGGTGCTTCTCTTACTGCAACTGCAGAAGGAAACTCCTCCTCATCATGGCTTTCTCCATCTGGTGATTTTGCCTTTGGATTTTGGCCACTTGGAAACAATGATATCTTCTTGCTTTCAATATGGTATGCCAAAATACCCGACAGAACCTTAGTTTGGTATGCAAATCGGGATAATGAGGCTGCAGTTGCACCCAAGGGGTCAACTGTGAACTTGACTGCCAACAGCGGTCTAGTGCTTAAAAGTCCTCAGGGTGAAGAGCTATGGAAATCTGAAACCAGTGCTGGTGTTGCCGGTGGGGTCATGAATGATACAGGCAACTTTGTTCTTCAAGATAGAAATTCAGAAAGCTTATGGGAGACCTTCAACAATCACACTGATACTATTTTGCCTGGACAGACATTTGAAAGAGGTGGGAAGCTTTTGTCTCGACAATCGGAGACTAACTATTCGAAAGGAAGGTTCCAGCTGCTTCTGCAAGAAGATGGGAACCTTATAATCAGCACCATAAACTTGCCAACAAACTTTGCCAATGAACCTTACTATGCAACCGACACTACCTCAGGGACTGTGGCAGGTAGTGAAGGTAAAGAACTGGTTTTCAATGTCTCAGGCTACTTGTATGTTCTGAGTGAGAATGGTGGAAAGACCAATGTTGCAGTGGGAGACGCAGTCTCAGCAAGGGACAACTATATTAGAGCAACTCTCAACTTTGATGGGATTTTTGCTCAATATTATCACCCAAAGAATTCCACTGGAAATGTAAGCTGGAATCTTCTGTGGTCAGAGCCAGATGATATTTGCCGAAGTCAACCTGAAACCTCAGGTGTTGGTATTTGTGGGTACAACAGTATCTGCACTCTCAAAGAAGATAAGAGGCCAACCTGTAAATGCCCAAAAGGGTTCTCTTTACTTGATCCAAATTATCCTTACGGGGGATGCAAACCGGATTTCATACAAGGCTGTGAAGAAGACGAGCTTAGTCGCACAAAAGATTTATATGATGTTGAGGTGCTAATAAATACTGATTGGCCAATCTCAGATTATATGAGTTAAAGCCTTTTACCGCAGAGAAGTGCAAGGAATCTTGCTTTCGAGATTGTTTGTGTGCTGTTGCTATTTTCCGGCCTGAAACCTGTTGGAAAAAGAAGTTACCTCTCTCAAATGGGAGAGTGGATATGAATCTTAATTCACAAGCCTTCATCAAAGTCAGAAAGGATAATTCAACTCTACAATTTCCTCCAATGCCAAATCTAGATGATAAAAAGACGAAGAAGAAGAGCAGTAACACTTTGATACGCATGGAGTCTGTAATTCTGGCTGCCTCTATCTTTGTTAGTTTTATGTTTAGTGCTGCTGCTTGTCTGGGATTTTTCTTTGTTTTCCGGAAGAAACGTGTAAGGTCTGTCGAAAATATTTTGGACTCAAATTTGCTTTCTTTTAGTTACCAAGAGCTTCAAGAAGCTACAAATGGATTCACAGAAGAATTAGGAAGAGGTGCCTTTGGAGTTGTTTACAAAGGGACAATACAAATTGGTTCTGGTGTCCAAGTGGCAGTGAAGAAGCTAAACTGTGTGATACAAGATGGTGAGAAGGAATTCAAGACAGAAGTGAGCGTAATTGGTAAGACACATCACAAGAATCTAGTTTGCCTGGTTGGGTATTGTGACGAAGGGCAACATCGATTGCTAGTATACGAGTTCTTAAGCAATGGCACGTTAGCAAGTTACCTTTTTGCTGACACAAAACCCAGTTGGACGCAGAGAATTGAAATTGCTTGTGGAGTTGCCAAAGGACTTCTGTACTTGCATGAAGAGTGCAGCACCCAAGTCATCCATTGTGATATAAAGCCTCAGAACATACTGCTTGACGATTATTACACTGCTCGGATCTCTGATTTTGGATTGGCAAAGCTTTTGATGATGAATCAGAGCCACACTCATACTGCCATTAGAGGAACAAAAGGGTATGTTGCCCCGGAGTGGTTCAGTAACATGCCAATCACTGCCAAAGTTGATGTGTATAGCTTTGGTGTTGTGCTGCTTGAGATCATTTGCTGTAGGAGAAGCATTGATGTGAACAATAGCCGTGAGGAGAGAGCAATTTTAACGGATTGGGTCTATGATTGCTACTGCGGAGGAATGTTAGATGCCGTTCTAGTTCTAGATAATGAAGTTCAGGCCTTAGATGATAGAATGAAGCCGGAAAAGCTTGTGATGATTGCTATTTGGTGTATTCAGGATGACCCGTCTCTTAGACCAACTATGAGGAAAGTTGTGCAGATGCTTGAAGGCGTGGTGGAAGTGCATGTTCCTCCATGTCCATCCCCACATACCACCAGAACAGGCTGAAACCAACTTTGTTTGTATTGCATTGCATTGCAGCCAAGGTTTTACTGCCAGGACTAGCTTATTTCCTGCTTGTCAATCTTGTTCTTGTTCTTTTTTTTGGATTTGATTCTGTGATCACACTAGTTTGTAGTTCTGCATTGTGATCGCTTCTTAGATATATGCATCTCTTTTATTTGGCCATACAGGTGATAATAAGAAAGAATGCTCTATTTATGTAATGGAAATGATAAATTTTTAGTGTGTCATAGATTTCAACTTCAAATAATCAAATTAGAGTTACATAGCAACGCTCATATTTATTACTATTGAATTTTGACTGCTACACTTAAATGGTTAACAAGCTCATATTTATTACATGCTTTGGCTCGTAAGGGTGGAAAATTCGTGTCAGTGGGTCGTGTTCTTTGTTGTGCCCTTGGAACCATGGTGGAAATTCGTGTCAGCGGGTCGTGTTATTTTTTAATGTCTCGCATTCAAAGTCTCAGCCACTTGATGGGGTCTTTCATCCAATTGTGTCTTACTCACTCATTTCCAGCACCCCTTTTATGACTCATTTCCAGCTGTATCCATCTTTTTTTATTTTTTATTTTTTATTTTATTTCTATTCAACTTTCCATATTTTAGCTAAAAGGGAGGAAAGAAAGAAAATTTTGAGAATAAAATAACAAGAGAATATTTTGTGAGAAATTTTTGCGGTTGAATGACATATTTGCCATTCAAACTAAGCTGTTAGAAGGAGAAAATGCGTCATTTGACCGTATTAAACAAAAAACTACGATGTAGACAGATACACTTTGAAATTTTTGTGCGTGACCGGTAGCGAGGGTCTCTAAGTTCGTGCCGTTAATATAGACTAGTATACACACGCATTTATAGCAAGAAATTTCAAGGAAGCATGGGCCATGGTCCCATTCTTCATTATGAAATAGTTAGGCTTAGGATATTGTAGTATGCCTAACCACATTGGTGCTAGAAAATTAGCAATGGCTTTTACTGTACGGCTGCTTCTGTTTTCCTCTCTGTTTCTGCTACCAGTTTCTGTGTTTGCTCAAACTAACGGTGGCATAACAGTGGGGGAGTCCCTAACTGCAACTGCAGCTAACTCCTCACCATTGCTTTCTCCATCTGGTGATTTTGCCTTTGGATTTTTTCCACTTGGAAGCAATGATCTTTTCCTGCTCTCAATATGGTATGCCAAATACCAGACAGAACCATAGTTTGGTATGCACATCGGGATAATGGGGCTGCAGTTGCACCCGAGGGGTCAACTGTGTACTTGATGGACGACAACGGTCTATTGCTTACAAATCCTCAGGGTGACGAGCTATGGAAATCTGAAACCGGTGCTGGTGTTGTTGCCAATGGGGTCATGAATGATACAGGCAACTTTGTTCTTCAAGATAGAAATTCAGAAAGCTTATGGGAGACCTTCAACAATCCCACTGATACCCTGTTGCCTGGACAGACACTTGGAAGACGTGGGAAGCTTTTTTCTCGACAACCGGAGACTAACTATTCGAAAGGACGGTTCCAGCTGCTTCTGCAAGCAGATGGGAACCTTGTAATGAGCACCATAAACTTTGTAACACGCTTTGCCAATGAACCTTACTTTTCAACCGACACTACCTCAGGGACTGTGGCAGGTAGTGAAGGTAAAGAATTGGTTTTCAATGTCTCAGGCTACTTGTATGTTCTGAGAGAGAATGGTGGAAAGTACAATCTTCCAGTGGGAGAGGCAGTCTCAGCAAGGGACAACTATATTAGAGCAACTCTCAACCTTGATGGGATTTTTGCTCAATATTATCACCCCAAGAATTTCACTGGAAATGTGAGCTGGACTCTTCGGTGGTCAGAGCCAGATGATATTTGCCAAAGAAGTAGAGAATATTCAGGTGTTGGTGTTTGTGGGTACAACAGTATCTGCAAGCTCAAAGGAGCTAAGAATGGGCCAACCTGTGAATGCCCAAAAGGGTTCTCTTCACTTGATCCAAATGATCCATACCGGGGATGCAAACCGGATTTCATACAAGGCTGTAAAGAAGATGAACTTAGTGGCACAAAAGATTTATATGATGTTGAGGTGCTAACAAATACAGATTGGCCAACCTCAGATTATGTGCAGTTATATCCTTTTACTGCAGAGAGGTGCAATGAATCTTGCTTTAAAGATTGTTTGTGTGCTGTTGCTATTTTCCGGTCTGAAACCTGCTGGAAAAAGAAGTTGCCTCTCTCAAATGGGAGAGTGGATACAAGTCTTAATTCACAAGCCTTCATCAAAGTCAGAAAGGATAATTCAACTCTACAATTTCCTCCAATGCCAAATCCAGATGATAAGAAGACGAAGAAGAAGAGCAGTAACACTTTGATACCCGTGGAATCCGTAATTCTGGCTACCTCTATCTTTGTTAGTTTTATGTTAAGTGGTGCTGTTTGTCTGGGAATTTTCTTCGTTTTCCGGAAGAAACAAGTAAGGTCTATCAAAATATTTTGGACTCAAATTTGTATTCTTTTAGTTACCGAGAGCTTCAAGAAGCTACAAATGGATTCACAGAAGAATTAGGAAGGGGTGCGTTTGGAGTTGTTTACAAAGGGACAATACAAATTGGTTCTGGTGTCCAAGTGGCAGTGAAGAAGCTAAACTGTGTGATACAAGATGGTGAGAAGGAATTCAAGACAGAATTGAGCGTAATTGGTAAGACACATCACAAGAATCTAGTTTGCCTGGTTGGGTATTGTGACGAAGGGCAACATCGATTGCTAGTATACGAGTACTTAAGCAATGGAACATTAGCAAGCTTCCTTTTCGCGGATACAAAACCCAGTTGGACGCAGCGAATTGAAATTGCTTGTGGAGTTGCCAAAGGACTTTTGTACTTGCATGAAGAGTGCAGCACCCAAGTCATCCATTGTGATATAAAGCCTCAGAACATACTGCTTGACGATTATTACACTGCTCGGATCTCTGATTTTGGATTGGCAAAGCTTTTGATGATGAATCAGAGCCACACTCATACTGCCATTAGAGGAACAAAAGGATATGTTGCCCCTGAGTGGTTCAGGAACATGCCAATCACTGCCAAAGTTGATGTGTATAGCTTTGGTGTTGTGCTGCTTGAGATCATTTGCTGTAGGAGAAGCGTTGATGTGGACAATAGCCGTGAGGAGAGAGCAATTTTAACGGATTGGGTGTATGATTGCTACCGCGGAGGAATGTTAGATGCTGTTCTAGTTCTAGATAATGAAGTTCAGGCCTTAGATGATAGAATGAAGCCGGAAAAGCTTGTGATGATTGCTATTTGGTGTATTCAAGATGACCCGTCTCTTAGACCAACTATGAGGAAAGTTGTGCAGATGCTCGAAGGTGTAGTGGAAGTGTATGTTCCTCCATGTCCATCCCCATATACCACCAGAACAGGCTGAAACCAACTTTGTTTGTATTGCATTACATAGCAGCCAAGGTTTTACTGCCAGGACCAGCTTATTTCCTGCTTGTCAATCTTGTTCTTGTTCTTTGTTTTTTGGATTTGATTCTGTGATCACACTAGTTTGTAGTTCTGCATTTTGATCGCTTCTTAGATATATGCATGTCTTTTATTTGGCCATACTGGTGATAATAAGAAAGAATGCTCTATTTATGTAATGGAAATGATAAATTTTTTGTTAAGAAACAGTGTGTCATAGATTTCAACTTCAAATAATCAAATTAGAGTTACATAGCAACGCTCATATTTATTACTATTGAATTTTGACTGCTACACTTAAATGGTTAACAAGCTCATATTTATTACATCTTTTGGCTCGTAAGGGTGGAAAATTCGTGTCAGCGGGTCGTGTTCCTTGTCGTGCCCAACTTGGATTACTTTATGGGCATGACCATAATAGATCAGAGACTAGAAACTTCAGTAAGGGGTGAGCTGGGGCAAAGAACATATGACAATGAATATAAAGACATGGACGCAGAAGATATTTTTTACTTTTATTTATTATTATTATTTTGTAAGTGAATAATATATAACCAAAAAAGAGGCAAAAGCCTAATAAAAACAACCACGACACGAGGAGACTCATGGGAACAAAGAAACAACAAACTGAGCAAAAAACTCAGAAGGTACAACACCTAAGTATCACTAGTAAAAGAGGTGTGTTCCAGTTTTGAGCAACAGTCAAGTTATTTTTTAGGAGAAAGAACACATCTTGCATTGGATATGTTTGAAAATCCTGTCTCGCGTTCGCATTGGATATGACTCATTTCCAGCTGTATCCATCTTTCTTTTTTTTTCTATACAACTTTCCATATTTTAGTTAAAAGGGAGGAAAGAAGGAAAATTTTGAGAATAAAATGACATATTTGCCTTTCAAACCAAGCTGTTAGAAGGAGAAAATGCGTCATTTGACAGTATTAAACAAAAAACTACGATGTAGACAGATACACTTTGAAATTTTTGTGCGTGACGGGCAGCGAGGGTCTTTGAGTTCGTGCCGTAGTGGATGGTTAATGTAGACTAGTATACACACGCATTTATAGCAAGAAATTTCAAGGAAACAAGGTCCGTGATCCCATTCTTCATTGTGAAATATAGCTAGCTAGGATATTGTAGTATGCCTAACCACATTGGTGCTAGAAAATTAGCAATGGCTTTTACTGTACGGCTGTTTCTGTTTTCCTCTCTGTTTCTGCTACCAGTTTCTGTGTTTGCTCAAACTAACGGTGGCATAGCAGTGGGCAATTTCCTAACTGCAACTGCAGCTAACTCCTCACCATGGCTTTCTCCATCTGGTGATTTTGCCTTTGGATTTTTTTCGCTTGGAAGCAATGGTCTTTTCCTGCTCTCAATATGGTATGCCCAAATACCAGACAGAACCATAGTTTGGTATGCAGATCGGGATAATGAGGCTGCAGTTGCACCCAAGGGGTCAACTGTGAACTTGACTGCCAACAGCGGTCTAGTGCTTAGAAGTCCTCAGGGTGAAGAGCTATGGAAATCTGGAACCGGTGCTGGTGTTGTTGCCAATGGGGTCCTGAATGATACAGGCAACTTTGTTCTTCAAGATAGCAATTCAGAAAGCTTATGGGAGACCTTCAACAATCCCACTGATACCCTGTTGCCTGGTCAGACATTGGAAAGAGGTGGGACGCTTTCGTCTCGACAATCGGAGACTAACTATTCGAAAGGACGGTTCCAGCTGCTTCTGCAAGGAGATGGGAACCTTGTAATCAGCACCATAAACTTGCCATCAAACTTTGCCAATCAACCTTACTATTCAACCGACACTACCTCAGGGACTGTGGCAGGTAGTGAAGGTAGAGAATTGGTTTTCAATGTCTCAGGCTACTTGTATGTTTTGAGAGAGAACGGTGGAAAGTACAATCTTCCAGTGGGAGAGGCAGTCTCAGCAAGGGACAACTATATTAGAGCAACTCTCAACTTTGATGGGATTTTTGCTCAATATTATCACCCCAGGAATTTCACTGGAAATGTGAGCTGGACTCTTCGGTGGTCAGAGCCAGATGATATTTGCCAAAGAATTACAGAAGATTCAGGTGTTGGTGTTTGTGGGTACAACAGTATCTGCACTCTCAAAGGAGATAAGAGGCCAACCTGTGGATGCCCAAAAGGGTTCTCTTTACTTGATCCAAATGATCCATATCGGGGATGCAAACCGGATTTCATACAAGGCTGTGAAGAAGATGAGCTTAGTCGCACAAAAGATTTATATGATGTTGAGGTGCTACAGAATACAGATTGGCCAATCTCAGATTATGTGCAGTTAAAACCTTTTACTGCAGAGAAGTGCAATGAATCTTGCTTTCAAGATTGTTTGTGTGCTGTTGCTATTTTCCGGTCTGAAACCTGCTGGAAAAAGAAGTTACCTCTCTCAAATGGGAGAGTGGATACAAGTCTTAATTCACAAGCCTTCATCAAAGTCAGAAAGGACAATTCAACTCTACCAATACCAGCTCCTCAACTTCCATGTCCAGATGATAAGAAGAAGAAGAGCCAGACCACTGTGATACGTGCGGAATCAGTACTTTTGGGTACCTCTATTTTTGTTAATTTTATCTTAGGTGCTGCTCTTTGTCTGGGATTTGTCTTGATTTTCCGGAAGAAACATGTAAGGTCTGCCGAAATTGTTTTGGACTCGAATTTGCGTTCTTTTAGTTATGAAGAGCTTCAAGAAGCTACAAATGGTTTCAAGGAAGAATTAGGCAAAGGTGCTTTTGGAACTGTTTACAAAGGGGTACTACAAATTGGTTCTGGCGTCCAAGTGGCAGTGAAGAAGCTAAACTATGTGATGCAAGAAATTGAGAAGGAATTCAAAACAGAACTGAATGTAATTGGTCAGACACATCACAAGAATCTGGTTCGCCTCTTCGGATATTGTGATGAGGGGCAACAGCGGTTGCTAGTGTATGAATTGTTGAGCAATGGCACATTAGCAAGCTACCTTTTTACTGATATCAAACCGAGTTGGAGACAACGAATTGAAATTGCTTATGGAGTTGCCAGAGGACTTCTGTACTTGCATGAAGAGTGCAGTACTCAAATTATCCATTGTGATATAAAGCCTCAGAACATACTGCTTGACGATTATTACACTGCTCGAATCTCTGACTTTGGATTGGCAAAGCTTTTGATGATGGATCAGAGCAAGACTCATACTGCCATTAGAGGAACAAAAGGGTATGTTGCACCTGAGTGGTTTAGGAACATGCCAATCACTACCAAAGTTGATGTGTACAGCTTTGGTGTTGTGCTGCTTGAGATCATTTGTTGTAGGAGAAGCGTTGATGCAGAAAATGACTGCGAAGAGAAAGCAATATTAACGGATTGGGTCTATGATTGCTTCCTTGAAGGAGCATTAGATGCTATTGTAGATTATGAAGTTCAGGCCCTGGGTGATAAAACGACGCTGGAAAATTTTGTGATGGTTGCTATTTGGTGTATTCAAGAAGACCCTTCTCTTAGACCCAATATGAGGAAGGTTGTTCAGATGCTTGAAGGAGTGGTGGAAGTACAAGTTCCACCGTGCCCTTCCCCATTTTTCAGAGCGTGCTTGAAGGGGTCATTTGTATCGCAGGTTTAAATCATTTTCGGTACTAAGTTTCTTATTTTCTGTTTATCAATCGTTTTTAGTGGACTTATTTGTAGTTTTGCATCGCTTTAATTTGGCCATACTGATAAGAAAGAAGGCTGTGTATGTAAATTTTTGTGTAAGTTATGTTCTTGTTGGGAAGGACAAATTCTGTTAAGATAACGTAGTGCAACTATGTGTTTACTTAATCTAAGTATTGATGAAGTTTGTGGCCTATTTATTTTTACTGGTTTCTGAAAAACCAAGGCCATTATTGGTTGTGGATTGTGGTCCTTTCTATTGGTAAGTACTTGTTCACACTAGCTTCTGTGCCACAAATTCCATTAACATCAAGTCAAGGACTCTCAAGGTATTAAATCAGCCTTCTGATATTGTTTCCGCTTGCAATTATTGTTTATAAGATTCTTCTTTTCAGTTTCCTAAATTAAATCTCAGTTTGGAATGAAGGTGATAACTTTGTCGTAAGTTTATGGAGTCTCTGTGTTGTGCACACTACTCCCACATATTTTTGGTTGAACCTGTGGCACTGCAAGTAGATGCATTCAAAAGTCTCTTAATGATGCAGACATGGGCCTAGCTAAGTTGGCTAAAGCGGATGTACTTCCCACTCTGTACCTGAGTTCAAATCCCCTTTCCTGTAGTTTAGATTAGACTAAAGTCAAATATCGCTTGTATAAAAAAATTCTCTCTTAATGATATCTCTACCTGAAAAATCCTCTGTTAGTTGGGGATGTGTGAAAAAGAACAAGAAAGATACCTGCAGTTTACTTGGAAGAGGGATACCTGCAGTTTAATCAGTTTAGTTTAAGATTAGTCCACATTACCTCCTCTATTTCTCCCTGATATTTTGGGTCAATAGGTCTCTTTCTTGACCCATTCCCACTGCAAAATTCAACCAGTCAATTCATGCAGTCTTTTTCTTCGTAGTGGTCCCAATAAGAAAAATTCAAATTGAAATTGAACACCTGCAGTCTTATCAAATGAAATTGCAACTATATTTCCCTCATAATTTCATTTCATTGCTTTTTTTTTCCCTACGACAACAATGGTCATGTCTTTTTTGTCCTCACTGTTTTCTTTATGAAAACAATGACCATGCTTTCTTTATGCTGCATAAGCTTTTACTTAGTCTTCTTGGACCCTTACTTTTCTAAAATCTCCAATTGTAATAATTTTGTTTCTTCTATAAATTTGTATTTGTGAGTGGACAGATCCGAAGTACAAATGAAAGCAATGGCTTTTGTTCTCCCCCATCTGCTCTTCCTTCTCTTCCTGCTCCTGCCCTTCTCTGTCATTGCTCAAACTAATGGTAACATTAGTGTGGGTAGGACTCTCACTGCAGGTGAAGAGTCTGCTTGGTGGCTTTCACCTTCCAAAGATTTTGCATTGGGGTTTCAAAAACTTGATAATGATCACTTCTTGCTTGCCATATGGTGTCACAAGATACCTCAGAAAACCGTAGTTTGGTATGCAAATGAAGGCAACCCTGCTCCAAGAAAATCAAAAGTAGAGCTAACCGACCAAGGCCTTCTGCTGAGACCCCCACAAGGAGATCAACAACTATTGACAGAATTTCCAGCTGCTGCAATAGCCTATGGTGTAATGAACGACACGGGAAACTTTATGATTGTTGATACAAGTTTTAGAGTCATTTGGGAGACCTTCAATCATCCAACTGATACCTTGTTACCTACTCAGACAATGGAGGTAGGTGGCTTGCTTTATTCTAGACAAACAGAAACTAACTTCTCAAGGGGAAGATACCAGTTTCAGATGCTTGGTAATGGTGATGCTGTGCTCAACCCCATAAATGTTCCGGGTAAATATACTTATGACGCATATTATATCAGCGGCAGTCGTGACGAAGCAAATGATACAAATTCCGGTTACAAGGTCATCTTTGATCAGTCAGGCTACTTGTACATATTGCGAAGAAGTGGAGAGAGATTTTTTATTACAACACCGGGACAGGCACTCTCACCTACGAGGTATTATGTCAGAGCAACTCTCCATTTTGATGGGGTTTTCATCATAAGTTACCAACTGAAGAATTCTACAACCAGTGAAAGCTGGAGTGTCATCCACACTGAACCAGATAATATTTGTGTGAAAATAGATGGAGAAATCGGAACAGGGCCATGCGGTTATAATAGTGTTTGTACACTTAAAGAAGATAGAAGGCCAAGTTGCAGATGCCCAGTGGGGTATTCTTTATTGAATCCAACTGATGAGTACAGTGGTTGCAAGGCAGCTTTCCTGCAGCAAGATTGTGAAGATGGTGGAGGGCAGGGTTCTGAAAGAGATTTGTACTACATGGATGAGCTTCCAAATACTGATTTTCCAAGAGCAGATTATGAGTTGTTTACATCTTATAATGTTGAAGCCTGCAAAACATCTTGCTTGGAAGATTGTCTATGTGCTGCGGCTGTTTCTAGTGACAACAGATGTTGGAAGAAAAAACTACCACTTTCAAATGGAAGACAGGATAGTGGAGTTAACGGTAAGACTTTCCTTAAATTAAGGAGTAGTGGTTCCCTCCAAAGCCCAACTCCATTACCTCCAAAGGCAAAGAATCAGAACACTTTGATCATTGTGGGATCAGCACTCTTGGGTAGTTCTGTGTTTGTCAACTTCATATTGGTTGGTGCAATTTGTTTGGGCTTCTTCTACTACCAGAAGAAGCTCATGGGAACTCACCAGGACAAAGCTTCAGCGGGAAGCAATTTGCGCTACTTTACCTACAAAGAGCTCATAGAAGCAACACAAGGGTTCAAGGAAGAGCTAGGAAGGGGATCATGTGGCATTGTTTACAAGGGGAAAGCTGATCACGCAGGAGGACCAGTACTTGCTGTCAAGGTGTTGGACAGAGTATTTAACGACAAGGAAAAAGAATTCAAAGCTGAAGTTAAGGTCATAGGCCAAACACATCACAAGAATCTTGTCAGACTTCTAGGATATTGTGATGAGGGACAGCACAGGTTGCTGGTATATGAGTACTTGAGCAGTGGCACTTTGGCAAGCTTCCTTTTCGGGGATGATGTCAAGCCCAGTTGGCAACAAAGAAACCACATTGCATTGGGGATTGCTAGAGGGCTTGTTTACTTGCATGAAGAATGCAGCACACAGATCATCCATTGTGATATAAAGCCTCAGAATATACTTCTTGATGAATATTACAACGCTCGAATATCCGACTTTGGATTAGCAAAGCTGCTCAATCAAACCCAAGCTTCTAAAACAGCAATCAGAGGAACAAAAGGGTATGTTGCACCTGATTGGTTCAGGTCTGCACCAGTCTCTGTGAAGGTTGATGTGTATAGTTTTGGCGTCTTGCTTCTAGAAATCGTTTGTTGCCAGAGAAACGTGGATGTGGAAGTTGGTGGTGGAGAGAGGGGAGTTTTAACTGACTGGGCATATGACCTCTATATGGAAGGCAGATTAGATGCTTTGATTGAAAATGACTTGGAGGCCATGAATGATATGAACAAAGTTGAGAGATTTGTGATGGTTGCCATTTGGTGCATCCAAGAAGACCCTGCAGTGAGACCTACCATGAAGAAGGTTATGCTGATGCTTGAAGGAATAGTTCAAGTTTCAGTTCCCCCAAGTCCTTTCCCATTTAGTTCCATTAGCTGAAACAAGAAGAAGAAGAAAAAAAACTTTTTTTGGTTAGTCAGGTTTCAAACTTTAACAGAAACAGATGTTATGATGCTATCAAGCCTCTGTGATAGATGATTCTCTGTGGTCAATGCCACAATGAAAACAATGTCCTACCATATTCTTCATTAATTTCTATATCATCACACCTAACTTTTGATTGGTCATGATGATGTCCCAGTTTGTCAATGAAAATTCTTACGTAAGTTTTTATTTTTTATGTTTTGTGGTGCATCATGAAACTGCATACAGAAACATTCATATATCATTCAAAACCAAACCTGATAATGACACCATGGCCGGCTAGTTTATCAAACATCTTTGAATCTTTCTCGTCTACTCTGACATTCAGATCATTACTTTTCTTAGAAAATATTTTATGTTCCCCCAGATAGTTTCCACGAAATGTGAGCTTATTTATGTAGTGGTTAGTTTATTTAAGAGAATCGGAGGAGGTTTCTAAAAAGCTTTTCCAAAATTGAAATCGATGTCCTATAAAAATTGAAGGATCACAAAGCCTGAGTTTATGTTTGTTCTAGCTCCGAATGGTTTATGTTTGCTTCTTATTTCTCACAGGATTCAACTTTGAGCCTTGAGCCTTGAGCCATGCATTTTTTTGTCCCTGATTGCCCTGATCTAATTCAAGATTTTAAGAATAAAATTCCAAAAACCAATTTTGATTCGTTTAGTTTGATCAAAGTGATTGTTATGCACATTTGATGGAGTGATCGTGCGTAAGAAAAACTAAAATAAAACTGTGTTCATGCTCAACAATAGGCCCAGGGATTCTCTGATTTAAGAAACCATGACTCATCTAACTCCTCATACATCATGGCTTTCTCCATCTGGTGATTTTGCCCTTGGATTTTGGCCACTTGAAAACAGTGATCTTTTCTTGCTTTCTATATATGGTATGCCTTGAACCACATTGGTGGTCTCTCCATTTTGAAACATCCGAATTTGATCCTCAAACTACTTTTTTTTTTCGCCAAGTGATCCTCAAACTACATTAGTAAGTGGGCATGTAAAATTGCCAAGGTAAAGTTTTGACCAAGGTCTTAAATATCGATAGTTTCGGAAATATCGGTAGTTCAAAAACACGGAAATATCGGGAAAATATCGATATCGATAAAAATTGGATAAAAACCACGGAAATTGTGATAAATACATGGAAATTTTTAATGAAACTTTAGAAGAAGTTTATTTAGTCAATAATCTATTATTTTGACATAAAAAATTGAAAGGAAATGCATTGCATAGTGGGTTTGAGTGATTTCAGTTGATTATATTGCGAGCTGACAAACTCTGTGACTTAGAAAATATGGAGTAATTAATGAAGAGAATTAAACACCCCATAGTAATTTATTTACCATTTTTTAGTACAATATTTTACACTTTATAAATTGCATGGTAAGATACATGTGTAACCTTATTTCACATTATTCATTGGACATGGTACACGTTCTTATATTTATTATTTATTAAAAATTGAAAAATAATTAAACCAACTTGACTTTTCATGAAAATTAAGCACTTTACTAGACTTAAAAAATAATAGTGAAGATTGAAAATTAACTAAGAACATAAATAAATTTATCAAAGAAAGAATTAAGTAGTAAACAAAGAAAATAAATATTATAGAGATTTAAGTAATTAAGCAACAATTTGAAGGGGAATTTAGTAATGTAAGTACTTATAATGAATAATAAAATAATCAATAACATTAAATGGATTAAATAGAAAAGAAATAAAGTATATTAAGTAATTAAGTAACTGATCAACAATATAAAACAATAAGTAATTATGTTAATTTCTATTTTGAGAAACAACTCACATATATTATAAATACATATTCCATAGCTTATTATCACAAAATGATGATTGGCGTGGTGGTTAAGTGGCTCCAAAAATTCGGAGTTGGGAGGGGTTTGAACCCCACTGTGCGCTGAGTTTAAATTGTTTAATTTTTGAAAGTTCAAGTCGGGATATTATATATACTAGATTCCGTAGTTTATAATCACAAAGTCATCAGCAGCGTGGTGGTTAAGTGGCTGCAAACATTCAAGTTGGGAGAGGTTCGAACCCCATCATGCGAGGAGCTTAAATTGTTTCATTTTTGACACAGTTCAAGTCGCGATATTATGACCATTTAAATTGAGAAATTGAACGAAAATATCCTCGAAATTATCGACGAAAATATCGAAAAAATCACGATATATAATTGGAATTGTGCTAAAATTTCGCAGCCCCAAAAAAACGATTATTCCACCAATATTTCGGCGAAATTATCGAATTTTTGTACTCTGGTTTTGACAAATAATCCTATCCTATGAGGTCATATGCTAGTTCCAAACTTTTCAATGTGGGACAATATTCAATCATGACAGGCTGCTACGCTTTTTGGACTTTTCTTCAAAGAGCTTAGAAATAATAAACTCAAATGATCTAACCTGGACATAAGTTGATGCTTGAAGGAGTCAAAGAAAATTTCAGCTTCCAAGTAATTACCCTACATTATAAAACATTGAAATAGACTTCGCACCCACAATCCAAAAACAAAAAGACAAAGCTCCAACTGATGATTTCATCAATAGCTATTTCATAACAATTTTCAAATTTTGTAGGTGGTTGTGAAATTATTGCAAGCGCACAATTCGTACAAGTAATATAGAGATAAGTGAAGTGTCATTCCCACGAAGACTTAATTTCCTTTTAAGTACCAATTATGATTAATTCAGAAGTTTATTTGAACAATTGATTAATAAGAGTGATTGATTTATTAAACTAAATTAAAACATATATAAAAAATAGCAATTTAATTAACAATGAAAAATCAAGTTGATGAGACACTAGAGCATCTGATTTCATCATAACCAATTCCAGTTAATTCTTATAACCAATTAACCCTAATTACTACTCATGTTGACCGGTGGTTTCTCCTAATTCATTTGACATCCCCCCTAGGGCTCAACCAAAAGTTTTCTTAATTAACAACTCATCTCTCTCGAGCAACGAATTTAGAAAATCAAGAACCTATTAAGTTCTATGAGAACCTGCAAGAAAACTGCATGAGTCATGTTAGTCCCTCTCGGGCACTCAATCAAGACATGGTATTTGTTACAAGAAGCAAACACCAAACATCTCCTCTCAATCTCCGTTTGGATCATCAATTAAATATTAGTTAGATATTTGAAGCATTAAGAATAGTAACAAATACTCAACATGAAATAGTAATCAGAAATTAATATAACTATAAAAATTAAGTGTTCATGGTTAGGCTAAATCATAGCCCTAGTAAGACAAATTAGTTCATAACAAAAGAAAAGATAAACAAGAGAATTGTTGTCATAAAACCGATTTGGCAGATGAATTGGATCACTGGATTCTCCACAGCAACACCTTTGTAAGATCCAAAAGCACCGCGGCAACAAACTCTTGGCTCTCTCTATGATATATTTGTGGGTGTAGTGAAATATGGTGAAAAGTATATGGTAGAAAAAGATGGTCCATAGAGAGAGCTTAGGGTGACCAATATAGTGTAAAACAACTAAAACCTACTCTAAAAAGGTCTGGAAAAGCTCTCCTAAAGCATAACAAAATCTCAAACTGACAGGACCCGTCCCGAATTTCCCGAAACCCGAGACGAACCCTGCGGAGACCCCGGCATCACACCCATGCCGAGTTCACTCCTTAAAACTATGTCCTCTTTTACCAGAGAGGATTTAGGGCACGAGACTTTCTGCCAAAATTTCGGCAAAGTCTTCCCTATAAATTGAACATCCCCCAAAATTTCCACCTGCATAAAGCACATTTTATAATCCAACCAGCAGCACGCACAATATAATCTCATGCAATTTACATAAATGGCCTCCGGCTTTCAATGATTCTAACAAACTGCCCACACTGTTTTCAAAATAACTTACTGCATCACACATGCATATAACCAATTCAAAATCCATCCATACACACCTTCACTCACTCAGTCCATCGGACAAGCCTCAATTCAACCAAGTATCGGGACCAACCACAAGGTCCGCATCATACTCGATAAAACCACCTAAGTGGTGTCTAAGTCGTGGCTGCACCTAGGCGCTATCCCAGGCTGCCTACGTACCCTACTAAGGGATCAAGCCACACGTAGCTCTTTCCTATCAATCATGGCTCCTGATATCAATTAACCCATTACATCCAAATAAATTCATACATTCTACGGTTTCATCCATCTCAACACACCAAACACAAACACATAGCTCCCCTCATACGACGGGACGCACCCGGCCTCGTACGGTGACAGGACCCGCCCTGAATTTCCCGGAACCCGAGACGAACCCTGCGGAGACCCCGGCATCACACCCACGCCGGGTTCACTCCTTAAAACTACGTCCTCTTTTACCAGAGAGGATTTAAGGTACTAGACTTTCTGCCAAAATTTCGGCAGAGTCTCCCCTGTAAATTGAACATTCCCCAAAATTTCCACCTGCATAAAACACATTTTATAACCCAACCAGCAGCACGCACAATATAATCTCATGCAATTTACATAAATGGCCTCCGGCCTTCAAATGATTCTAGCAGACTGCCCACATTGTTTTCAAAATAACTTCATGCATCAACCATGCATATAACAAATTCCAAATCTCTCTATGCACACCTTCACTCACTCAGTCCACCGGACAAGCCTCAATTCAACCAAGTTTTGGGACCAACCACGAAGTCCGCATCATACTCGATAAAACCACCTAAGTGGTGTCTAGGTCGTGGCTGCACCTAGGCGCTATCCCAGGCTGCCTACGTACCCTACTAAGGGATCAAGCCACACGTAGCTCTTTCTTATCAATCCTGGCTCCTGATATCAATTAAACCATTACATCCATATAAATACATACATTTTCGGGTTTATCCATCACAACACACCAAACGCAATCACATCTCCCACTCATACGTCGGGACGCACCCGGCCACGTACGGGGTCTGTCAAC